TTATCAGCTTGTAACCATATGCTCCGTCCTTACGATTGACGTTTCCACATGGTTCATAGTTCCGATAACTCCTTATTCCACATGGTTCATAGTTCCGATAACTCCCTATCGATACGAGCTCCGAACCGTGCCTCCGCGTATATAAACTCCTAGCTCCTGTACTCTAACTCCTTAGTTCGAATATCGACTAAGTTACTCCTCTGCTCCGACACGGACTTAGAGCGCGTAGCGACTCAAACCTTAAAGCTTGAGTCTGGTCCGTACTCGCACTCACTCTCTGTATCTCGAAACTCTGCTCCGACTTTCTCCGACTTTCTCCGACTCTCTTCCGACTCGACTCCGACAATCATCTCGCTAGGTCCGGACGTCACACCTCCGGCGTCGGACTTAGCTCCGTCTCGATCTTGACACTAACAAGGTAAGGCGGCAGTCTCTTCGCTCTCGGGCCGCCTGTACTGAAGCCCGTTTTTTGCAGGAAGATGTTTCGTTGTGTTCTTGTGGCGATACCCTCCGGCTGGAGTATGTTGATAACCAGATCCGCGACGAAAGCCCAAGCCGGTCTCGATGGGCTGAAATCTAGGTAACCTCTCAGCCATGTAATCTCTATCGCGCTGTTTCTTGCTTCAACATCCAGTAGGGCCAGGCCCCCTTCGCGGAGCGGCCGGCATAATTGTCGCTTTGAGATGGTGCTCGTTTGGGTGCCCGCCCAAACAAAGTCCATTTCCATTCTCTGGAGTTTCTTCACCACGTCGACCGGCATTCCCTGTGCTTTCGCCAGGAACTGTGTACGTCCTCCGATTACCCATTGGACGATATGCCTCTTGCCCCACCATGTGGGGTTGCTCCTTTCCCAACGGTCAAAGTCTCTCCTAACCTGTTCGAGGATGGGCTGCCATGGTGCCGTATAGTCAGTAATGTTCCCAATCCATGCGCCTAAAGATCTGATGGCCTCCCCGTCAGCTGCTATTTTCGTTCGTGCTCCAAAGGGCTCGTCGTCCGGGTGAAGCATTCTATTCGCGACTACCCAAGCACGGTGCTCCGGGGACCCCATAGGTACTACTTCCGTCTTGTCGAGGTTGAATTTCGCGCCTGATACGGAGCACCATTTCCGTAGTATGTCTTGGAGGTCTCTGTAGCTGTCTCTGCTACTCAGATAGACCGTGGTATCGTCGGCAAACAGGGTGAGTACCACCTTCGCGGTTAACCCTGGTATGGAGTATCCTCTTATCTTCCCTGAGGCGCGGAGTATGCATGCCAGGGGCTCAATTGCAAGGTTAAACAATAGGCAGGATAGTGGGTCGCCCTGCCTTACGCCTCTTGATACGCGGAAGCCGTTGCTCATGACTCCATTTATGATTACAGTCGTTCTGGCATTGCCGTACAGGGCCTCTATCGTCGAGACGAAGAGCTCTGGCAATCCGAAGTGTCGCAATGTTCGCCCAAGGTATTTGTGGTCGATCTTGTCATATGCCTTCTCCTGATCGAGGGCTACAATAGCTCCATCCATCTCCATTGCTTCCGCGTAGTCTATCATTACCTGTGACAACCGGATATTGTCGAAGATGCTGCGCCCCGCGATGAAACCCGCCTGATCCGGGTGTACCATCGAAGGTATAATTTCCGCCAGCTGCAGCGATAGTGCCTTCGTCATTAATTTGTAATCTGTGTTCAGGAGGGTTATCGGACGGTAATTGCTTATCACGGTCGGGTCGTTCTTCTTATACAGTGGGCACAGCCAGCCCTGGGTGAAATTTGTGCGGGGGTCGACTCCATGCCTTTGGATGTCCTGGAAAACCATAGTCAGCGTCCATGCGACGTTGAAGCTGGCTTCTCCCGCTTGTTCCGCCCTCTCGTGCATAGCGTTCAGCTTTTTCCACACCTCGTACGGGATACCGTCCATGCCTGTTGCCCGGCCGCTGAGGGACTGCCTCAGGGCTTTCTCCACGGTGTCCCCGTTTAGGGGACGGCTGAGGTCATTCTGCGTGGTGTTTGGCATCTTCTGGGAAGGCGGTATGCTGTCGAAAACCTCGTTCACGTTCGTTTCCCATTCGGTAGGATCTCGTGCAGCCCCATCTTTCTCGTTTTGGAGTTCATCATAATACCGTTCTGCAAGTGCCGCCATACGGTCCGATCGTGTCTCGTATTTCTCGGGCGCATCATTTGGTGCTCGCAGTCTCCTCATCAAATCGCGCGGCTTCCGAGGTTTATTCAGGTTAGTCCAGTACTTCGACACCGTTTCGCCCTTCAGTTGGTACCGTGCTCGTGCCACATCCTTTCGGACTTTCCTCATTTTTCCGAGCAGTTGTCGTCTTTTACTATCCAGGAGGGCTGCCTGTGCGGCGCCGTCCGGGTTCGCGTCGAGCCGCGGGTCGTCACCAAGTTTCCGTAGCGCTTTATCAAGCGTGTTTACTGCCGATTTCACTTTCCCTATGTTTGCCTTCTCCTTCTTCCTCGCTGTTTCCCTTAGCCATCGTTTAAAATCCTCCCACACCGTTTGTACGTTGTGGTTTCCGCGCTGATCCCCACTCTCTCGTAGGGACTCCATCGCCCGCTGGACTTCCTTTCCCCTGTCGGCTATTGCGCTGAATAGCGCGACATCGGAGAGGCTTGCATGCCCCAACGTCCATCTGCCCTTTCCTATGAGCGGGGCCGAGGTCGGCGCATATTTCACAGATACCATACAGTGGTCAGTCCCCACTATGGTGCGGCACATCTTCCATCCGAAGATCGCCTCCGCCGCTGTTTCGTTTGCGTATATCCGGTCGATCCGTGACGCGGATTGTTGCGTCGAGAAGAAAGTGAACTCCCGGCGCGTCTCAAAGGTTTGTCTCCATGTATCTTGCAATCCGAGATCCATTTTGACCCCATACAGGGCCGCGGCCGCTCTCGTATCGTCCATCCGCGCTGGAAGGCGATCGATGTCGGCCTCTACCACATTAAAGTCTCCAAGCATGAAATGCGGTTGCGGGAGTTCGTTAGCCTCGAAGGAGCGAGCGAACTCTTCCCAGAATTCCGGTTGATCAGTTTGCGTGCTCGGCGCGTAGACATTTACCAGGTGCACCACCTCTGCGCCATGCCAAAGTAAGCTTATCGATTGTGCTCTCCCCTTCACAACTGTGGTTACTGTCACGTTCTCCGTCTTCCACGCAGTGTTTCGTTTGTTGAGTACAAAGGCAACGCCGGCCGAAGAGTGTGCCCTCTCTGGGTCAGCAGAGTTCAATACCCGTATTTCCGAACCGTAGAGCGAATCAATCTTCGCAAGGTCGTCGTCATCTAGGTGGGTTTCCTGCACAGCGAGGACGTTGATTTTCTCATCTCTTACTAACCGGGCGATGTCCGCCCACTTGGATAGTGGTCCTTTTCCACTCTCCTGCCTCCCATTCATATTGAGGGTGGCGATTACCAGCTTTGCTTTTGTATTTAGTTTCGTTGCTGCCCTACCACCATTTGCGCTTCTTCGGGACATGGTGATCCTCGGTCGCATCGTGCTCGCATCTGTTGTGTTACCCGTTCGTTCGCTCGGCGACCCGGGACCCCCTTCCTCCCTGGCCGTCTGCGTGTTATCCGCACGCACATCTCCGCCTGCCGAAACCCCGCCTACTTCATCAGAGCGCCCACCGGCGGTTGAGAGAGGCTCTCTTCGGTGAGCGGGGTTGCTCAAACCGTGATCGACCCTTCCGCCGCTTGTATTGTGATGTTGAATTGTGCTCGTAGTAGTAGTCAAATTGGTTTTGTTTTGCGCGGGTGCGGGCGACCAACCCGTTGTCCGCGCAGGGTGGATGCGCTGCAGGCCTGCATGTTCGTAAGAGTGGGCCATCCCCAAAACCACTCGGTCCTTCCGACCAGATCGATCAGTCGAACCCGCTTTCCTGTCCCACATTAGTGGTCAGTAAATTTGGGCAGGTTCTGTATACCCGTCCGAGCTCACCCTGTCCGAGCGGCAGCTCGGGATCTATCCTCAGGTGCACAAACTCAAACTGCTCGACGGCGAATCATTGCGCGTAAAGACTGTTGCGCATTTTTCTCGAGCCAGCTCTCCTACAGGATCCGTACATGGTATTCGTAAAGACAGTTATCCGCATTTCGCGGGGTAGGTTACAGCTGATACACGGGTGCTCAGAAACGACCATGTCCACGGCCGCGGCCTCGCCCTCGGGCGCGCGATGCCCCTCGCGGGCCTGCCCATTTACCGTCGTAGTCGCGTTGCGGCCATTCTTCTTGGTTGCCCCTGCGCGTTTGTGGACCGTTCCATCCAGGGATTTCGGGGAAAGGGCACATGCCTTTGGGGTGTCCGATGCCGTGGCAGTAGCCGCACGTGAAGGGGATCTTGTTTATCGCGGAGCCGTTCATAAGAGAGGTGTACGAAAGGTGCCGCATGAAGTTGCGGATGCGGAACCAGAGCGTGTGAGGGTCACGCTCGTCCTCGGTTCCCATATTGTCGGGCAACAGTATGGCGATGTCGGCGAAGACGTTGTAGCGAGGAGCCACGCGTCCTCCGCCGTCCTTTGCGTCGATCTGGTCGATATGCACAGAGTCCAGGAGGCCCTCGAAAGCCCAGTCGAAGTCGTCGTTATGAACCTCTCCGCATAGATCGGCGATTGCCGCCTTATTTCGCTTCAGCGTCACAATTACCGCGTCCTTGGCCAAGGCTGTGCCCTGTATCATGAAGCCTGAGATGGACTGTACGAAACGGGGGGGCGGGAACGACTTGTCGAGCATCCGTACTTCGAAGGCGAGGCCTCGGAGGGCCCAGATGCGTTGTTCGACGAGGTGGTCGATAGTCGCCGGGGGGACGTTGTATATCAGGAAGTTGTGGGGGATGCCTTCGTACCACGGACGCTTGGTCGGGTTGCCGTTGGTGTCAAGGGGGGCGGCCTTTCGGACGGGGACGGAGATCATGAGTTCGGTCAAGCCCGTCGCGGCGCGGAGTACAGCTTCTAACTCTCTGCCATATTGTAGTACTTCCTCGCAATCATCGGTGTTGAGGTCGAAGATGGACGCAGTCGCCTGGGTGCCCTCCATCGATAGCCACTGCTCAGCTTGCTCTTCATCCAAGCCATCGAAGGCCCGCGTGGCGTGCTCCGTATGTATCTCAGGCCAGCCCCCGAGGGGCGCCGGCGTGTGCTCGATGTCTACGGTGGCGGCCGCAAAAGAACCGGGAGATCGCGATTCGTTCCCAATAGCGAGGGCACTGCGCAATCGCGAGAAGGCCGCCAGGCCTGGCCGGGCTCCTGCGTTGGCCGTAAAAGCGGGCCGCTGTCCAGGGACGGCAGGGACGCTTGCGTGCGCGACGGGTGCGTTGGACGTGTGGTTAGGGGTGACAGGCGCACCAGGGCCTTGGGGGTTCCCTTGTGCGAGGGCGGGAGCGAAGGGGTCTTCGGGTGCTGCAGTGGCGTTGCTGGCTGCGGTGCGCGTGAAGCGTAGGGGTGTGATCGAGCCTGGGGTTGTCGCGGAGTCTGCGGGGGGTTGCCGACCTCCGTGCCTCTGCGGAGTCTGCGGGGTTTCGATGGCACCCTGCTTGGGCGTTTCGCGCGCGAGTGCTCGGGATTTGTTCACTTCCGCTGGCGGGGAGTCCTCTTCTATCAAGGGCCTCTTCGAGTGCTGGGAACCAGCAGTGTCGGTGTCTGGTGGGATAGTCTTTGACGCGCCTACGATGGCGACCGTTATCCTTGGTGTCGCCGCAAGGGGTGTGGTATCATCGGGTGGGGGACTACACCCGGCGTGAGTTCATTATTCCGTCGTAAGCGTAGGGTGGTCGCATACCTGTTCGTCATGTTACCGCCACTGTCTACATCCATGGCCGAGTCCTCATTTCCGCTCGTGGCAGGAGTATTCCCGGCGCCGTTGGTGGTGGTTGCAGTACCCGTCGGTGACTCCGGCGGTCCAGCCGCCAGCGGGTTACGTCGCACGTGACTTAGGCTCTTCCTCTGCCCTTTCGCCATGTCGTGCAGAGGGGCAGCGTGCAGGATCGTGTGTGTGGTATTTACGAAAGGAGCGTGCAGTAGGGTATTGTAGTCTAGTCAAGTCTATGTGTGCGCCGGGGGGGCCCCGGGTTCCGTTTTAAGGCTCTCTAGGGCGGAGTTGGGGTCCTAGCCGGATGATGTGCAATGGGGTCTCCCGCTACGGTTCAAATCCACCCCTCCTCGCTCACTCTCATCACACTTATCTTAATCGTATCCGGCAGCGGCTCCGACTTCGTACGACGATGTGTGAGCGATCGCAAACGGGTTAGTACCGACTTTTTCGGTTCCGATGGTGCTTTATCTTGTGTTCTCTCCTCCGAGACGGCCTGGTTTTCACCTGTATCCACGGTCATCGGCCGCGTTTCCACTTGGCGGATGATCCCCGTCTTCACCAACTGCGGGGTTAGGCTCAGTCTAGCTACGTTCCCAGATGTTGCCAGGCCCGTACCAGTTTCCTATGGGCATCGACTCGACGTCGCATCACGGCGTAAAAACCAGCCTCCTCTAGGTCTGTGTCCACCCGGGTGAGCATTTCCCTTTTCGCCTCACAATCAGTGGGATGCTGAGCTCACCGATGTCGGGGTCCTTTGACAGTAGGTCCATAAGGCGTCGCAGAAGAGATGGGGGTACGATTGGGGTGGCGTCGTATGGGATGAGCTCATTGGGGGGGGCGTCGTCTTGCATCATTGCAGCGTACTATTCTTCTCTGAGCCGTATGCTCTTATACTCGCTTGTTTTTACGTTCATGACGTCCGGTTTTTAAAGCGATACTTCTAGCGTCTTCGTTGTGATCGGCTTCTCCTCCTGTGAGGCGTCTTTTCGCTTCAAGATACGGTCCCCCACGGTGATCGGTGTGCCGACTCCAGGGAGGCCTAGGTATGCCCAGTTTGTCTGTGTCTTACTGCACTCCCCGTTCGTCCCTTCGTCATACATCTGGAGTGGGGCTCAACCATCCACCGCTGGTCTAGTCCCCGTGTGATGTGCTTCTTCTCCGCGGTATCGGTTTCCCACCCGTCGGGGCGTGCCGGTGCCTCTCGGCACCGCCGCCCGAGCCATTCTGTTGCGCCTTGGGGCGTCTTACCTCCTCGACATAGGATTCATTCAAGCTCCCGTGTATTCTGTATGGTGCGACATCGCCGCATGCCTCCATGGTCATTTCACCTCAAAAGAGAGAGGGGGGGGGGCCAGGTGGTGTTCCTGTGAGTTGTTCCTCTCATCCCCTACGCTACGTGAGCGTGGGAGACCTCTGCCATGGTGGTGGTCAGAGGTCAAGGAGCCCCCGAGGGCCTCTCTCTTGCCGCATCTGAGTCTTACTTAGATCTCTCGTCTGCTTCGGGTCGACCCTGCACGATCGCGTCCCCCTCCTCCACCGGAGCCCGCAGCGATATACCCGTGCTCGTGCATCCGATCCAACGTGAACGTGTTCGTCGCGCTCTCGATCTGGCGCCGTATTGCTCACACCGACGTCCAGTCCCGTTGTCCGTTGTCCTTTGTCCGTGTCTGGTGACGACCGTGTTGATCTCCTGTGCATATATATATCGGCGATGGATCCATGATGTCCCCGCGTACTATCTGATATCTGAACCCCCCCATCGTGCGCGAAGATAGCCGAACTCGGACGTCCTGGCCTAACCGGGGCGCGCACAGTAACGCGTTTTTATTACACACTTTTTTTACATGGACTCTCAGAACGGGAACGGGCCGGATCCGCAGCGGGGGCTCGGGCTCGGGCTCAGGCCGCTGGCCCGCACGGCCCACGCGATGCACGCCAAGCGGTGCCTCACCGTCGGCTTGCCCGCGTCCAAGGTCGAGATCGACTCGTCGCGGTGAGTGTGTCGTTCGTAACGTCGTCCCGAAGAGATCTCATGCGGATCGCTCGGGGACAGGCTGGTGCTGGGCTTTTACTGCCTGGGCACGCTGGACCTCGTCGATGCGCTCGAGGGCGTGAAGGAAGCGGATAGGGAGGGGTGGAGGGCGTGGCTTTGGGAGATGCAGGCTCGTGAGTTTCCGACGCGTTATACGTTTCTTTTTTTTCCGCTCTCTCCTGAACGTGGGGTTGTAGACGGACAGCACGGGACGGGGTTCAAGCCAAGCACCTACATGACCCCTGCGGACAAGCCTGTGCGTCGAAGACTTTCTTTTGGTTTCTCCTCCCCCCACACACGCTCATTCTTTTCCGTTTACTCCTCGAGACAAGAGACGGGGCTGACTCTATGTCGCTATGTACAGGCAGGGGCGGAGTACGGCGAGTACGACGCGCCCCATCTGATCATGACCTACGCCGCGCTGCTCTCGCTCGCCATCCTTCGCGACGACTTTGCGAGGCTGGACCGCCCGGGGCTCGTCCGATTCTTGGCTGCGTGCCAGCGCGAAGACGGCAGGTGAAGCGTGTTTTCTATTTTCTATTCTGTGCCTCTCCCCTTCTGCTTACGCTTCATCACACTTTCCATCGCCCGAACCGTTGCGTTGTTTATATTCCCCACCTCGTTTGATTTTTTATTTATTTTTCGGATGGGGATCGAATTCTAAACTAAACTAAATGCACATCCCTCATCCTCCTGCTCGCAGCTTTTCGTCGGTGCCTGGCGCGACCGACGCGGATCTCCGGCTGGTCTACTGCGCCGTCGCCGTCGCGAGCATGCTCGCCGACCTTGGCGGCATCGACGTCCGTCGCGCGGTGGCTTACATACGGCGTTGTCGGGTTCGTCCTTTCCATCGTTTCCTCCTCCTTCCCTTTCCCTCGTACTCATATACTTTTTTATTTTATTTTTTTTTTTTTTGGGAAGAGTTACGAAGGCGGGTACGGGCAAGAGCCGCGCGGCGAGGCGCTGGGCGGGACGACCTACTGCGCGCTCGCGGCGCTGGCCCTGCTCGAGCGGGAGGACGCGGGCGAGGCGGGCGCGGAGGACGCGCGGTTGACGGAGAGGGAGCGGCGGGCGACGGTGAGGTGGCTGGCGCGGTGCCAGGACGGCGAGACGGGCGGGTTCTGCGGGAGGACGGGCAAGGTCGCGGACGCGTGCTACTGCTTTTGGTGCGGCGCTTCGATGGAGGTGCGCGCGCCCCGTTTTTTTTTTCTCGCTTTTTTCCTTCCCCCGGGGGGGTGGGGGGGGGGCTGGCCGGGAAAAAAAAAAAAAAAAAAGAAAGCTGACACGACCTTTTTTTTCCCGTGTTTTCTTCTTTGTGGGTGTGTGTGGTGGTGTCCAGATTCTTGGGGCAGGGGCCTTCGTCGACGCGGACCGGAACGCGGCGTTCTTGGGCGAGTGTCAGTTCAAGTTTGGCGGGCTGGCGAAGGTCCCGGGCGAGCATCCCGGTGAGGCCCCTCTTTTTTTCCCCTCGGAAGGAACGGGGCGCTGACACAACTTTTGGGCGGATGGGTGCGCCAGATCCGTATCACACGTACCTATCCCTGGCGGTGATCTCGCTGCTCCCGCCGCGCGCGCCGGCGAACGCGCAGGGCTGGGCGGGACTCCAACCGCTGGACGCCCTGCTGAACGCGAAGCGCGATACGGCGGAATGGGCGCGGAAGCACATCCCTGCAAAGCCGTCGTTCGTGATCTCGTGATGGCTAAGCTTGGACATACTAATACCGTTGGTGCTTGCTGACGAGGAAGCCCGAGGGAGGCTGTTTGGCGTTCGAGGATGCGATGCTGATGGATGATGAAGTCGATGATACCTGGCCACAGAGCGTTTCGCATTATCTCGTCGTTCATACATACGTAGCTTATGCTAACACCGAGCCGATCGTCTGATTATGATGCACGATCAGCAAAGCAGATCAATTTCGCACTGCAAGTGGCTCTGGGTGGCTGATGGCCCCGGGGGCGAGGCTGATCGTTCCCAGGGGCGCCTGAACCGGCCTCAACTTGTTTCTGTTGTCTCCTCCTCCTCTTGTGTCTCAGCCGCTCCCGTCGCTCTTGACCCTCCGTTGTTGTTCCCTTCGCCGACGCACACGTCGCTATACGCTTGGCCGGCAGGACCGCTGGTCTTCGTCTCGACGACGCCCGCTTCGACGCCCAGCTCGTCGCCCAGCACATAACAACCCACCGACTCGACGTCGCCACGTCGTCCCACACCGGCGTGCCAGGTGGTAACCTCCCATCCAAGCCAACCCCGCACACACAGACAATCACCCGGTTAACAATTTCGTCCACAACCCGGAACGAGCAAACAAACTTTTGAAATAAAGTCGCCGGCCCCCAAAGCCCCAAAGCCAAGCCGCCGCCAACCTTCCAACACACAGACAGAGAACGCCCCCGCTTCCCTGCCCCTACCGTTTTTCGTTTGTCTTTAATTCCGTAAACACCGTCGAGCATGATGACGGCCAACCTTCGTCCCCCCTCGGGCGCTGGCAGCCGCAGCCCTTCGCCCGGCCCGGAGGGCGGGCGCCCCGCGAACGCGCGCGCCTCGATGGGACCCAACGGCGCCAGCGCCCGCCCGCAGGGCATGCTGGGCGCTCCGCTCGCCTCGCCTAGACCCGGCGGCGCGCGCCCGACGAGCGAGCTCCTCGTCAACAACGTCAATTACCAGTCTACTCCCGAGGGTGAGGTCACATCCGCTCTTCCAAAGTGAAACAGGAGGCGCTGATTCGTTGTTTGGTTTTTTTGCTTCTTCTTGTGCGTGCAGCGGAGGCCATCGACCAGTGGTTCGAGAATTTGCAGAGCTACGAGGATACTCTGGTGCGTCTTGAGAGGCTTCGTGCAGCGGACGCTGCGTGCTGATCGGCGGCGCAGGAAGAAATGGCTGCGGCCTCCCTCGACGTTAACTTCAAGGAGGAACTCAGCGCCATCGAGCAATGTTCGTCTCTCGTCTCGCCCTGCTTCTCTCGTTCTCTGCGTTTGCTCACATCTGCTCGATGCATACAGGGTTCAAGGTTCTCTCCGAAGCCGAGCGCACCGCGGCGCTCTACAGCCTCCTGCAGCACTCGACGCAGGTCCAGATTCGCTTCTTCATCACCGTCCTGCAGCAGATGGCGCGCTCGGACCCGATGACCGCGCTCCTCAGCCCGGCCGTCGGCGGCTCGATGCAAGCCCAGATGGAGGCCAAGCTCGCGCAGATGACGCTCAAGTCGCCCGGGCTCAAGTCGGGCCTCCCGCCGTCCTCGCCCGTCGCGCGCGCCTTCCCCGGCTCCAACCCGAACCCGAACCGGCAGTCGCTCGCGGTCGACACCGCCGCCGCGTCCTCCGCGTTCCTCTCGCCCTCGGACGCGGTCGGCTCCCCGCGCGCGGCGTCGCACGACGCCGCCGGCGTGCTCGCGCAGCAGCGCGCCAAGCTCAAGGCGAACGCGGCCCACCGCATCTCCGCGCCCGCGCTCGCCATGTCCCCCGCCGACGCGCGCGGCGTCTGGGGCCCCGGCGGCACCGGCCTCGACCAGGTGTCGGAGCGGTCCGGCTCGCCGCAGCCCTCGCAGGAGATCACGGTCCCCTCCCCGAGCGCGTCGCGCCCGAAGAGCACCGACTTTTCGGGCGCCGCCGCCGCGTTCCGCTCCGCGCGCCCGGGCGGCGCTGCGGACGAGGTGCTGTCGCCGATGGTCGGCGACAGCTGGGCGAACATGGTGAACACGCCGCTCATGCCGATGTTCCCGGCGAGCAACAACAACAACAACGGCAACAACGGCAACAAGCAGCCGGCCGCGGGCGAGTTTGGCGCGGCGGGCCGGGTGCCGATCATGGAGGACGCGAAGAAGTTTAGGCGCCAGTCGAAGGCCGACGGCGGCGAGCAGCAGCAGGGTGGCCAACAGCAGCAGCAGCAGCAACAACAACAGCAGCAGGCCCAGGGCGGCCAGCAGCAGGCGAATCGGGCCCCGTCTGGTAACTGGCGCGCGGGTAACGGCGCCAACTTTTCGGGCGCGAAGAGCCCGGCGCTCTCGAACGTGTCCTCGAACCGGTTCGGCGGGAGCGACGACGGGAGCATGGCTGGACTCGGAGTCGGGTTCGGCGGCATGGGCGGGTTGGGAAGCCCGAACATGGGGATGGGGATGGGGATGGGTGGCATGCCGGGGCTGGCCGGCATGGCTGGGCAGCTGAACCCGTACCTGCTCAACATGAACATGAACATGGGCATGGGCATCTCGCCCGAGGCGCAGCTGCTCGCGGCGCAGATGGCCGCGGCTGGCGCTGGCTTTGGGCAGCCGGGCTTGAGCCCGTTCAGCCTCGCCGGGCTGCAGGCGCAGCAGATCGCGGCGAGCATGGGTGCTCGTGGTGGCCCCGGGGGGCGCATGGGCGGGCGCTCGCCGAGCAACAACGGCCGCGCTGGCGGGATGGGCGGTGGAGCAGGCGCTGGGGCGAAGAAGGACGAGGAGGACGTGGACCCGAAGTTGCTGGAGGATATCCCCGCGTGGCTCCGGAGCCTGAGGCTGCACAAGTACACGCCCAACTTTGAGGGGATGAAGTGGCGGGACATGGTCGTGATGGACGAGGCGGCGCTCGAGGCGAACGGCGTCGCGGCGCTCGGGGCGAGGAGGAAGATGCTGAAGACGTTCGAGATTGTGAGGAAGAAGATGGGGATCGAGGAACCGGCGGGGTCGGCGTAGGCCTTGGACGGAAGTATACCACGGATAAGCGGCGGTGACCTCTCCCTCCCCCTGGTTCTCTAACCTCTGCAAGAACGTCGCACACATAGTCTCTCTCTGAACAGTATATACGTACGCTCCTCGTGCTTCTCTCCTCCGTCTTTGTCTTGTCGCGCCCTCGTCCGCTTCTTGATTGAATTAGTATGCAGTCCTCTTCCCCGTCCCCCTCACACTCTCCCTGTAACGGTCTTCACTGGTTCGGCCTAATGATTATTGGTCCTGTCTCGCCCCATTGCTCCCTGAGTTCATGTGGGGTTTGTCGGCCCCCAAGCCAGTTGATATGGATGATCAAAGAGACACTTGAAGGATGTAAAAGAGGGGTCTGATGGCCACGCGTACAAGTAGTTACAATATCCACAAAACTAATGGCACGAACAGCAACCTCACTCCGAATCATTGCCGGGCGGGATCGTGACGGGCGGAGTCAGATCATTCATAGTCAACACATGCACGCCAGGGACCATACTTCGCAGCACCTCCAAGTCCTCCTCAGAAAATCCTGTGCATCTCCGAAACATCACCCGTCGTAAAATGGGTCGTCCATCCTCGCTCCTTCTCCTCCACAACCATTCCACCCCGGACCGCAAGACCTCGAACCAGGGCTGCCCGGTCCTCGATCTGGGGCGCATGAGAAAGTCGATATCCGCGAATTCCAACGATGTGACGTTGGGGAGCACGGCACTGTATCGAGACAGGATGCTCGTCGCACGCAAGAAAGACTTCATCAAAGAAATGAAGGCCCAGGAACACCCCACAGATATCTCTTGCGATGGCCAGTTTCCTGGAAGTTCTCCCCTACTGTTTCTGAACGCATTCGGGCTGTTTAGCTGCCCCTTGAGCGCGAGGGAGGTGATGCGCGATGTACGCAGCATCTGTATGATGTCCTGAAGGACGAGTGGCGCTTCTGCCTCGTCCTCGGTTTGAAATGATATACCGACTGGGAAACTCCAGCCGACGGATGTAGGCGTCGAAGGAGAGCGTCCGAACTCCAGCGCCAATTCTATATTCCATTTCTCCTCCTCTGGCTGTTCGGCCTCCAAGGTCACGTCCCGCGGAAGCACGCAGCGTTTTTCGACAAGTTGCAATAGGGCCAGAGTGAAATCGACGCAGTCTCCGCAGACGGTGTTACACAGCACCACTCGTCCGAGTGGCTGCGTGAGTTCCAGGTTCTGCAAGATGTTGATGCTGTCGCAGGCGCTTCCCCAAACCACGAGTTCCTGCAGCGATCGCGGACACGGCCGCCTCTCAGCGACAAACAATTGATGCGTAGGCGGCGAGCAATACACCAAACACAAGACTTCCAATGATTCCAAATGTACGAGAACGTCCAGGACCTCTCGAAGGTCAGGCTTGTCTTCCGATTGGGCTGATCCGCTATCGTCCGACTCGCTATCAGGGACTTCCTCGAAACCACAAATGGAGAGATGGCGCAAATTTGAAGCCCGTATGATCTGCGAGTTCCATAGACAACGGGTAGCAGCGGAATCCACCCTCAAGTACTGGATAAGAGGTGCGCTCAGCTCGGCGAGACGAGCTTCGATCGCGGCGGTTTTGGCGGGAGAGATCCATGCGGATAGCTGGATATAAAGCGTATGTAGCTCGGGCGCACACCCTTGAAATGCGTCCAAAGCGGATAGAATACCAGCATCTGTATCAGCGTCGATCCACAGTCCGGCGATGCGCATACGATTCTGCGCCACTATGTCGGAGAGATCAGTGTGGTTTTGGTTGTCGTGTGGGCAGAATATGCGCAGAGGATGACGAGGAAACCGCTCCCGCATAGCGAGCGTCAACGGCGGGCCCGGCTTTGTACTATCCAGCGTCAAGCACATCCACAGAACTGGGCTATTCATTGAAATTTGGCGCCACAGACGACACACCTGTGTCAAAGTTATCGGCCAGCGGGGATCGGGCCAAAGAAGCTCCCAGTCGAAATCGTAGATGGTTTTGATTTGCCAAGTGAAGATGTGCTGTAGCAATTCAACGGGCATGCAATTGATGGGCCGGGATGCGTTGTGATCATACAGAAGAGCCAGGATTGAATGGCAGCGATGCTCTCTCATAGATAGGAGGTTTTGCAAGGATCTTGAACGTTCATTACGTGGCTTCAATGTTATAGCGCCAGCATCGTGTGCGTAACACTGGCACGATGTGCAGGGGTGAACCGTGACGTTGACGTGAGGGTCGACGAGATCCGAGGCACCACCTTCCGTCCGTGATGCGGCTAGCTTCGCACAGATCTCCTCGATCTCTCCCTGGAGTCTCCGTATGTTATCGGACCGTGCTTTGTCAAGAGCCGCGAGCAGGGCGTTCTGTTCGGGGTTACATACACACGATGGACAGTCAGCATGACTGCCCCGTCGCAACATATACTGGTCAGGACAAATCGGTAGTAAGGCGCGTTTCCACTCACATCACGGGCATTCTGGTGTTACGCTGAACACTAGGGCGAGGACTATAAAGACGAGGCTCAAATTTGCGGACCAGGGTTGCTGATTAATGTGACAGTTGATGCAGGCGAGCGCTGCATACTCAGGCGTCCGGAACGGTTCACCGCCTCGTCGGGGTGGCAGAAGCTACCCCTAATTTATGGTCGCCTCTCAGACAATCTCAACGAATACAGGAACGAAGCATTGCAACAGGGATGAGTGGTAACGAGGTACGTCCCAATGCCTCTTTCCGCGACTCCTCAAGCCGCCAAATCACACGCGTACGGCCGAAGCGCGCACCAGGTTGGCTGCAGCGGGATCGCCTTGACACCCCTCTGACTCATCCGAGACGCAAGTTCGTGCAAGCGCGGCAACGCGCTTGTCACATTTGTCTTCGACGGCCCGCTCCAGAAAAGCTCTGCTGAAGCGGCGGCACGGGGCCAGACAATCGAGTCGAGGTTCGTCGGCGATGCCTGTTCGGTCCAGAGAGGTTGTTGACCTGGAGAAACACGTCATCAGCAGGCATGATTGGGGTAGAAAGCACGCCCATATACCTCCGATGACGAGTTTGCGTTGCGTCTCCGTCATATTGGCATATGGATCGAAGGTATAAGCCTGAAGTTGATGTCGAGACGCTCTCGTGTTATCACCACACCACATCAAGAACAACATACCCTCTGCCATGTCTTGAAGGGATCACACCAGCTGTTCCCCGATGGATCCGAGCCGACCCAGCCACCAGCGCCGCAGTCCTGGCGATAGTTTAGTCCCCGTGGTTGCTCTTTTCAATGCAGTCTATTCACCAAGTAGAAATAGTCAGACGGTTGGTGGATGAGCCTGTAGCCACGCTCGGCCACCGATGTCGCGTTCTGAGAACTGATCCACACACTGAGAATACACTTAGCCAGCATAGAACTACTCGTTACATGCCCGGGCTTACACCACGATGGTTTCGTTTGATAAGGGGACGTCATAGTCCAGTAATATCTCTATCATGCGGTGATATGAGTATAGGCCTCAATATGATCGGAGCCAGGTACCTTCTTTGACTATGGGAGTCTTCCCCAGTTTCTCCAACGCCGCGTGATTCTGGAGCGTAAAAACGCCCAATGCCTGCTCGAGCGTTTGCCCGGTCGCCTTAAGCTCGATCTGCGTCTCGTCGTCTTGGTCATAACAGTTGGTGTTCACCTCGTCTCCGCCGGTGCTGAACAAGCGTGACGAGTACAGCTTGGCGGCCGCGGATAGCAGGTTTGTCGTGAAGTTCATGGTAGACGGCGAGGCGAGGCGAAGCTGGCCTGCAGGAGGCTCTGACGGTATCTCAGGGCGAAGTTGTGAACACGACTACGCCGTTGCTCACCACTCGCAAACGAGGCCCACGGTGTAGCCTGTGGGCACGCGACGTGTTCCGGATGCGACTCCGATATAACAGCCGTATGTCCAGGGGTGTCAATTTCCTGGAGGAGAGGTGAGATGCTGATGAGAACTTGACGCCTTCATAAACGTACGGGAACAACATCGATACCTCTCTACCACAATGTTAGCCTTAAATTGAGGTATGTGGAGGATCACCCACCGTTGCCGCGTAGGAGACAATTTGGGCCACGTCGGACGGAGTGTAGACAGACGAATTTGAGTAGGCACCGTCCCGGGAAACTTCCTCGAATCCAGGGATCTGTAATGGAAAGCTTTGGCTATCCACAACGTGCCAGTAGAGCTGGCTCATCTTTCGTCGAGTCAGATCTCGCTGATCGTCGAACATCACTGAAGGCTACCTTGACCCAGCTCATTGCATCTAAAGTCCTCTTAATATCTGACACTGGAAAGCTGCGTCAATCCACATCGGTTAGCTCATAGTGCATGGAAGATCTCGAATGTACTCACAAATGTCTTGATGTGTCAAGCATGAAGCCACGATAAGGCTGCAGGAAGGTGAGCGACGATCCTATACAAATTCCAGAACAGGTGCCTTACAAGCTCTGGTACATCATCAATCGACACGGGGGCTTCCAAGTTGTAGATTATGTTGTCCACGGTATACCACAGCTGACTGAATGTTGCTAAGCCCCTGAATAGCCCGAGGGATGTATTCGCCGACAACATCGCAGGACCTCCCGTGCTTGGGATATCCAATGAGTACGCTTCATTCCTCTCAGATATGTCTCTCGTGGCTTCCTCGGATATGCTGCGAATCTGCGGTGCACCATCGACAAGCTCTACTCTCAATGTCGTCAACTGCATCGCCTCTTCCAGCACACCCAAGTCGGATTGGCCGCGATCGACGACCAGTCGCCCGAGATGATCGCTTTTGACATAGTGCTCGGTGCGACTGACGGCGTCGACGAGGTCGGTCGGAGGGTTCGGAAATGTGATCTGTATAGAGAATTCGTCAGCCAGACGTAACACGTTTCGTCCGGTCTTGATCGTCGTAGGAAGGGGCCAAATGGCGTTGACGATGACAGGTACGCAGGTTACTGCGACAACAAGCCGATGTTGGACCAGCATCAGGAGGGTTCAACGCAAGGACCAACGTTTCACCCGTAGTTATGCAACCTTGATAAGGTACCACATGTGCCATAGGACACCACGAGACCAGGATTCCGACTTCATAGGCTCAAGCAGGATAGGACGTCTGAAGTTCTTTAGACAATGAACTCTGGAGATCCATGAACAGAAACCTCGAGAAGACTACACAGAGAAGTAAGTCCCATGCGCGCCGAAGAAGAACCGGGATGAAGCATGCTTCCGAGATAACTATCTCTCAACTGAACGTATCGATTGTGGTGTTCGAAATGAGGGCCATTATTAACGGCCGATGCATGGCAGACAATTCTGAAACGAGTGAGGGCTTCGAGGGGACAACCTCCCGCAATCCCGTGGCATCGTCGGATAACTCTGTATCCGTGGGAATTTGCTCCGGCACCCGCTTCATACGGGCTCGTTGACTGTGATCTTGCCATTGACACTAATGCGGATGTAAGCTCCAATACAACACATTGTCTCCGCTCGTCAGACTTCTTGCACATGGTGTGGCTCTCCTGTTTTCCATGTTGGCGACGCTTTTGTGAGGGTCAAAGCACCTTCTCAGCCGATATAGCACGGCACCGTCGGCTTCTCCCACTGTATAGCTCACATCGCATGCATTCCTGTGCGGAATGTGGAAAGTTCAACTAAATGGATTCTTGCGAACGCAATCACGAGACACCTCGGATGATCCTGCATTGTTGGTCAGGCTTGACTCCGAACACCATGGCTAGCGCAGAACGACCGTTCAAAGTAGACATACCCGACACCCAACTGGAACAACTGAAAACAAAGCTTGCCTTTACCCGTTTTCCTGACGAGCTGGAGGATGCTGGCTGGGATTACGGCGCGCCTCTGGGGGACGTGAAGCGACTGGTGGACAGGTGGAGGAACGAATGGGACTGGCGCCGCCTCGAGGCTGAAATCAACGAACTACCTATGTTCACGCAAGACATCGAGATCGACGGATTCGATACTTTGGAGATACACTACGTACACCAAATGAGCGAGTCTGTGAACGCCATTCCGCTCTTATTCATTCACGGATATGAGTGTCATCTTATCGACTGCACGTTCTCGAGCGTTCACCTCAATAACAGTGCTACTCTCAGGGCCAGGACACTTTCTGGAAGTCCGAAAAATCCTACCTCTCCTTTCCTCTCAGGAAGAACCCAGCTTTCATGTGGTAGCACTCGGTTTGCCCGGTTACGGTTGGTCTGAGGCGCCAAAGAAGAAGGGGTTCAGAATGGGTCGATATGCTGAGGCTCGTTCACCTATTCTATGAATCGTGTACAATTCCAGGCTGAAAACCAGTCGAACTGCATAGATCGCCAACAAACTGATGACATCCCTCGGGTACTCGGAATACGGTGGGTAGAAGCGATACTGACTCCTAATGTTTGGACTTATAGCTCTCCGTATTCTCTGCAGTGATGCAAGCCGGAGATCTAGGACACTTTGTACGCGTACTTGTGCACTCTTATGGAGAGAAACGTTGATCACTATGTGTGAGCAGGTAACGCGCAAGATGGCAATTCTTTATGGAGGCAAACACCTTAAGGCTTGGCATACCAACATGCCTCTGTGAGTGCTCGTGTTGCATGTCTGCGCTTCGTGTGGCCATATCTAACATTGTTGTGGACAGCGGGGCACCGCCCACAATTACATCGAACCTGCTGGCCTTCTTAGGGTCGCTGTTGATGGGATATTCCGCTACCGACAAAGCGGCTCTCGCTCGCAGTCAATGGTTTCGGACCCATGGTTCAGGTGTGTCGAGAGCCTGTTACAACCAGGCTTGAGTCTACGAGCTGTCTGATAGGCTATATGCGGGAGCACACAACGCAACCGCAGACGATTGGATATAGCCTTCAAGATTCTCTTAATAGGCTTACTAGCATGGATATATGAGAAGCTTCATCACTGGACGGACGATTATCCTTGGAGTGATGATGAAGGTTTGTTGTAACTTTGCTTCTTCTGTTCTCTGTGATCACAGAGTTTGAGACGTCACACCATAGTTCTCGATTGGATATCAGTGTACTGGTTCTCTCGAGGAGCACCAGCAACAACCTTGAAGATATACTACGAGCTTATGCAGTCACCCGACTTCAACGATGTTAGTCAGGTCACAACTGCTCCAATGGGTGTGTCGTACTTCCCCAAGGAGGTTGCCCCTTCTCCGAAATCGTCAGTTTGCGTTACTTTATGCAGACTTTCCGTCGCTTCTGACAATATAATTCATCGTTTCCTCTAGGTGGGTCCGATTGACAGGGCACGTCGTCTTCGAGGCTGAGCATGATGACGGCGGGCACTTCGCAGCACACAAAAAACCAGAGGAACTGGTCTGGGATCTGAGAGAGATGTTTGGCAAAGGAGGGCCGGCTTTCGGGGTAGTCTCTGGAAAGAATGGATACAAGACATAGTATATGCAGTTGGTCTATGCTATATCGGCTGGTAGTCAGAGTGCCGTTGACGAGGGGTGGTATTCTCTTGCGAGCGGAGGGCACATCGACACGCTTGTTTAAGAACTAAGAATGAGCCATGTATCGTTTCCGTCAAAGATATAACGTGTCATGGAATCCGTTGTATACAACGTACATGTCAATCCGTTGAAAGCCGAGCACATCCCTAACGTCACCTCGCCGATGAACTCAGAGAACAAGCGAACCCATAGTGAAGGCCGATCAAAACGGACTGTGTGCAAATGAGGGATGTACGCACAGGCGCGTAAGACGGTAAGCACAGCATTGCGGACTTCCTACTTGCCGGTCATACGCATGGAGTAACTGGCGGTTTGCATTTGAGGCCTTCGGTATCGGGATTCCCAAGACGGCAGCGTCGGTGCTATACCGAATTCATTTACTTGTTCGGGGATTCGGATGCTATTCATAATCTCCTTAGCCTACGAACAAATCCGGAGTTGCTCCCCCACCTTGACTCCGCGAGAACCCATAGAAAATATCCGACAGGCAAGGAGCGCGCACAATCTGCTAAAGCGAGAGCTTCCGCCCACACTCAGAAACATCGATCCCATACGATCAGCTACCAGCTCTCATCGATCGTCAATACTTCTCTTCGGGCGCAAGATTGGCAAGGGACCTCATCAAGCCTCGTGTAGCTTAATGGATCATCGGCGGAAAAGAGCCAGCGGCGCCTGAACAAAATCTGAGCGTACAAACGGGTTTCACTGGACGAGGTGCACACGCCGTGAGTATGAGTATCGTTTCTTGTGATGAAGCATGTGCTGTGTTTCGTGGGAGTCGAAGTGCTCGTCTAGGGTCGCTGTGAGTCAGGGAGTAGTGAGCGGGATTCACGGTTGGAAAGCAATGTGCGAAGATGATGTTTCGGCGTCTTCCCCTGCGTTCCCGTGGCGAAGGGTGGCAACTTCCGTCGGCGGGATAGCATCCAGAGCCAGTGATTGATACTTTTTGAAGGAGTATCGCCGTAAGAAAGTCGTGTACAAGATTGAACAGTAACCATTCTGATTTACGGCACACAAAGCTCGGTCCAAGCTTGGTCAGAGGCTCCTATGATCACCGCGAAAGCGGCTGAAGCACCAAACGCGTGTTCAACGCGATCACGTGCACTCCACCTCCGATCCACGTTTCCCGCTCGCCTCCACGGCGGTCCGAACTCGGCTGGAGCTTTGGACGATAACGCACCCATTTCTTTTGCTGGGCCTATCAACAACCTAATACAACAAGAAAACGGTCGTGGCGGCACTACTTTCTTCAAGCCAGCCGCAGAACAGCGCGTTCAGTTTACCGCATGTACGCTCCGGACTGGCAGACGGAGGAGCTGGCCGAGGAATGGGTGGAAGAATCTGATGACGACAACTCTGAATCGGACCTCTCATTGACAAAACCCATTGCCGGGTCTTTCTTTGTCACTCCCGATCGTTCACTGGGGCACACGGAGGACGAACCGGACGGTGCTGGCGGGGCGGGGCCCAGTAGTGCCGTTGGAACCTTTGTCGTACGAGAAGATCAACCTCCTCCAATACTTCCGAAGACGCCTGGTAAAGGAGGGATCAAGTTCGGCAATGACATGTTCACCCCACTCAAGCTGGAGCGCATGTTCGAACCGCCCTCTCCTCCGCAACAGCAGCAACAAGCGACTACAAGCTCACAACCTCTATCTCAGCTCCCTCAAGCTCCAGTACCCTCTTCTAGCTCCGCTCCTCTGAACCCCAGTCCGCTGTCTCAATGCTTTGTACCTTCCCCTGACCCAACCACGACTACACGCCTGCGAAAATCTTCCGCTCAGTCAATCCGCGACTCCCCTATCATCGAGAACGATGGGAAGAAGGACTCCTCGGAGAAGAGCGTGCAAAAGGAGCCCTCGGACGAGATCATGGAGACGGACATCCCTAACGTGAGCTTCAACGGGCGGAAGCCTTCCATGAACGGCCAGTTCACATTCCATATGCCTCCAAGACCCCCTCCCGATTCCCTTCACCCAAATTCGGCAGGACCCTCTCCCATGCCATCCTCGACTACTCCCTCACCCTTTCCATCTGCCCCTTCTGGTCTGGCTGGAGTGCAGAGTACTCCGAAACATCCGAACCTGTTGGATAAGGCAATTGGGAAGTCTGCGACCGCAGGAAAGCCAAGCATAGCGACGCCTATGACCGGTTAGTCGCGTTGGAACCACAGACTCACCTAGATATGCCTGATGCCTGACGCCACGTACAGATCCACGGCTACGCTTGTTTCAGTTCCAGTATGATACGTTTACACGCGAACACCTCTCGGCCATCGTGGATTCTATCGCAGTGAACTCCAACTCCCCAAGCAGCGACGCCTTCTCTCCCCTCTCAGGCGCTCACCCTCAACTACCAGGCGGAGGGCCTCCGAAAAGCCCAGCTTCGCCTTATGGGGCGAAACAGCTTGCTCATGCTCGGGATCGCGCGGGTCAGGCTGGTAAGGCCTTGAACAGACTCTCGAAGGTGCTGGAGGATGATGGCTCGCGTTCGCACCTCCGCAGCGCGAAGAGGCTTAAGCTTACTCCCGAAACCGAGCTATCGGAGCCAGAGCCCGCCGTGTCCTCGGGGCTACTCCCCCATTCCTCCGCGTCGACACAACGGACTGAGACTACGCATTTTCTCTATGGACAGTCTCTACATCGAACTGAGAGTGCGGCAACCAACGTCGTAGCCAGCAGCGCCAGTGCCGCCCCCGCCGGAAGCCGTACCTCCGGAGCGTTCACGCGTACAAACTCGGAAGCTTCATCCAGGACAGCACGCCCCTCTCTCTCAACGCGGACTGCTTCTACGGAGTTCCTATACGGCAAGCAACAGCCCCGAGCGGATAATTCGGATGTGTACGGTGAAGGAGAAGGTGATGGGGCTGCCATCGCGCGTCCTCCCGATGATCTTCGGGCACAAGGGACGCTACGCAGGGATTATGTTAGCGAGAGCCGGAGCCTCATGAGTCAGATCAAGAAAGCACGGGACTTCTCGACCATAAGTACGGTTGCCAGTCTACGCGACGAAGGGCGAGAACAGGAAGCGGAACCACCCCTGAGCGCTGATAGGAAAAATAGTGAAACCTCTCCTGTCGGGCATGGGTCGGTTATACTACACGACACTCCCGATACTGCTGGAGAGAAGTCTGTTACTTCCAACGCGGCCGCGAACCTTGACCCCTACGGACCTTCCCCACCGATGTCCATGGCGCCATCTCCTGGAACTTCCATGGCTAACACATGGAACACCGCTCGTCCTGGTACGCTGCGACCTGCCTCGTCGCGCCCCAACTCGGCGTTATCTTACCGCGCGCAAGCTGCGGAGTTGATCGCACAAATTCGCAGTGGCCTCGGGAGTCGGATCGTGTCCGTAGCGACCGATCTCTCACAAACAACCCATGGGGAGCAGTCTATTCAGGAGAAGGCGTCATTTCGACGCTCGTCAAATTCGGGATCACTGCGGCAGGCCGAACGCTCGGGACGATACTCGGAGGCAGCATATCCCGCCGGTCTCGGGCATGGTGAAGACCCATCCGTTGGTGGACCGGTTGGTGCTGGTACCGGCGAAGCACCCGAAGGATCGCCTTCAGGGTTCCGTCCGACGACGGGCTCGTCTCCTCGTAAGCGCATGCGGACGATGAGCGTCGCAGGCCACGATGATGAGCAACGTCTCGCTGAAGGCGTCTCGCGCCTGTCCATAGCGCCCGCACCGGTAGTATCAGATCCGCCCCCGATGTCATCGAATCCTCAAGTCAGGGATGGACAACTCAGGGCAACCACACCTAGTCTCGTTCCGCCGACAGTGGCGGTGCAACCTCCCTCTCCGGCAGGTAATCACCATGCACCCAATCTGGCTACCGGCGGCGCAGCGGTGCCGGCATACCCTTCCAACTCGGTGCGGGCGCGCGCCAGCGAGGACCTGAACCGCTTTGTGTCATCAAGCACAGTCACCAGTGGGACCGGGACCACCTTGACCGCGTGAGTCATCGCATTGCATTTTTTTCTCCGCGCGACTGAGCAACCTTTACGTGACCAACAGTGGTACCGTGGATAGCTACGTGAAGCATGCTGGTCCGAAGCAGATCACGCACATTGCACCCCACGATGTGGGCGTGCCTGATCGTGTCGGTCGGATGGTGTTTGACAAGGTAATTTATTCTAATGGAGGCAGAAATCACCGGCTGACTGAATCGGGCGCAGGTCATGCTACGCTGGGTACGCGATACACACGAAGCGACACGGCTCGTGGAAGCTATTCCGGAACGCGATGGCGAGGGAGAGAGTGACGACCCTTTCCGTGATATTGAGAGCCTCACGGAAGAGGAAGCCTCTGCCAGACATCGCGAGCCTCAAGCCGGTGGCGCGGGCCCTGATCTGGAGGAGCCAGAGGCGGAAGACGAGGAAGAGCGCGAATTGCATTCCTTCTCCTTCGACGAACGAAGCTTGGCGGTAGTGCCCGCTCTGACGGGAGTTGCGGGTGAAGATGGCAGCCATGTCATGAACGAAACGATGACCACCGATACTGAGAGCGACGGCGATGAGCAACGTGATGGAACGGATTTCCTCGAAATGTCTGAGATCTCAGAGTCGATGACGACCGATGGTCTCCACGAAGAGCCCGAAGGCTTGGCTTCCACATTCGAGGTCGATCCAGCCCGGTTCGAAGTAGTCGAAGATGGTGTCGACGGTGTCAAGCAGAATCCCATAGGCACTTGGAGCAGTTCCACCTGGCCCAAAAGCGGTATGGCAATGCCGAAGGTGACTTTCACGCCGAGTCCTGCCGGGCGCGCGACAAGTACTACGCCCGTGTCTGCGCTGAAGGATCCGAGCCGTAGCCGTTATCAGACTCCTCAAAGTCGACTCGTGCACCACCGGAGTGTTAGCTTCTCTGACGGCAAGCGTGACGGGCCTATCGTTGATGCTGAGGAGATCGATGCCAGCGCTGAGCTCACTGGTGAAGAGTTATCCAACCTGTCCGTGGACTTGGGCAACGGGGATGTGTTCGTGCCGAGCGCGAGGTCAAAGCGGATCGAAAACCTGATGCAGGGTCTTGAAGAGGACGATACCAGTGAGTGAGACACTGAGTCCTTTCCGCATATTCTCAAACAGTGTGGCAGGCTTTGAGGATGAGTCCCCTTCGAAAGACACAGGCCGACCTCCCCTACCCCAACTGCAGCCGTTGAGTGCCCGTCGGCCAAGCACAAGCCCTTCCAAGGTTGCCAGCACGGTATCCGCCAGAGTCAACGGTGACGTTTCTCGACGAGTGTTCTCTCAGAGTCATGGTTCGCCGTTGCAGAAGTCCCAAGTCAACGAGTCGAAAGCGAACGCCACATTTCTGACGGAATGTTCGTTCGCCGTGAGCCATGACAAGCTGGTACAGGTCATCACCGACGTCCAACCGTTCGAACCTTACTGGGAAGAGCTGAGTTGCATCGATCTGAGCCGAAGGAATGTGGACAGCGTTGCCAGGCTGAAGGAATTCCTCCCAAAACTCGACTCGCTCTCGCTGTGAGTTGTTATTGCGGTCTTGTCATAACTCACAGACTCACCGCCCGTAGAAACTTGAACCAGCTATCCTATCTCAGTGGAGTGCCTAAAACCGTGCGGACCCTGACTGTGGCATCGAATCAGTAGGTTCAAACGGCATCATTGTTGGACCGCGCAATGAACTGGTCTGTGCAGGTTAACCAGTTTGACGTCGTTCAATCATCTACTCAATCTCGAGAACCTGGATATCAGCCGCAACAACATTGACTCGCTGCGACGTAAGTTGTATTTAGCCTTGATCATGGTCTGGATCTGTCCAACGCATTTTCTGGTGCAGAATTGGCGTGCCTGCGTCACCTCCGCGAGCTTCGAGCTGACGGGAACCAGATCACCTCATTCGACGGCCTGCAACGATTGGACGGGCTGGTTAAACTCAGCGTTCAGAACAACCGGATAAGCGAGATCGATTTCTCCGAATACAGATGGTAGGAGAACTGGATCCGGACCTCGATGCGATGTTGACAATCGTGCTCAGGAACCGGCTGGAGATGTTGAACCTGAGCCATAACCGGGTGGACCACATCACGGAACTATCGACGTTATCCGCGCTGATCTCCCTCAACCTTGGTGAGCCCTTTCCGAGTATCCCATCTTTCATCTATCTGATGGGGCCCAAGATAACAACCTCCTCACTGAGCTCGAATGCGAGGAACCCATGCCCCGCTTACGTATACTCCGTGTGAGCAACAACAAGCTTCAAGTCCTAGGATGCGCGCCCTTCCACAATGTGCGCACCCTGTACGCCGATAATAACGACCTCCGCAAGCTCGCCAAGGCGCACAAGCTGACCAAATTGGAGAATCTGAGCCTTCGGAACCAAGCTGGGAAGGGACTGTGAGCGCGATACCACGCTTCGCCGCGAACGGCCCGTGCTGATCGGCTGAATAGGCGTGTGGACATGCACGACATTCGTGACGTGAAGCGGTTGTACCTTTCGGGTGCGTCATCGAGAATGCCCGAGCATAATGGACCGTGTACCCGACTCACGTTACTGCGCTCCGCAGGAAACCGGATGGACGCCGGTTTCCTCACGGAGCCGTGCTACAACCTGATCTACCTCGAGCTCGCCGCCTGTCGGCTGACCTCGCTCGTCGGGGACATGGCGCGTCTCGTACCGAACCTTCGGGTGCTGAACCTCAACTACAACTTCCTCGACGACGAAGGCATCGCGCCGCTTCGGGGGCTCAGTAGGCTCAAGAAGCTCACGGTGATCGGCTCTAGACTCAAGGGGACGAAGGCGCTCGTCCGGTGTGTCAGAGGGATGCCGGAAGTGGAAATGCTCGACTTTAGGTGAGTGAGCGAGCGATGGGATGGTTCGCCTTCCGCCCGCAGCCGGTCCCGCGGGGAAGGCGGAGGCGCTGTGTTTGAATGGGAGGGGGGCGCGGTTCGCTCGAGTCGCGACGCCCGTCAACGACTCTTTCTCTCATCAAAGTGCCCACGGAGAAGGGGACGATCGTATTTGCTGACACGCCTCGCTTTTTCCCAGGATGAATCCGTGCACGTTAGGGTGGTACCTTCCGCTTATAGTAAGAGACGTCCCAGGCGCATTGCAGCCATCGGAGCGAGGAGATCGGAGGCAGGACGACGGGGAGGATGGCCCTGCAGGAACGAGAGGAGGAGGAGGGAGGGGCACCACCCATACCACCGGTGCGGCGGTGGCGGCGTCGGCGGAGGAGGGGAGGGAGAAACTCTGGAACTCGTGGCAGGAGCTGGACGCCAAGTTTAGACGCGATTTACCGGACGAGTCCTACCTGGGCCGACTGGCCTATCGGGGGCTCATCATGCGGGCGTGCAGCCAGATCCGGATGCTGGACGGGGTGCAAGTCACCGGGAAGGAGAAGGACAAGGCCGAGCGGGTGCTCGTCGCCATCATGGCCAAGACGCGCAACGGCAAGCCACCGCCGGAGCTCGGAGGATCAAGCTGACCTGTCAAAAAGAGAGGGACGCTTGAGAGAAACAAGGATGGACCGCGTTAACTGCATCATACTCGACAACTCCCATTTCTATTCATATCGCTCGTCGCACCGCATCGCATCGTTGACTCTCTAGGCTATCTATGTTTTGCTGTCCTGTTGCTTTGTTTTGTCCTCGCTATAGAATCTCGACTGTTAAACGTCTGACTCGTATCTTTGCGTACAGCATTGATTGGATGGCCCGGATTTGCGATGAGGAAGCTATGGATGTGTGAGGAAAGAAAGACGCGACGAGCGTATTAATCAGTAAAGTGATCAACAATCACGGAACGTGGGCGCGGTTCGCGGGGTGTACTATATCTCCCACTCCATGTGACAAAAAGTCCTGGCCTTGCGCGCAGGGTGGGGGGAATAATAAAGTTTGGTTGCGGTAGAATTGGCCGGTCATCATCCGCCGACAGTTTCTATCACGAATGACGGGCGTCGTGACATGCACCGGAACTTCCGACGATCGCGGGCGGGCGCCCATCCCGCTTTGCGCAAGGGGATCTCCCGGGTCCGCTGGCGAGAGGGCGTCTTGGTATGGGACAGTACTCATGGAGCTTCTCTCTCACTGGTATCAGCTTGCTATCGTTCGGCGGGGAGGGTGCTTCCGTGTCAGGACGTGTGTGTGCGGTTGATGCCACGGGGCGTTTGCAGGTTCATCGCCCTGTGGTGGAGTTTGCCGTAGGCATCGATATCAACGCCCTCCTCCTGCAGCTCCTGGAACGCGTAGGGATGAGAGGCACATCCGCCTGGGGAAGAGGGCCATGGTTGGGAGGTTGATGGACGTTCCGTTCCGCGGTGACCGTGGTGGCGCCAGGGGTTCCAGGGGTGGATGGAAGAGCGCGGTCGTGCGCATAGGCCCATCGGCGCGCTCAGATGACGACAGTCTATCTGGTACAGAGAGCGCCTGCAGCGGATGCATATACTGTACATAAGTAGCTGGGAACGAAGAGGTTAAGCTGCCGCGAGCGTTGTGATGGTCAGGCACGTTCCCGTTCCTGCCCCTGATCTCCCCGGCGGTGCCTGATCCCCCTGATGTCGCTTTGGGACGGTGTTTTGTCTTTATGGAAGCCGAGGCCCTATCGCAGGCCCGGGGAAAGGGCGGAGATCAATACAGAGCTCTCTCGCTCGCTCGCTCTCTTTCTCGCTCTCTCAGCGCGCGCGAGATAGGGCGCTGACGGGGTGTGGAAAAAAACCGAGCCTTGTGGCGCCGGTCTGACCTCGCGGCGGATCGCGAGGGGCATCGCTTCGCTCGCAGGAGGTCGTTAGGGGTGCCGTATGGGCGCGGCGGACAACGAAGCTGAAGACAGTGGGCGAGGAATGATGGCGAGAAGGGGCGGGGTGTAATGCTATTAATGACTGCGCCCGACTCGAAGAGAGATACGGGCGAGAGAGGGGTGGGAAGCGCGCTGGAATGGGCTCTAGGTCCGGCGTATGCGACGACCCGGAGCTCAGAGGGACCGGCGCCGCGGCCTAATGCGCAACAAAGCGCGCCGGGTCGGTCGGTCGGTCGGGGCGGCACGGACCTTACTGCGCGATAATACACTACCTACTACGTACTACTAAGCTACGGGAATTTCCTCGCGTTATCAAAACGCGCGGGTTCGCGTCGTCGATCATGCGCACCGTTCGTGCGGAGCGATGAGCGCATGAGCGGCAACGGGGGGAGGTTGCAACAGCTTCTGGCATCAGGTGCATCTTTGATACACGGCACCCGGCCTGTAGATCAAGTGCTACGAACGTGGAAGCCGACCGGGGGCGGGCGGTGCTGCGGCAGATGGCGCGCGCGAGATTTGGGAGGGAGAGGGGGGCGCGGCAGAGCGGTCGCGGAGTCTGAATCGGGTACGTAAGGTCGGCGGGTTTTCGCAGCGCGCGGCCGTGACCGTTGACGGGAATTTCGGTGGGTTTATTTTCCTCGGGTTCTTCCTCGCTGGCTCGAGTATACAAAACCGGACGGGACCTGCGATTGGCGCGCGATCGGGGGCTGGCTGGCGAGTGGCGCAAAATGGGGTTTGGATTGCCCCGGAAATGAGAGAAACTTTGGTGGGCAGGCATGTGTCCGAAAAGGCGCAGATTTGACCATATCCGGGTAGATTGCTGATGGGAAGGGGATTGTTTGGGGGGTATGGGCAGAGGTGATAGATGATGATTCGGGCCCACGGAAGTGGTAATCTGTTTAATATCCAGCGCCAACATCCGAGGGCGTGCAAGAAGACCGTGTTCCCACCGGCTGCTTGTGCGCACATTAAATACGGACGATCCGCTCGTCACCTGAGCTGCGCTACACCCTTCCCGTCCTCGTCTGCCAATCCTCGATGATCGACTCTGCAGTCCTCCCGCGCGACATCCCCGAGCTCGACTTCAAGCTGTTCCGGTCAGTGTCTCGAACTCGGTCGATCTCCCCCTCCCCCGGCTACCCGGGATGACAGGTGTCAATGTTTGACGTCTTGTTCAAAACCCGCTCCGCATCCGCTCGCTGCTCGCGTTTGGTTTGACTGACGCGCTTGTCTTGCCTCTTGCCAGGCCCAGCAAGACCGGCCTTGACCTGTACGACCCCACGTCCGCCACGGCCATGTACGTCGTCGTCGAACCCACCCGTGTAAAACTTCGTCCAGCTCACCGTCCGATCGCTCATGTCAACAGCACGCCCGACATCGACCGCCTCCACGTCGACTACGCATCCCGACGCATGTCCGCCTCCGCCTCCTCCGTCGACTCGGAGCTCTCCTCCGCCCACAACAAGCGCGCCGCCTCGCCCTCCGACGTCGGCTCGCCCCAATCCGACTACAAGCGGCCCCGCACCGACGCCGATCTCGCGGCCGCCGTCGCCGCCGAGCAGCCGCCCTACCCCACCAGCGACCCGGACGCCAGCGGCAAGGTCCAGCTGCCGTCCATCTGCTCCTTCGGCGACTCGTACCGCCGCGCCTCGCCCGACGACGCGCGCGCCAATCGCGGCGGGCCGCAATATACGGTCGAGTCGGCGCGCAGCGCCCCGGCCTCGCAGTTGAACACCTACCAGTTCCCGCCGCCGCCTGCCGAGCAGAGCCAGGACGGCCGGCCGCGCGTCAACACCCACCTCTCGCCCAACGGCGCATATACCTCCTCTCCTTACAGCGCGACCACCGGCTCGTCGTCGTCGTACTACGGATACGGGTATTCGGCGGGTACCACGCCGTCTTCCGGCTGGCCCGCCAGCGCCATCTCGCGGCCGAGCTCCACGCCCAACGAGCCATCCGAAAAATACGAGGAATCCGTTCGGCATCACGGTCCGGTCGACATGTTCGCCGGTATCGCCCGCCTCACTGCCCAGGACAGGAGGTATTCGACCACGTCCGCGACGGGTCAGTACCGTCCCGCTTTCTCGCCAAGTGATTGACCCGCGAGCCCTTCACCCTAGCAGATTACTCCCTCTCGCCCGAGACTCACCCCGGGTCCTACCCGTCGACGCCGATTCCTTCGATTGCGGTGAGCAGCCACACGTCCAACCACGGCGACCAGTCGTCCGCGAACCATGACTCGCCGTCGATCCAACCCGCGGTTCCTATCGTCCCCAGTAACCTCGTCGAGCGGGCGCCTCGCAAGCGAGGAAAGCTGCCGAAACCCGTCACCGATTATCTCAAGGATTGGCTCCACCGCCATTCAGACCACCCGTATCCCAGCGAGGAAGAGAAGAAACAACTCTGCCACGCTACGGGCCTGAGCATGTCTCAGGTTTCCAACTGGATGATTAACGTGAGGACCTGAAGCCGAATTTTTACGCGCATATATTCATGGATTATCCCCGTTTACAGGCTCGCCGACGCATCCTTGCTCCAGCCCAACGCGCTGCCCAAGCCCCCACCACGACTGCGCCCTATGCCGCTGGCCGCGCCGCTTCCATGACCTCGACTCTCGTGGCGAACGCCCGACGCGCGAGCATGCCAACGTCTGTGGGCTCAGACTCTATGCAGCTCTACCACCCGTCGTCGATGGGTGCGATATATGGGCATCCGCATTCGGCGCACGCTGGAGCCGCGGACTATCTTCGGCTGAGCATGCCCAGGACGGCCCATGGAGGTTACGGATCGATGGAGTATTCCGGCTATCGCCTCACGTACCCCGGGGCACATGGTCATCCGCATGCGGCAGGAGGCTACGTATCGTCCGGGATCCCCATGTCAGCCCCGCCATCCCTCGCAGGCGGCCCCTTCAGCGCGGGCATCTCCGGCTCCATGCAGGCGTTGTATGCGCCTTCGGCGTACAGGTCGCAGCCCGCCCCCGCGACGGCGAACCACGACTCGGCGACGCCGCCAACGCAGGAGCAAAACGGCGACGCGCGCTACTACGGTGGCTCACATACGGCCTCTCCACAGCCCGGGAACGGGTACACGACGCCGCAATGATTCGACGACTTATCGCTCGCCCGCCTCGCCACGGTTAAAATAAATTAACGCCACCCACCCTCTCGTAATCGACCCAGACGGATAGGGCAGCATTGTAAAATTGACTCCCTCATCCGTGGACGCATATGCACGCAACGGATGTTCGTCCGCCTTCTTCTTGCTCTCAGCATCATCATCCACGGGAACGGAACCATGAACTATAGCTTTCTTGGACTTTTTCTCTCTTTCTTAGCTTTTATGGCTAGACTAGGATCGGTCTTTCACTTTACTTCCCGGATCGCGCATTCCCTCCCCCTCCCCCCACCTTCTTCTCTTCTCCACTCGATCGCTTTTTCCCATCTGTTTGTACCATCAGCATCACCTCACTCCGTCCCGTTTTCCTCTGCGTTACGCCGTGGTGTCCTTATCCAAGATCTGGGTGAGGGGTCCCGGGCCGCCGCTTCCTTTCTCAATTAACTCACCGGCTTCTGCAATTATCGACCCGGCCTTCGCCTTCTCTCGGGTCATGGGGTACCGCGGTGTCCTTGTTCGCCTCCCTTTCTCTCTCTCTCGTATCGGATCGTCGTTCTTGCTCTCCCTCCGTCTCTTTCCTCTCGCACTGCATTAATTTGTACGACCATCACCCGCATCAATTAGCGTACATACATAGCACCTTAGAGCCGTAATCACTATAGCGATACTGTACCCTCCTCCGCGCAAAGCAACATCTTTCTTGGAGTGAGAGCGCGAGCGGGTGGCGCGTTACTCCGTGGGGTGTAATGGTACGTGTTCTGCGTATTTTTCTTCTCTCTCTGATGCATGACGACTACCGCAAGCGTTCGCGTTTGATGTCCATCTGGAACAACAACACGCGCACGCAACAAAAAGAGGGGATCGGCGTGGCCGAGGCCCCGCCTCCGCTCGCGGTTATTTCGCCCGGATCTGACCCGGATTAGGATATTGGGATCGGGATTGCGGGAGGCTTCGCCGTCTGATCCACGTTGCGTAATATACCCTCTTCCGTCGCTCCGTCCCGGCCCTTCCGCAAGACTAATTACTCATTACTACTTGCAACCAAACAAAAGGGAAAAAACGTTCAACGTTTGCGTATTGCGTAAGAAGAGGGGCGGACGGAGAACGCGGTGTGTTCGTTTCGATGAAAAAATGAAGAAGCCCGCGCGGCTTCTGGCGCGTACATAAGTATATAATACGGGTGCTAGAAGGTGCGGGCGTAATGCGCAGCTCGAGCGCAAATCTCGATGGTCTCCTCGCGCGCGCGGGCAGGGGCGGCGGGGGTTCCGAGTTCGATTCATTAAGCGCCCGACCGTCTCCTACAAGCCGAGCGGAGCCGGATCCGGCTCTCTGGACCGCACCAGCTCGAACGGGTCCGTTCCGCGCGCGCGCACCCGTTCTTCTTGCGGCTTCGTTCTTCCCACGTAATCCGTGATGATTATGTACTTTACTGTTTATCTCATCCCCGTCGCCGCCCGTATATATGCGCGCGCAAAATGAAGGAACGCAGATTGGTCCCCCCCCCCCCCCCGACCGAACGGCGATTTGCTTTGGGTGAAACGAACGAAAATTGCGTAACGTAGGTTTAAATTGAAGGTCTCATCCGCCTCCCCCGTTAATGCGTTTGATATATACTCACCACCGCGCGTGGCGGCCGAATTGCTTTTCGTACCGTACGACGATCAAATGTGGCTCTTTTACTCGCTTTTCGCATCACGATCGTCCACCAAGGGAACGAGAGCCGAACAGCCTCGGGAACCGCGGTTCCCTCCCCTTCGGCTTTAGACGATCCCAGCGGCGCCACCATCACACGGGAGAAATGCGCGAAAAGCTATAGAGAGATAAATACGTGGCTACGATAGCACAACAACGGGACGGGGACAGCAATACAGATTTATGTGCGGTATGACGAGAGGCGAAAGATAGGGTGGGGGCGTGCAGCGTCCAATAGGAAGACGGACGGAACGGGATTGGACGGGAGTGTTGAGTGGACCAATCATGTGCGAAGGGAAGAAACGGCCCGATTGGACCGCAAGGTAGCTGGATAGGCTATTCGAGACCGAGGGACTCGAAATGGCCGAGCAGAGCGGGAATGAGGTGTGGTCGTGGTATTCTTGGTAGGGGAGAGTGGTTGATGTGCGGAGGACCAACTCCGCCGACGGTATACCTGCATGGGGATGCACATCGGTTTGGTGCTTGGTCCGGGTACGGAAGGGGGGCTGGGGCTGTGCTGAACGTGGATCGAACGGATCCCTCAGGCTATGGCGAGACCCTGCGGATGTTCAAAGGCATCTGGTTACCGAGCTCGGGCTCTGATTTCACGAAGGGCCGAGTGACGACGCTATTGGTGTTAGAAAGAGATGAATGAAGAAACGGACGAACGGCGATGCAGCCATATGGTTTCATCACGGAACAGAAATCGGATGTAGAACGTATGCGCATCGAAACGATTGCACGCGGCAAAAAGCGGAGACCGATGAGCGAACCGGCCGAATGGAGCGATGACGGTGCCACTGACTTTACTTTCTTCTCGATGACCATGGCTGGATCGATCGAGAACTCCAGATCCCGGAGGAGCACGTAAAGAAACACCTTGATTCTGCCGAGGCAACAACAGACATGAATCCAAACGAATCGTGAGCACGCAAGTACCAAACAGGGTGATATAACCTTTAGCGGAGGCACGTACTCGGTGAGAGCAAACTTCCATCCGATACATGCACGGTTTCCGTTCAGAGGGTTGCCGTTGAGGAAGGTTAACAGGTGTGCGTAGAGTCCTGGGACAGCTTTTGCTGCATCAGGTACGTCGTCCCACCGCTCGGGTCTAGGCAATACGTAAATATACGGCGATCAGAATACAGCGATCGCTCTGGTATTGGTGCCAGATAGAGCGGGCAGACTCCGGCGGCTTACCTGAATTCGCCCGCGTCGGGGCCCCACGTCCGCTCGCTCCTATTGATCGCCTGTATGGGTATGCTGACGATGTCGTGCTTCTTCACCTCGATCGCTGTCTTCGTCCTCCCGTGCTTGTCGACGAACGGCTCGAGAACAGGGATGACGTCGTCCGCGGCGCAGACGCGCATTGTCGATGATATCGGGGCATGTAATCGAAGCGACTCGCGTACGACGCCGTCGAGGTAAGGGAGCGCGAGAATCTCGGTAGTTAGTGACGGCGAAAGTGGCGGCAGATGTGGGCCAAGTCTCGCGCTCGAAGGAGTGGTAGGGGATGCGGGAGTCGAGTCGGCAGTCAGCCGAACGGTTCTCAGCTCCGCACGTAATCTACTTTGAACTCTGAGATCGCGTGCGAGTGCATATAGAGTCCACGACAACGCGTTGCTGGTGGTCTCATGCCCCGCGGCGATGAAGGTGGATATTTGGCAAAGCACCTCTTGCCGCGAGAGACGCTGCTCGGGGCTCTCAGCCAAATTTGACCGAACTACACACGAACGCAAAATAAAGAACGCAAAACAAACACCACAACATCAGCGCTCGGCATCACATATGCTTTGTTACATATTCAGGAGGAACTCACTGAGCACACTCAGCAGGTCCCGTCCCCGTGTCTTGTCGCCCTCGACCCCGCTCGATTCAGCTGCAGGATCTCGATGTGACCCAGACGAAGCTGGATGTGTCGCCGGCCCGGCAGCGGCACGCTTCTCGGCTTCGACGGCCATGGTTCTTTCTTGGATGAGCTCGTTCCCAATGCGGTCTAATATCGCGTGGGCTTCCTGGATGGCAGCGCTGTTCCGTTTCTGTGGTGAAACGATCGTCATCAGTTTTGGTATCTCGTGGATGCATTCGTATCAGGATGGGGACAAAAGGCACGTAGAAGAGACAAGAAGGATTAGGAGGAACGCGTTGACGAGTTCCAAAATACATCGGAGACGGATAACGGCGTCAATGCGAAGATAGAAGTGGCATGTCTATGCCGAATGGCTACCGCCTCCATAAAGAACGGGCAGGTCCTATTGAACGCGCTTCCATCAAACAATGCAGTCCCGAGACTACGCTTCTGCTTCCTGCCGTCGACCGCCGAGAGTCAAAGCCCACCGAAACAATGAGCGTGTGCTCGGTTCACGCCACATATCAATACGAGACGGAGGCGCAAGACTAAGATCGAAAGATGAACGGACAACTCACGAATCTCCGCAAGAATGGAAACCACGCTTGGAGGATGGTGATCGCGCGGAACTTGCGCGCGGTGCTGAATATGATGCTGAACGCACGTGCGAGCTCGTTCTCGTGCACCTCTTCGCCCTCCTCTGCTGGTTGCGAATCCCGGCATGCGGCGTCAGGGGATTCGGCCAACGCCTCCTTGTCTGTGGGCAAGCGGGGCGAATGAATCGTGATCGCCCGCCGGGAGGTAGAGTGCGCCGACTTTGGACTTTTGGGCGATTTTGGCGAGCGGGAAAATGTGGCGGACAGGGGCGAAAACGGCTGCGACGGAGGGAAGTGTTCTTCTTCTGATGCCGCTCGCGTGAACCGCCGTCGAGGTCGCGCCCGCATTTCTTCACGCGACGCAAGAAAGGGATGGTGTTGAGGTGACGTGGACGGCGCGGCGGACGCAAGGGCATCGAAGGTGTAGCCGAAACCTACACCACTCAGGTCAGAAACCAGTGTACCTTCTCGTTATCACGATCAAAGAGGAAACGATGCAGGAATCGCGCACGTATGTGCCTAGAAGGAACGAAGATGCCTGCGGCAGTCTCGCGGGTCACAAATGAGACGCAACGCCTCCAAGGACACGCACGATCGGAGCATGAAACGGCCAACCCAAGACGAAAGTTCGTCCCTGGAGCATGCAATGCATTGACCCTGAGTCGTGTGGAAGCCGCCACAAGTGGTTGATTGGGGCTCCTCGTGTGCACCGCACGCAGAATTGCGGTCGGCAGGTCCAAACCGCGCGTCACGTAAGGTGCGTGCACCGAACAGATCAGGATGGGGTACAAGGTTCGCGACCCATCAAGACGAGTCTGCAAAGGAGCGGGGCGTACGAATTCGACGAAGTGAGATGAGAGCAAAAGTCGTAACGTAAAAAGGGCAAGGCACGGTTCTGACACCCACCGGCTAAACCGATCACGTCCAAAGTAGCACGCGTCAACCACACCAAGACGTCCGTCCTGGGACGTTTTCGTGGAGAGACATGGGGAGCTGACGTCAATTCCTGGGGTTCGGAAGCAAGGGTCGCCCAGATATCACGGAGCTGAAAAAGGGATAAACGATCCCGTCAGCTGACGCTGCATCCTTATCCGACATGACAAACAGAATAGGAAGAGCTGTCACGACAGCCTTCGTAGGAAAGAAGATGAGATGGAGCATGCACCTGTATTGCCTTGTCCCAGAATATGGGCGTTACGGCTTTGATAGAGGAGGACGAGAAGGCGGGGTTCTGTGGAGCTGTTAGCCCACACACAGGACGGCATGTGAGGGTGAAGATAGGCGGACGACGATCAGCACTGGTGCACATACTATGATCTTTCGCTGTCTCCGATGTGTTTCGTCCTCCACCGTTAACAGTCCTTCGTGACCTGCGGCCATTGTTGCCAAACTATCCCGCACAAAGTCGGGTTTGGGATATTGATACGCATTGCCGAGGACGTGCGCCACCGCACGCTCGTCGGTTAGCATGAGCCTGCAGCCTCCGATGAACCCTCGGTAAACAAAGGCGCTACCATACGACGCGGTCCAGCGAGGTACGAGATTGGTGTTCTCCTGGTCATGCATTTCCGCGAGGTTGCCCAGAAAGAACGAAGACGAGGGCGGTCCGCGCAGGTTCTTAAGAGGTGAACGGGCCTGTCGGATGAGCAAGAGCAGGAATGGTTGCAGAGTGTGTCGAATAGTCAGGGCGGCCAGCGCGAGTAGCGCGAGTGTTCCGTACATGGTAGTCGTGTCGGCCACAGGGTCAGGGATGTCGGGGTTGACGAGGAATGTTCGCTGGAAGGCGGGGGGCTATAAGCAACGGCCATGTCGGGCGAACGGTAGCTTGACGATCGCAGGGCGGAGGCGGGCATCCCGGACATCTGCATCTCCCACGCCACCCGCCCTCCAACTGCCCGCCGGCCGCCGCTCGACAACTTCCGTGACGTCGACGCTAACCGGCGGCTCCAAATGCGCTTCCGCTTTCCGCTCACTGGCCACTTTGTCTTGCTAGGTAGCGCGCATTACTCGAAGAAAGCTACTCTCTTTGCCGTGAGCGCTCATTGGATGGTTATCCGAGCCAATCACAATGATCTACGTCGCTGCTCATCCTCTCTCACACCACTGGCAACAGGGCTTTGATACCAGCGCTCTGGGCGACAACCTGCGCTGTTCTTCAGCATTCTTTTTGCGATGGATTCCTGCCAAGCAGGTATTTGTTTCTCCAGCTGACGCGCTCGATGGTAGCTGGATGCGCCTGTTCGTGCTGGTCCCCACGCTCATCGGTCGCGCTTCTTGCATACCCTTTTGCGGGGCAGAACCAAATCTGGGCTCAGAGTCTCAGGGCCGTCATCACCGAGCGCAATCTCAGCGGGCGCAAATGGGCTCAAGGCCGGTACACCCGACCCATCGCCGTCTTTAACCTCGCTGTCCCCGCGGCGGGCATCTCGCGATCCTGGCCAACTCGGGCGCTGTGCCGTGGCCTGCCTCCCGCGCATCAACGATCTTCGTCGGCACATCGGTGGGAGTGGATGCTCTGGGTGGCGTCCGGGGCGCGTTCTCCGGTTCTCATGCGTTCTACGAGACAGCTGTCTATGGTTAAGTCTGATATCGATGTGTCGCCGGCGCTCATTTCCACCATCTCCGGTGTCCCGTTCGGTGGCCCACTCCGACTCTTCGCCGCGCACGTTCGGTACTTGAATCGTCAATGCCACGCGATGTTGGATCCAGGCATCCTGATCTTGGAAATGTCGCCGCCCGCATTCTTGGACGAGACGAGTTCATCGTCTCTGCCAGAGGCGGGTCGTATGTATCGATGCACCATCTTAAAAGCATTCACTCTTGCCATAAACGGTACAGATTCGTCCCTCTCTGCTGTCAGTGCCGGCGCGACTCGTACTCATCCTTGGGAAACGCGGTCGGCTCCGGATCATGGTGAATTTTGTCCTTATGGGGGCTTTCACGGATGGCGTCCAATCTACTGTGTTCCCTCGCCGCTCGCGCTTCGAGCTGTTTACATCGCCCCGTTTCCTTTCTGCATGCAAGCAACCGATTGATCCCGTCAAGGACATATCTTGCCTTGCCTTGTTTTCCGGCCAAGAACAGATGAAACCACTCGTGAGGATCATCTCGCACGGGCTTAACACGCCGAACCTTTGCCGCCATAAGTACGACCACCACGCAGTCACCGCTGGTGTTATATGGAACCTGCAATCGTCGGCGATGCACATATGAAGGCTGCTTAAGGTGTCAATAGTCCCTCTTTTTCGACGCACCGATCACCGGCGGACCACACGCGACCTTGCGAGATACAGGGAGTATCTCGTTTCTCGCATGTACTGTATCGGTATATTGATGACATCACTGTACATCGATGAAAATCAAAACTTCACTGTCCAGCCGGCTGCCTCAGGCTCCCATCTGCAAGTTTTGTTTGCGGTTATTGATGTTTTCAGCAATGATAAAACATGTACGCTATTTGCGAAGTCCTAAATAAGCATTAATGGGGTAGTGGTAACCTGGGTCGTTGCCAGCGAATCCGTTCAATGGACGAATTCGACCCGCCGGGGGTTCGATTCCCCCTTAATGCAATAACTTTTGCTTTGGTGCAACATTTCTCAGTTCTTGACGCCCTTACCTCTTCCCATGACCTATGTGGTGGTATTCTCTGTTTCTTTCACCGTTCCATCGTCATCTCACCGTACTGTCTGCTGATCAGCCATGAAATCAAGAATGATAATTCCAACACTGGGATTGGTGGCACTGCAACCAAGATTCTCAAAGCTTTTGGGTTGTGTCGAGCTTGGGAAGGCACCGGCCTGTGCCCAAGAGCAAGATCAACTATGTTCTTTGTCCACACCAGCAGTCAGCCTGGCCTGCACAGTGGCCCAATTATAACCTCTCTTCACACCCATTGCCAAATACAATTACACGCCCAGGCACTCACTGTGGACCTTTAATTTTGTATTTCCAATGAACACAATAGTCTACCACTTTGCTCTTATCCCAATGCATTTAATGAATGGCTTTCTCTGGTTTTGGTCTAGGGAGTTGTTAAAAAAATCATAGACCAATAAAAGTTGAAAATCTGTTTACCATCATGATCTTGGCCTGATGTGGCATAAAAGCTTCCAGCAGCATAAAGTTGACTGCTTGCTGGACTATGCAAATGCTCAGTAGTAATATGATAATCCCAACTTTGTGACATACCCATTAAAGTTTCACCCACACGTAATGGCAGCCGTAACTGGGGTGCTGCAGGGTCAAAGAGCCCGGTATGACTAGATAGTCTGTCCGCTGGGATGTAGGGTGCATTGTTTGTCTGATGCACAGAATTCTGGGCCTTTGTCATTAGGCCATAGCTGCCTTTTTGTCTGAGCGTGCCATAGCGGTGCTATATTGATTAGCAAGCGAACAGTACATGTTACTGTCCTTGAGTGCTTGTACGATGTCGTTGTCACGTGTCGATCCAGACCGACCTACGCCAATCCGCTCCGCCGATCGTCACCGATCTACGCCGATCTTCTCCAATCCGATCTCCGACCCTTCACCGACTCCTTCACCGACGCCGATCCCGACTTTCCCGTTTCGGTCGAAGGCGGGATACGCCTATCACATGCGCCGGGCCACCGGCGGCTCAACGCCCCGGTGGTTCCAGATCTTGAACGGATTCAACTCCGGTTTTCCTGTTTTCCTGTTCCCTTTGTCTGACATCATAGCTTCCCTTTGTAGACTTTAGTTTCCCGTCGCTTGCGACGGATCTTTCGGTCCGATCTTTCCGCCTCTTCTGTAGATATGTTCCCTTTGTGTTCCATACGATATATCTCGTCTCCGAATGTTCCCTTTGTGCGCTGAACGGCGCCTCCGATCTCCGACTCTCCGACTTTGCCATTGTTCTCTTTTGTACATATAAACCGTCGAACTGTACCGTAGATAGTCAGTTCGAATATCGACTAAGCTTCACTCTATTCCTCCTGCGGACTCAGAGCGCGTAGCAGCCTAGCGCACGAGCTTAGGCTTGGTCCGCATCCGATCTCGACTCCACCAACACTTCCGACTTATCGACTTCACGCCGACGTGTCTCCGACTCCGCTCCGACTTCACTCTTGAGTTCCTCCCTTCTATTTCATTCTATTCTACGTATATACGTTTCGGACTTCGGTCCTCCGACTCCGTTACCCCTTGTCCGTATCCGATCTTGACAGTCGTCTTGGAGGACCGCATTCAGCAGTTGGTCAAAGTTGTAAACCACATATCCGAACTGTAATCAGGAAAATTAGTCTCCTACTGCTCAGGGTAACTGCAACAACACATACCGCCTTGTCTTCACAAGGAGCAGTATCTGCATTGTTGTCCTTCTTCCATAATATGTATGCGACAGCTTTCTTATCATCAGGGGCTTTCACCAGGTGAAAGTCGTTCTCCTCCAGACAAATAGCATCATGGTGAAGGATCTGACCACTCTCTAAGGCTTGAGCGAAGGATGCCTTAGATTCAAACATAGCCTTTCCTGTCTGTAGCCGAGCCATATTGCCTCTTCTCCAATCATCTTCACTGCTTTCTTGACATGAAGCAGGGTATTCCTCATCGGCCGTGCGCGCTCGGTAAATATTTTGTGGACCTTAGATTTAGTGTCCCCATAGTGGTGTTTCTGGCAAAGAACATTCCAAACAAACTGCCACAACCATTCAGCTGCCCCTGGATTCGCAGTATCCTGTCCATTCTCGAGCTAAACATAGGTTTCATATATTCAACACAACATGCTCTAGCCGTTATTCAATGGGACCACCTACTATTCTCAAAAGGTTCTGAATTTCAGGAAGGCCCTTCAGCTGGTTCTTCTCTGCCTTCAGGTGTGCCTGTCTCTCTTTGAGGCATGAAACGAAGATCTCCTTGGTGCCCATGGGCATGGCAGTCCGTAGAATTTGTCTCCAGCATTCGTCCTCAGAGGCTTCTTCCATTTTTGGCAATCCAAGTACGTATACAAGTCAACAGTTCACGTCTCAATATGCTGCTGAAGTTCTGTGCGGAGCCTTGTGCTGACTGAAGCATAGAAGGGTCACTTAACATGGGAGGATGTAGCTGATTCTGAACTCACCATTCCGACAGCTTCAACCGTTACATTATCAACGGCACTTGAATGCACAGTGGCCCATTCCACATCATATTGAGATCCCTTCTCCAGGCAACTAATATCGAAGGAAGGTATTGCCATAACATGATGTAAGGCACCTTGTGGGTCATCTTCACGGTATCCAACCTCTACTCGGACCCTTTTGGCACGGAGTCCTGGAGAGGGTGGTGGAGAAGAAGTTGGGGAGAGAGGGCTCATCGGGCAATCTATGGACAGGCCACAACTGTGCGCGAGGGCTTCAAGTTGATCTTCAGCGAGACTCATCACTTCCGGGCTGAGCTTCCTGCAGATCTGTGGGCATGCACAGATCTTTTGTCAGCAGCAAGGAATGAATGGACAAAAGAAGCGGGAAGGATGAGAGAGCTCACAGCAGCCTGGCTGGACATTCGGACGATTCGGAGGTGTTGTGAGCACTAATTGCACGTGTCAATTACGCGGTGTGTGCGTGGCTTGGCTTCTGAGTGCTATGGATGGGATCAGGACCAGGGTCAGCCAGGATCGCGAAACGCGGTCGTAAGATATAACTGAGTAGTACAATGCACGGGACGATGACGGAAGCTGGGAAATCTGCCCTGGGTCTTCTTCGCGCGCACAAGATTCGCGGCAGGGCGTGTCGTTGGGTGATATGTCTGCCTCGATCGAAGCGCAGTGAGCCACGCAAGCCCTGGTGGTTCGTGTTCATGTATATATGCCCTGGAGCGTGAGCTGGGTGGGAGAGAAGAGGACGAGGAGAGGACAGGCGCATGGAGAGAAAAGGGCAGAAGGCGTGAGGGGCCAAGAGCTGAGCAGGGGCGTGCTCCGGTCCTCTGCGCGAGGTCAATATCCATCAACCGTCTCCGTTCTTTACCCCAGCCTCCGGTCTCATCGACATTTGCTCATTCATCGCGTAATATATACCAATCTGCACAAATCGAGGATATCGCGTTGCCGGCTAGGGTCAGGCGACGAGAAGGCAATGGCAACCTGCATTGACTCTATCGCACTTGAACAGGACATGCTCATCAATCGCTGCCACCACTTCAGGACACATCAGAAAACTATGCACCTCCGGTTGCCTGGCAAAGCCTCTCTGCGGAGTGCCTGGGGGCCAAGGTTGAGAGCTCCTCCCACCACTGGTTGAACGAGGCCAGTGTTTGGGTACCTGACAGTATCATGTCACACCCAAACCTGCAGGATCCCTATGTCCCATTCATTGGGGCCGCCAAATGGACCCATCTGCTCAAAAGCGGCTGGCACAACGACAACATTTGGCGTGCACTCCGAGTCGATCCTGCGTCTCTAGACAACCACCTCGCCTGTCCGCTCTGGACCTATCTGGCCATGTATAACGCTGATGGAGCTTTGAAGGGCATCACGAAGATTGAACAGATGCTGCATCCTCAGGAACCCGTCACCCACGTCATCCAACTCGCTTGGGATGAAGAAAAGGTAAATCAACCGATCCTCCAGCGTGAGCTGTACTGTCAGGGTACGCGCTGGACCTCCTAGGAGCAGTGTGGATCCCTTGGGACGGTGGCGGAGACGCTGTCACACAAGGCAGGGAAGCAACTGAGAATATATACAAAGATACGAGGTGAATACACATACCTGTCGCACAAGGCAGGGAAGCAACTGAGAGAACAAGTCTGAGTTGCTCCCTGGTGCGACAGACGACTATATAGTAGCTGAATAATCCATCAGTAAAACAAGGGACAGTCCAATGAGAGAAGAGGAGGCTCCTAGGGGCACGTGACCCATGGAACGGAGGGCTGCATGTTGTGCGGAGGCCCTAGAAGACCCAAAAGGATAGAAGAATGTATGGGGCTCCTAGGAAACCCGAAAGGATGGAAGGAGCATCTGGGAGCTCCTAGGAAACCTGAAAGGGTAAAAGGAGCGTGTGGGGAATGCGGGGAAACAGGAAAAGACGAGTACTGGAGGCATGCCATGACATGTATGACCTCAAGCGTGGTTGGTATGTCTCTGAGGACCTTGCCATGCGTTGGGACGATTACAACGCCCACCTCAAGCACTTTTGCAACGGCAATCTAGGCATCTCGAGTGAGCCCCCGCCCAACGTCTTTTTTGATTGCATGTGTTCTCATGCCTCCCGTCCAGACAGATGCACCTTGTACATGTTCCGTTGCACAGCCAGCAAGAACTTCACCAGATATCTTGTGACCGAAGCTCGAAATCAGATCATGATGCATGCCTGTGCCACCCAGACCTCTGCAGTGCGTCTTCCAGCCCACCGTTTTTGCCGCCCTGTTGGGGCCAGTCACACTTGCTCACATATGTCACACCAGTGGAGCTACATGCCCAAAATGACCATCGTCAACCTGTCAAGTCTCTTCCTCGCCCAGCCTGAGGACCACAGCACCCTCCAGAGGTGGAAGGTCAGTCCGCCATCTCCTGCTTCCTCCTTGCAACATGAATCACAGCCCTTACATTGTGTGTTCTGTGTGCACAGACTGTTCTCTTGTTGACCGCGATCACAGATGCCTATGATTATGGCCGCTGCGGACCACACAGCACTGCTCAATGATCCCATGCTCATCAGCATGCGAAACAAGCGGGATGAGATGAGCGATCCATGCAGCACTGCACTGCCTGAATCGCGGAAACCCTCATCTGCATATCCTTGCTCTCCAGTTCCATCAGCAGATGGTCAATCTCAAGGCCCTCATCCATTTGGATCCCACCCAAGATGCTGTCAAAGAGCTCCTTGCTCTCGATCCAGCATACATAGCCCACACAAACCAATACAACAGCCTTGTGGGCCGTCATGAACATCTGTATCTCGCAAGCGCCAGAAAAACCCATTTTGCAGGTGCTTCTGAACGGGTTCTGTCGGGCAAGGCACATCCTCGACCCCGCTTACCAATCGACATGTATCCTCATTCTTGACCCTAGCCATCCTCCACAATGGTCCCCTTGGCTGCCAAGAACCTCAACCTACCCGATCCTGCCTTGCCCAACCATGAGGAGACGGTGAGTAGCCAGGCCTACAACACAATAACGGTTCCTGGCGACACAACGACGGTTTTGGATGCCACGATCACGGTCTCTGCTGACACGACTGCATGCTTGGACACCACGACCACGGTTCCCAAAGCCGCGTCTTGGATGTGACAACAATGGTCCACAATGCTGCCTTGAACGCTGTCCTCACCAATCCTCTCCTATTGGTGTAGATGACCATCGCCGATGCACCCGAAACCCGCACCAACAAACATCTGCTCAACTCAATCAATGCTCTCCTCCGGCTCCCAGAGGAACGCCATAGCACATACTATCCAGAAGAAGGTCCGACGACAGACGGCAAATGTCCGGTATGCAAGGAAACACTTGCGTGCGTATGCCTCTGTGTCCTGTTTGTGATATGGAATCCTGAGCATGGCTGCAGCAAAATGCTCAGTTGCAATTACTACCCAGGCCAGCACATTCACGCATGCCTCACACATCACAAACAAGAGATGGCCATTGCCAGGCTCAACGGGTGTTACGCAGGCAGCCCCCACTGCTGTCCGTGGGCTGGGTGCAAGCACCAAGATCTATGGTCGACACAAAATGGCTTTCTTGGCCATGTCCTTGTCCATGCCAAGCACCGCCAAAGCAGAATGCTCTGAGGCTGCTGCAAATGGACTGTCCGAGGACTCAAATGCGGTGCAAGCCCCGACGACTGGATTGCCCATCTGGAGGAAGTTCACAATGTGATCCGGGATTCAAAGGTCAACATCAAGTATTGTTTCATCTGCTCATGCTGGTAACACATTTTGTGTTGATGTCGCCGCGACGTCCGTGCTCACTGGCCAAATCCTCGTCAGGTTCAATATATATGGCAGCAGCGAGGAGTGGGAGGGCCACCAGGCTGAACACTTTGACCAATTATTTGAGGCATTTGCAACATGCAGCAATGCGATCGACTGCGCTGAGCCTCCGATACTTGTCCAGCACGTCAACGGATATACAATCACAGCAAGGGGTTCGACAGCAAGTAGCTCGAGCTCCATGGATATTTGCGCAGGGGCATGTGTTATGCACCGATGTTCTGTCCCTGGTGTGTCTTTGATGAAGAGGAACATGGGGTGGCAACTCGGATGAAGCAGTGAGGGCTTCATATTCTCACACATTCCATTTTGCTGATGGACATGGCATACCCAGATGGACGGACTCAACGCAGCTGAAAACCCATCTTGCGGCCCACCTTGCGAAGATTACAGACCATCAAACAATCTGTCGGGTTCCCAGCTGTGGGTGTCATATGTTTTCCATTGACGGACTAGGCATGCACATCATCACTGCCCATCACCTGCCTGTCTATGGCATCACCAAGCACACCAAGCACTGTCATGGCACACCTCCAGTACTCGTCTTTTCCTGTTTCCTCGCATTCCCCACACGCTCTTCTTACCCTTTCAGGTTTCCTAGGAGCTCCCAGATGCTGCTTCCATCCTTTTGGGTTTCCTAGGAGCCCCATACATTCTTCTATCCTTTTGGGTCTCCTAGGGCCTCTGCGCGTCATGCGGCCTTCCTAGGCCGTTCCACTGGTCATATGCTGGGCACCCAAGGAGCCTCCCTCTCTCTCATTGGACCATCCCTCGCGTTGCTGATGGATTACTCAGCTACTATATAGCCGACTGTCGCACCAGGGAGCAACTCCGACTTGTTCTCTCAGTTGCTTCCCTGCCTTGTGTGACAGGTATGTGTATTTCCATCGTATATTTGTATATATGCTCAGTTGCTTCCCTGCCTTGTGCGACAGCATCTCTGCCACTGTCTCAAGGGATCCACGCTGCTCCTAGGAGGCCCAGCGCGTACCCTGACAAGCATCATAGCCTCATGCTCCCACCCTCGCCAGCTGAACCACCACTCGGACAACAAGCTGAGCCTGTGCGACCTGCTGCTGCTGCTTTGGATCTGTGGTATCAATGCCTTGGCTGTTGCCAAGTCAAGAAGAACATCCAGAAGCACATCGGCGGTGCCTCGGAGCAAAAGCCGTGTTGCACAAAAGCTTGATATGTCCTCTTTGACAGAGACGCTCATGCAACCATTGGCCCAGTCATCGAGTGGAAGGTGAGCCCAGGCTTGTCTTCATTGCTGAGCGGCAGCATATGCAGGGCAAATGCTCCAGATAATCAACCAAGAAGGGCAAGGAGAGTCCTTTGAAACACATTTGCAGAAAGAACACGTGCAAGCTACGATGGATCGACATTTGTGAACACCTGAGTCTCGACAAAGATGGCCAATGCCACAACGCCTTCTGCAAAGTCGAACATGGGGTCCGCCGAGAGAAATGGCCTCTCATCAACTTTGATGAACAGCTCAAGACCGCACCTCTGTTGGTGCCTGGCTTCATGCAAGCGCCTTCCAGGGCAGAAGTGTGTCCATTCCATCCACCGCTACTCACAGTTCCTGTCTCCCAGGTCACAAAAATGCAACATGATCTCGATGCACGGCACAAGGAGACCGAGCATCTTTGCTCGGACAATCAGTGCCTCTGTTCACTCTCTGATCAACACCAAACGGAGTCTGAGAAACATAGGCTGTGTCAGGGTATGCACTGGACCTCCTAGGAGCAGTGTGGATCCCTCAGGACAGCAGCGGAGACACTGTTGCACAAGGCAGGGAAGCAACTGAGTATATATATGAAGGTATGAAGGAAATACACATACCTATCACACAAGGCAGGGAAACAACTGAGAGAACAAGTCTGAGTTGCTCCCTGGTGTGACAGGTGACTATATAGTAGCTGAATAATCCATCAGCAAAACAAGGGATGGTCCAATGAGACAAGAGGAGGGTCCTCGGGTGCCCAACACGCGACCAGTGGAACAGCCTAGGAAGGCCGCGCAATGCGTGGAGGCCCTAGGAGCACTGAGTGACAGAATGAAACAGGGGAAATGCCAAAAGGAAGTGCGTGGGAAGCCTAGGAAGGCGCGGGAGAGTGTAACCAAACAGGGAAGCAGAAGCAGGAGCAGGAGCAAACAAAATGGGACAGAAGCGGAACCAAAAGGGGAACAATGGGGACATGAGGCGAGTGTGGAAGGTGTGCCCTGACAGGCTGGAGATCGAGCACCTGCGGGCACTCCTACAAAACAGACTGTCACACCCCGAGGTATTCTTGTATTGTTGTATGTGCCCACCTTGCTAAATACTACAGCCTTCAACCTCCACACGGAGGGAGTCTTGAAACCACCAGCAAGAAGATGAGGAGAACTGGCCTCAAAAAGTGACACCTCCCGCCTGCACTGACTGCACCATCTGACGCATCCTGATCAGTGGCCTTGTAAACATGCCGTCGTGTACTCAAGTGATGCAGAAGATCAGTAAAATGTTGTGTGCTCATGTGCTCGTGTTGTGTGCTGGTGTGTGTTGTAGCAAAAACCTTTGAGAGAAATGACAAAGCCTTGTATCAATATGCCTATGCCCAGGTTTGGTTGCAACGAAACATCTCAGGTTTGCAATGGAAACCTGGGATATTGTAGGGTGAGCCTGTGCTGTTATATGTTATCATGTCCCATTTGATGGGCGATTTTGACCTGCCAGGGGTTCAATTCCCCCTTAGTGCAATAGCTTTTGTCTCTTTCAGACTGAGGCAATCTTCCCTTTCCTCGCCTGTCTATGTGGGTTGGAAAGGGCTTAACTGGCTCAAGTATCTGTTTGATGATGTGTCTTCTCAAGTGTTCAGTTTCCACTGATAATGCACTCCCATGAGCCCCATCAAGTATTGTTGGTCATCATTGATCATCATCAATTCAATGCCTTTTCCTTGTTGCCTTTTGTCTATGCAGTAGCCGGTGACTGTCTCATGTCCAGAAAATTCCTGTGGTCTGGAGTCCAGGGTTTGCTATAGGCATTGCACTTCCGTTCCAATATCTATCTTGCCCTTGTTTGGGAGAAATACATTTGTTTGTTGATGTCTCCATTGTGTACTAGGGTGGCAATACTCAAAATTGCTCGGAAATCGTGGCATATACACATGAACATGATTCCCTTACTACAGTAGCATGGAGTACTCTCATCATGCACCATCTTATCATACACAGAAAAGCTGTCTGATGTTGCGGGTGAGTACAATGTGCAATGTGGCAAGACGGGGCAACACTTTTTTTGCCACAGTACTGTGGCACCCTGGCTCTGCACTGAAGAGCTGGATCCAGAACGTACCCCATCTCTTCAGATGTATACATTTCCTCCAGGTGTGCACTGCCACATGCAGGACTGACGGGGTGGCGATCCACCTCCTTCCCTTTATACTTGGTAGGGTGCCTCGAAGGAGAATGAAGCTACTCAACGCCGGTGGCGGTGCATCGACCTCCATCTTGACGACCTCGACTATCTCAACACCCTCCCGCTCCCTCGCCTTCATGAATGGCCCCCCAGCTACCGGCTGCTGACGGACCACGACAGACCAACGCCTTGCCAGTGACCATGCGACATCAGCGGCAGATTGACGGGCCCGCCTTGACTCTTGACGCTGGCACTCAACGCCGACCTCCTATCAATCAACTCGGTGCCCTCGACCCATCACGATCGGTGGTTATGGCGACTCGACCTCGACAACGGCTGCACACGCGTACGATAGGCCCAACGCAGCCCAGGAATGGAGCATCAGGCGGGTTAGATGGGAGATAGGAGGGTTATTGCGCACGGATGGATGGATGCATGTATGTACATAGACCAGATTCTCCTGTATGGTACAGCAACTACTGAGTTCACCACGAGTACGATCGATACACACTGTGAATCACCGACCGACCGACTGACCTGCTGTTCTCGACTTTTCTCCTCACTCCCTAATACCTACTTGTATCCCCTTTCACGGCAGCCCCTGCGGACGCCTCGAGGACTCGCACATCACTAACAGCGTTGCCCAGCCCCACCAGCTTCGCACCTCTACAGTACCTCGCATACGTCAAAACAACACTAGGCAAAGGTACATCGCAGTCTGAAAAACCCATATCTTCGTTTCATTGTAGTTGTGTTCAGTAGCTTTATCCAAGGACTTGAACCCTTCACTGTCAGAACGAAGTGACGAGGAAAACTCGATGAATGCCCAAGTCGCGCGCAAGGATAATGGCTCGGATGAATACTGTAGTTTTACGACCTTAGGTTCGTCCCCTGTCCCCTGGCAGCCCGAACTGAACCTAATTTCCCGTGTTGTCCCCTGTCCCCCACCAAAATCCAGGGCCTGAGCTGATCGTGAGAATTATGTTGCTTACTGTGAGAATATATTTAACTGACTCCAGTCAGTTTGCGAACTTCCCACGGCCCCGAACTTGCAGCTGTCCCCTGTCCCCCGGAAGGCGGACCGAACCTAAGGTCGTAAGACTACAGTATGACGTAAACAGACATGACTCGGTTCGGTTCTGCTCCCGTGAGCTTTACTGTTGCCTTCTTCCTCAAGCTCCACCCCCCCCTCCCCCCGCAGTAGTCACCCATAATTGCAAGGTTTTAAACTCTATTTGCTCCCGTTTACCTTTGCGGGCGGGTTCATAGATCGAACTTTGATCGTGTATCATCTTCCGTCGGACGTCAATGGACTCCGATGGTACGGAACCTCGCAGCATTACCGCAAATGTACTGGACCGAGAACTACACGAGGAAATATGGACCACATTGCGGCTGTTTGTTATGAACTCTCTTGGTTCGCAGCGTCGCTCTCGACCCCAATGTTGCGCCACAATCTCATTGTTAACTGGCGGCGTATCTATACATTAGACCCAAATGGCGGGCTCGGCAGTGTTCATAGAAGGGTCCTAACTGCATACTTGCGAATTTGACATGTCCCGAGACTCTGGGCAAGCATCGTACCTGCTTCAAGTGCGGTTCAAAGGCGGTTCTGATATCCTCATCAGTATAGAAGCACATTCGGACCCTTTTCTCGGCTTATGTCCTCCTACATTCCTGGATTTTTGTTGCTGATCAGGTCTAGCTTGTCTTTTTCTCAGAGAGGTCTCTGCGCTTGAAGACCCTGTGCGGAACGCAAACAACGACATATGCTCATTGCGGGTCGCTCCCTGATGCCCAGTTCACAGCAACGGCACCTGTTTAGACCACTCTTCCAGTCGCTACCGAGCTCAATTGACGAAGGTGAAAGAAACGGTACTCTATCACAATGCTCTATTCACAGACCGCCACATTTCGACTCCTCCTTCCCGCCCTCGTCATGATTGCACCCATAGAGTTGCCCATGTCTCGAGAAACGCTCTCTGCTCCAGTATGCTTTTGCCTTGACACAACGGAGTCGCTCCGTCTGAATGGCACCATGTGGCTTCCTCTTTCTGCCGACTCTATGGGAAGATTCGCCCCCATATGCTCATAGGGCAGCCCAGGACTTCGGTGAGTCGCTTCTGCGAGCTGCGTGTTGTTAGTACCCCGACGGCGCTAGTTCGGGCCATACCGGGTGCATTGTACTGCTATAAACGTTTAGGTCGGGCCCGACTTTCCGTACGATTGTCAAATCGAAAGTCAATCGGCTCCCAAACGCGGATCAATGGGATAGAGCGGCGCTATGGGGACCGTGAATGTCGATGGGGCGCGGTAGGCCAGAGATTTGTCGGCGTTCGGAGCGCAAAGGAAGACATTCAAGGTTCCGTATACCTAGGAGGAAATCGAGGGCGTTGAGGAGCCGGCCTCAGTGTACGCCAGTAGATAATTCCACATACTAGGAGCCGTAGCGCGGAATTATTTATGTCTATATATTCTTACTACTTCAAGAAGAAACTCCACCCTTCCCTCTAAGATTAGCGTACGCACCCTGATTTTCGTCATCGCGTCAGGATTGCAATGTGTCGCTCGTGGGCACAGGGTTCGATGCGGGAATCGCATAGAGAAGTGCATAGAGTACATGATTTCAGGCAGAATGAGCAGATTACACGTCTTAGACAAGGCAACATGCATACATCCGGTATGTGATTCACGAGAAAGTGGTATGGACAATGCTCTCTAAGCCCTGTTTTCCTTGGCGGACGCGGCAAGGTATACCCGGCGAGCCGTCAATGCCCTCTTCACAACCTGCACCTCGAAGGGCGTAATCTCGCCCCGTTCCAGGCGCGGATGCAGTTGTTCGTCTAGCCAAGAGTTGCGCTCGTCCACGTCCCAGCTCACGAGTCCGTCGAGCTCGGCCTGACCAGGCCGATCAGCATCTCGCAAATCCATGAGGAATAGCAACAAAAGCGGACCTGTTGGCGAATACCTAGGCTGTGAAAGACGGCGAAGAGATGATCCATTGGTACGTCCAAGTTTCGCAGGAAGGCCTCCACCGGGTTGGCATCGGAGAGTGACGGTTGTGGGTCCCCGGGCCTGCATCCCAAGGAGGGTTTTCGAAGCTTCCCCACGAACGGGCGGACTTGAGCTCGATCGCGACTGATCGTAGACGGTCCGCGGATGGAGTGCTAACAACACAAAGCGGTCGGATAACGTGAAGGAACAGAGTCAAGGATGAAAAAACAAACCATCTCGACATCGTTGTCGACCTCGAGTCTCGCGATGGGACTCTGCTTGCATTCATCGCTTTTGGCACGGGCAATCCGGCTGCTTCGCCTCGGAGTGCCATTGCCGGCCTCGCCGTCTGCATCCTCATTCGCGTCGATAAGGTCAGCCTTTACCTGAGGCTCAAATACAGTTGGCTGCTTCAACACGCGCACTGCCGATTTCGAGAGCGATGCTCGAGCCCGCCCTTGAGCTTGCCTATGCCAATGGGCACGAAGCATCCTCATTTTTTTCCAGCCTCGCGGAGAGCCATCGGGTAGCCTATCCTTCAGAGTCGCGTGCATGTACTGTTCCATGTAACGTAGGACGGGCCATGCATCTTCGAACCGTCGGAAATACGGATACTGATCGCAGATCTGATATTGACAAGTGAGCCAGAGAATTTGTAAGCCGAACGAAGACTTTTGACCTCCTTCGTACATAGATCGACCGCGGTCTTGTCCTGTAGGTTCATGCACTTCTTCGGGTCCAGGTGTCTCTGCATCGCCCGGCGCATATCGTACTGAAGCACGCGTCGGAGGCTGGAACGACGAAGGATCGCGGAGGCAGATAGCACGTACAGTGATAACGTGCCACGCGTCTGGCAAGTTCCCGTCCAGCTCGTCCAGCGTGTCTTTTAGGCGTCGCCGTTTGACTACGCCATCGATTTCGTAGGTATCACACAAAGGATTCGGAATCAAGTTATTTTCTGGCGACATATAAGGGGGGCAGCCGCAGAGGAGATGAATGTAGAGAGATGAGAAAGGAGAGTTTCCTTCATGATTCGAATTCGGAACGCCGCTTTCTTCTGAGTGGGAGCGTTCTCCACGTATAGACGCGGTCAACCCGCTCAAGGCGCGCTCCGTCGAAGACGCGTCGGTCATGTGGATCACGTGGAGCGCGCTACAGGGGCGCGTTGAGAAGTAGTCTCGTTACCAGCCTGCCTGAATCCGACGAGCGAGCAAAGTGGCTTCAGACAGTCTGGGCGGTTTCCGTGGGAATTCATAAGCTCACCGGGAACGTGACTTTCACGTGATGCAGAGTAAGAGTCGGAATGTGATCGGAAGTGATCAAGTCAGACCGAGTAAGAAATGAACAGTGATCGGTCAGTTGCGAAAGTGACCCATCAGTTCACGCACACGATCCATCAGATTTGCGGTCGCGGCATCATCGCGCCACGAAGTTGTCAAATGTGGCAATTGCCATATCCTTCCCTTGCCCACTCCTTTGACCTCCTCTGCTGGCTCTCACTATACCAGAACTCCTGCCAAAATCTCCAGCATGCAGGGGGGCATCAATAACAAGCCCGAAGAACACACAGAAGCAGTAGAAGGGCCGGGAGGACAGAGGCTGGTGCAGGATACCGGGGCTGATGGGCCTGCAGAGGGCCAAGACGGAGGTACTGGAACACCCAGCAGTACGTACCTGTTGTACATACTGTACATACTGGGTAGCCTCTGATCTTACAATGTGTACAGGCCGTTCTACTTCTGCATCGTCCAGAAGTTATAGCACCCCGTCCCGTCTTCGTACATTAGACCATTTGTCTACACCTAGCACCAGCCAGAATACACATTCCTTTTTCAACTTCTCATTTCCAAGCTCATACGAGGGCTTTGAGTTGCTATCATCAACATCCTCCGTCGACAACGAACGCGGCAGAAAGAGACGACGACAAGGAGAAGTGCCGATGACTTCGTTTTCCTTGCCTCAGCCTTCCGCAACGTACAACACTTTCTTTGACAAAAGCTCTGCACCATCACAGTTCAATACACCTACGCCTTCCGTCAGCTCATCCAGAAGTCCGAGTCTCGTGCCTGTTGGTCTCCTTGGGTTGGGTCATACTACGTCTCCGGATACTCCGAGCCCTGCTCCTTCAACAGGGGCAGCATTACCTATGGAATCAAATTCCAACCCCAGCTCCTCGTACTGCTGCCCGCGGCCATGCTGCAGGTCTCGCAAAACCCAGGCAGATCGTTACCGGCTGGTCCTGACAATCCTGCAAGAGGGCTCTATCGCATTCAGTGACTTCGTCGCCGAAGTCTTGACTAATCCTGACTATCTGGGGTATCAAACACGTTTCTATGACCCGAAATCTGGACACATGGCGCAGCTCCTGAACTCGGTATGGGACAGAAAGTCAGGCCGGAAATGTATGATTGATTGGATGAAACCCAAGGCAGAGGAGCTTATCTGCCAGGTTGTTTACGACGAGATGGATCAAATAAAAGGGAAGATGACGCTGAAAGTACTTGACATCACGGACGAACACCTCAGTCAATGGTCGTTTCGTTCATCAATTCAGGATCCTATCACCGAGGCGGCACCGACACTCTGTCGTATTCTCACATCGGCTGCTCAGACTTCCAAGGCTCAGAGGTTGAACAAGAAGAAACAGCCCGATGTACTTGTTGCCGTTATTGTTTCTCAGCTAGCCAACCATCGGTCTCGGTTCTGCATCTCGTTTGCCGGGGGTTTCTCGTTGACGGCATACTTCTCTGGATGCTCAGAGCTTGCGATTAATCTCCTCAACAAGTGTGGTCTCTCAATCTCCTACGACTCTCTCATGGCAATCTTCCCCGCCCTTGCAGACTCCTGTATTGAACTCGCTCGGCAGTTAGCACAATCCCCCGATGGATACTCACTTGGTTACGACAATACCAATGTCAAGACATCTATACATGTGGAGCAACGACGGGATGCTCCAGCCAAAGTTCAGTCTGGTACAGCCTCGTGTATCTATACACTCTACAACATTCATGATGGCTCCGCACTGGAACTCAAGCCAATCTTGGCAAACTGGCGACGAATTACTAGGCTCCCTCGTGCACTATCTTTCAAGCAGGATATACGGCCAAATCCTGAACAGATTCAAGCCTTTGATGCACAGTCTCTTGCTCATATTCTCCGTGTGCTTACGACTCACGTTGACGCTTTCAAAAAATTCGAAGACGATCCCTTATTCTCATATCTACCACGTCGTAAGCTATCAGATACGCGACGACAACGTGCCTTTCCATTGCGCACAACAACCATCGAAGAAGCCAGTGTTGCCGGCAATATTCAAGTTCATAACAACATCCATCTCGAGCAGCTTGGCATGACTCGTGACAAGCTTGAAAATCGTGCTATCCCAGTCTATGTTGACCTTGCAACAAACCTCCACATTCGTAGCGCTCAGATTCTCCGTGCTCGGGACATGTCTGCCCATGACCGCTTGTCGTGTCTTCAGCTCGGTGTTGGACTGTTCCACCTTCTTCTCAACTTACTCTGGTGTGTCCTTGGTATCCACCGTGGCAAAGACGATGATCTGGGGTCTTTGAGCTGGTTCTTCGTGCTTGTGTCTCGTACTCGCCTTGGAGCTCAGCATCCTGACTTCCATTTACTCAAAAACACTCTGGCGCAAATCTTTGACGGCCTGATTCTCCACTTCTGGCTTGTCGAGTCTGGCTGCTCTGACTTCACCGCCTTTGCTGCCAAGAACTGCACAGCAGAGGAGCTGACTCATATTGCACGGTGTATTCAACGCAAATATACCACAATAGGGAGCTCTAATGACAATGAAACGGGTGACCTTGCCCGTGAAAACATCAAACGGCTTCTCCGTGACTTATTGTACATCCGTGAAGTTGACTATGCTATCCGCGATGGCGACTGGGGAAGAATTGAAGACATTCTCGGTCCATTGTGTATGATGTTCCGTGCAGGAGGCTCGAACAATTATTCAACAGAGATCATGCACCTTATCTTGCAACTGAAGTACATCTGGCCATCGGACTTTGCGTAAGAGGACAACAAGTAGCTGCGGTCAATGTACTGACAGGTCCTTGTGTACAGGGATGTTATGCGGGATAATATGATAATCAATCTCACCGGGAAGAATTTACCCGTTGATTTGAACATGGAGCACCTGGTGCGCATCGGAAAGGTATGAAGCCCATCAGTCATGTCCTCCACTACTAATACACCACTACAGAGTATGCTACCAAATCATGGATCACCAAACTACTGGGAAGTTCTTGGTCATGCATCAGCAGCTATTCCATCCCTCCAGAAAGCACGCGATGCCTATGTCAAAGGCCTCAAAGGAAGCTACATGGGAACATCACATACAACACCAGATACCTCCGCAGCCGTATGGTCAGTAATGGATGCTGCCCAGACTCACAAGCTACAGACATGCAACCCAGCGCGTAAGGCTGTCAAGAGAACAATTGATACCATACTTACGGGCCGCAATAAATTGCAAGCGGGCTCAGTGGATACATTCAACAAAAAGATAGCGGCTATGGGCTTAGGTGTGGACAGCGGAGCAGAGGATGATGAGCTCGAACCAGTAGACATTGATGTATCAAATTTACAGGATGATTGACTATACATTCAGTTTATGGGCTGTAGTGGCAATACACCCATCCTAGCTCTCTTAACAGGGCGATCAGTACAGTGCACATTCTCCTTATTTGTGTATGTGAAATCCCAGAGGACCTTGAAGAGCGGCCCAGCCCATCGTGATTTCCACTCCTCTGTTTCTCCAAGTATGTTGGTGATCTTATCGAGGCTGAGAGGTCCGTCCTTTCCGTTCATCTGAATCCGAGCAATTTGTGGTATGTCGTGGTCCTCAAGTATGTCTTGGGGAGTCGAAGCATACACTGACTGCGCTGTCTTGAACATATCGTCTCGCCACTTTCGGAGTAGGACCTCAAGTGCTGGACGTTCAGCGATTGGTCTATAGCTTTTACGGGGCCGCTTTTCTCCGGTTGACATATCCAAGATGTCGCTGAGAGATGCTGGTGCTTGATACGGGAAGAAGGAGTCCAGCGTGAATGAACGCCGCGTGTCGTCACCCGGATGTAGTCGGTCGCAGCACCAAGGGCCCGTGAAGTCAAGTGCTAGTGTGTGTTAACAATAGTGTACGCTGGAATCTCAGTGAGGCGTACCATTAGCTGAGGAATCATGCAGGTAACTTGCATAGCAAGCACGCAAGCATGTTTGAGATTGGAACGTGCGTACGCAGGCGCGACTTGCAAGTTCTTCTCGTTTGAATGTCTTCTTCTTGCTCTTTGGATCAATTGGAGCAAGAGGCATATCAGGGCTGGCTTCTTCATGAATACTAGTGATGATGGTCGCCTCCTCTACCCATCGCTCTGCCATCACTAAGAATAGAGCAGGAACCTTAGCATCACGAGCCCGCCCCGCTCGCTGCAAATCCTCTGCCTGGTCCCGTCCTATGCCATAGTTGATGATAAGCGTGACACTGGTGGGATTCAAGCCCTGTTACAAGTACAGGTGAGTATGAAGTCCACATTGAAACATGGACGGTCAATTTGGCTCACATTCGATGCCGCTTGTGAACAAACCAAGATTTGGCAGTTCCTTGTGGGTGAATTGAAGCTGTCGTACACATCATCAAGATGTGCTAGTGACATGTCGCTGTGATACTCTCGCACAATACCATGACTACGTAAGGGCTCTGGTAATCGATTGGTGAGATGTACAGCAATCTGCCCTATCAATGATTTATTGTCGACAAAGATCATAGTCTTTTTGAGGCCGGTACTAGGAAACGGGATAGGAATAACACGATCCAAATTCTTGAGGTTACGTAGATCACCGTCAACGACTAGAGTAGCGTAGACCAAGTTAGATCGATTAAGAGGGCACAAGACCATGAGAGCGTCGTCAGAGATCCGCGTAAGCCGCTTTAATGGTCCCATAACATGCGGTGGACAGATAGTTGCCGACAGAAGTGTCCAAGCGCATTCAGGAGCAAGCCGGATGCGAAGCTCGCCAAGCCTTCCATAGCATGGGCGATAGGGTGCCTTCCCACCACGTTCAGAACCAGACAGAACAATATGATGAGCCTCATCAACGAAGATCCGCTTTATCCGTTTGATGAACGGATTCTTGTCATTTGTGCGTGCGAGCATGAGCTTCGCAAGCCGTGGTACCTGTCCTGATGTCCGATCAACAAAGAACTGCTCAGGTGCTGTGATTAACACTTGATACCCGGGACCGGGATGTATACTCTGCGATCTGTGTCAGTATCGCGGGTAAACTCTGTAAAATGACTCACCTTCCACAAGGCTTTGTCGTTTGGTGTATCGTGATTAATGGCGATGGCACGTATCCCAAAGGAGGCAAAGTCTTTGATCTGTACCACTAGTTCAACATTATGATTGCAGAATGGGATAGTGTGGGTGACCTGACTCGTCTGCAAGCGCTTCAAGGGTGAGAACACAATGCCAAGTTCCATCGGACGAAGAAGCCAGGCAATTATCATAGCAAAAGTCTTCCCAAAGCCAGTTCCCGCACTCAGTATGCAATCCTGATGGTAGACACTTGAGAGGCCCGCCTGAAGCTGCATGTCACGGGGAAGGCTTGATCCACTAGTATACAGAAAGATCAACGAGCAGGCGAGCAAGATATCCCGTTTGTATTCGGTCGAGGACTTCGGAAGATCGACGACAGGTCTTCTATCGAAGCTTGAACAGGCACTGCGAGTGTCTTCTGGAAGCGCTGCCCAGCAGTATGATGGAATCCCCGGGGTGTTGGCGCCAGTAACAGCAAGAAAGGATCCGGTGCAGTGGGTGACAAGCTCAGAATAGCTCAGTTTTCGAAGCTTGTTTGCTTCTTCCAAGTGCAGATCCATGGGCAGGGCATCCACTGAGGTCATAGCGCAGCCAGATTCCGAGAGTTTGGCACAGAATTCAAGTGCAGACGACAGCGAGCCCAATTTTTGCATTAGTGCAAACCGTCGAACTTAGCCACAAAACGACGCGCGTCCGCAAATCTGATGCATCACATTCATAAACTGACCGATCACATCGCCTTTCTTACTCGGTCTGACTTGATCACTTCCGATCACATTCCGACTCTTACTCTGCATCACGTGAAAGTCACGTTCCCGGTGAGCTTATGAATTCCCACGGAAACCGCCCAGACTGCCTATCGGCACTTTGCTTGCTCGTCGCCCAGGCAGTGTGGTTACGAGACTAGTTGAGAAGCGCGTTGGAGCATTCAGCGTCAGCGAGTGTCAAGGCGCGATGACCTATAGAATTGCAAGTATTGATACTAGGTTCGCGTGTGTACAGTAAGTGAACAATATCCAAATATTCAATACATATCTCTTTAACGAACACCTTCGACATGGAAAACGAACAAATCAAGAGATATACTCGCTGTCATCTGCATCCCCGTGTCGTATTCGCGTATGGTTAGATGCTCATGACCTTCCCCCGCGCCTCGAGCGCTACGTCCTCGCCTTCGCTGATCACCGCACTCGCCGTCCTGTCCCTGACGCCTTTCAAGAAGCGCACGAGCTCCGTCCCGCCCGTACCCTTGATCTTATCCTCCTCCTCACCCTCCGCCTTTTCCTGCTCGCGCGCGGCCATCTCCTTCTTCTGTTGCCTCTCCCGCGCGCTCGGCCCGACGATGTACATCGCGACGACGCGCATGTGCGAATCGCGGAACCGCTTCAGCGCGCGCACCGCGTCGTTGTACGCGTCCAACAGCTCCGGGAACGACGCCGCATTGGCGAGAACGAGCGACCGGAGCGGGCGGGGGTTGGCGGAGAGGTGATTGAGGAAGGCGCGGTGGTGACGCGGCATGTACGACTGCATGCGGGTAAGGAACGCCTGCTGGTGCTGTTGTGGCCTAGGTTGCGACGACGAGGAGGAAGTGGGGGAGGGGGAAGAGGATGAACGCCCGGTGAGCGCCGCGTGGTGGCTGTATTCATCCACGCCGAGGAAGACGTCGAGCGCGTGCACGAGGGCGCTCTGGCCCGCGCTCGGCCCGCTCTTCTCCACGGGTTCCTGCAGGCCAAACTCCTCGATACCTTCGAATACCCACTTCCGCGCGCCCTCGGCATCGGCGGCGTCCTCGCCCTTGAACCAGGGCCGGATGTCATGGTAGAACTCTTCAGGGTCGCAGCCCTCGCGCACGGCGAGGAGGAGGGAGGTAAGGGCGTCGATGACAGCGGAGAGTGAGAGGAGGTAGGACGTGATGCGCGAGAAGGCAAGCGCGTCCGATACGAAAGCTTCATCCATCATAGCTTGCATGAGCGCGAGCGCTTCTGCTCCCCGGAGCTCGATCCGCGCCGAGGCGAGGTAGAACTCGGACTCGGAGCGCGTTTGAGTGAACGTCGTCACGGTCGTGATGTTGTCTATTGTCGGCAGTGGCGGCTCCTCCGAGTCTGAGGGCGCGGAACCAGGCTTGAATGCCCAGTTGTAGAGCACGTCGTCGGAGTATGTGAGCACCGGGGGAAGGCGAAGTTGTGCGCAGACTTGGAAAAGAGGGACGGAGATGGAACGCGGAATAAGAATTGGCACGGCGAGGGGGAGGGTATGCACGTAAAAGTGAAGGAGCCAGGCGAGGACATGGTGGGCTCTCCGCAGCAGAACTTCGGACGAGGCCAGTTCTTGTATCGAAAGGAGAGGTATCTAGGCAGCCAGACCGACGACGATCAGCCTGTGGCTACGCTCGCATACAAATACTGGGATCCGCTTACTTCGCGCACTCTCGTTCGCCATCGTTCACTTTGGCACAACTGCTCCTGCGTCAACTGAGGCTTGCTGGCCAGCTGGAGCCTAGAATGAATCGCGTCTTCGAGTGCATCCTCCCATCGGTCCCATCGCGCAGGGAGGCGCGTGAGCGGTGGCTCAGGAGGCATGAAGCCCGTGCGGGTATCGACGTCGAAATCGTGCGCGGCGAGCGTCGTCGTATCAGGTACACCGGCCGGGCGGGACGCAAGCGCGTCCGGGCGCGGTGAGGTGAGGAAATGTTGCGCTGAAAGGTGGGCGAGCGGGCTCGTGGCCTGCGACGGGTTGGGTGATGTGGTCATTTTGGAGTCCTTGGGGATAGTACTAGTGGTAGCAATGGTGATATTGGCTGGGTCACCGGGCTTGGTACGAGGAGTGGAAAGGGGGGCCGGATCTAATCCGTTGCAGGTTATCCGGGCGGCAGTGACACTAAACTCGGAACGCGGTGACGGGTGGATCCCCTGTGAGATCAATGTCGGGATCAAGGTCCTTTGAAAACGCAGGGGACGGTCCGTACGGTTTTGTAAGGCAGGAGGAGCAAGAGGGAGATGCTTGCTAAGATGATCTTGTGCACAGTATCACGCCATGGAAAACATATTAGCCCGGCTGGATCGAGCCCGTTCCATACCCTTCCCCTGATCGCTTCCCTTGCCCGTCTCCATTCTTTTCGTAACCTGGGTTACGCGGGATAACGCAGTAAGATTGATAGTAAAGCAGCACAGCAGGTTGAGGTAAAGACGGGACGAGGACGGTAAGAACCCGGTCTGATGGCGTTGTTACATCCATTGACCCACGTTCATCTTGGTCAGATTCGAACTCCATCAATTATCAATACACTCCGTGCTCCGTTGACTTTTTCGTCGTAAAGGATCCTACTGCTCGGCGACATCTATTGCACTTCTGTAACTGCATAGGGCCGGGCTCTGAGTCTAACCGTGGACCCAGTAGAGCATGCTTGCAAGATCTCATCTAGAATTGAGCTCCGCCTCCGCAGAGGGAAAGGCTGACTGTAATCTTGACGCTGACGAAGATGGAACATGCCGACGGGCGGATGACGCATGGGCACGGCTAACGGGGTGGTCTTGCTATGACCGCCCTCGCTGTGCGCAAACCTGGGATCGCCTTGGGCTTTGGGCAGGACTTGCTTGGCCCTGAATTAGATAATCGAGGCTCTAACATTGATGGGAGAAATGCGAAGATATCCGCTCAATGCAACAACGCAGTCCTATGTGAATACTCGTACTTAAATATGGACCTCCGCTCGCTCTCCTGCTTGAACCACCGTCTCCCTGGGCGGGGAGACGATCATCACAACGTGCAACCTTCCGAAGTTCCAGCTTCTGCTTGAAGGACTGCCGATATATTCTCTAACTGGTTTGTCGACCATCAGGCTGGCGCCTTGGGAGCACATGGGGCTTCGGCGCGGATCGTTCACGTCCACATACACACATTTCGAAGAAGTCATGCAATATCGAGCCTTGTGATCAACGTTGCACCCCTTAATCCCTGTAAGTGCTCACCCCAGCATGTAGCCCGCTGTTTTCGCTCCTTCCCGCGCTCATTGATCGTCCTCCACTGCTACCGGGTCAAGAGCTCCGTCGATGCGATTAACCCCTTGGATCTTGCGCCAGGCGCTCTAATTTATCCTTCTCCCGCTTCTAAGTAATTGGTGATATACATCACTCCCGCTCATGATGCTCGAACTTGCCACCCACGCGCTAAGTTCCGCAGAGACGATCGAGCCACTTCGGGATTTACTATCCGCGTAAGGGGATACATGAACATCACGGAAACTTGCGTCATGCATTCGTATTCTTCGAGCGCCTCACAATCCGCCCGACAGTGTGGGGAATTTCTTCCTCTGCTACTTCCCGAACCTCCCACCATCCCGCCATCAGAAACAACGGCCGGACGAAGATGAATTGCGGTTCGGCACGAAAGCGGCCAGCGGCTCTCGGATATTACGATGAGACGCGAATATCGTCTTACTGAATCAACTGTGGGTACCAAGGGCGTCGGATCGGGACCGCCCGCTTCGCGCTTTTCCCCGAACTGTGTATGTGTGCAGCTTTGCGTTTGGTCTGATGGACTCGGAGGAAATGCCAGCGATCGTCGGGCACCGGCAGCGGGTACAAGCTTTGCTTCCGTTCACTCACGCATCAGAACCACCGACGCGACACCACCATCGGGGCAAGGCGCGGGATGATTAGCAGGCGATCCGATCGAGCACGACGGATTTTTCCGTTGCCTCCAACGGGTAGAGCTTGGTTGTGCTCAGGTTTGCTTTCCCGCCATATTATTTACCTCGGCATGTCGAAAGAAGCGAGGTGGTGTCAACCTACGTTGATTCATAGCATCCAGCGTCAATCCACATGAATGCTTTATAGGTTGCAGTTCACAGAGTATATGAAGTGCGCGATCCAAGGCACTCACTGTCAGAGAGTCATATACATCAACAGCTCTTTGCAACCTTTGATCCATACTAAGGACGGGTGCGAGCACATCTGCGACTGTGGAAGGCATGCCCGCTCACCTGTTCAGAGACGTATTTCTACCTGTAGCAGGGCTTGTCCCGGAACCACAGGTACCGTGATTCGACATTGATCGAGAACCTTCAATCGAATGTAACTAGCAAGTGTTGAGTGCGAGCTGAGGAAGGATCCATACGTTGGATATCCGGATAGATGATTAACCGCTTCGGAATAAGAACAACTGCCAACGAAGCCAATCAAGAGCGATCCGAATCCCTCGGTTTCAATTCACTGCATAAACATTGAGCAATTGGAGGTCGGCTTCACTGAAACGCGGGGAGGTGTCAAACTACGCCTACAAGCACGACAATTGTGAGCCTCTAGTGACTCGTGCGGAATAGTGAGAAGTTGAACAGCTTAGTGAACATAGCTGCCTAGCTCAGTGCTCGTCATGACCAGGATATTCGATGCGCTCGTGCCCACGGCTCCCTTAAATCAGCCGCTACGACTTCACAATACTGATGCCTAGCGGAAGAGGGTATAATGTCCTATACCGGAAGCGAGATGGTCTCGTACTAGCGAGCTACAGTTGTGACCAGGAATAGATGATCCCAGATGAAACGGCCAAGAGCTGAGTCCCATCCCTAGCATTTTGCTATCGTCTTGGCCTCTTGGCTATATCCATTCTTGCCAGAAATGATGCCGAACGCAGGTCCACCCTTCCCAAACATCTTCTTCAGATCGCCCACCAGCTCTTCTGGCTTCTCGTAGGCCGCGAAGTGCCCACCAGCGTCGTGCCGGGCCTCGAAGATCACGCGACCTGTCAGTCGGACCCATCTGTACGAATTTGTGTAGAAGCCAAAGAGTGAGAACGGTGTAGTAAGTAGCGTATATGCACACTGACGAGGGCGGCGCAGGCATAATCTCCTTTGGAAAGTATGAGACTCCCATCGGCGCGCTAGTGACGCGATCACGCCAGATGAAGTCCCCAGCTTGGATTACTTCATAGTAGATCCTCAGGGACGCGGTTGGCCCTGCCCGAGAGAACCAGTACACCGAAACCCAATCGAGGACTGATCGTGATGTGTCAGCCTGACAGCATAATCATAGTATATGATCAACGCAGACCTTCGTCATCGTTCCATGGGTAGCTGTCTGTCCAGTCGTGGAGCTTCTCGTAGATCCATGCCAGTAAGCCTACCGGCGAGTCGGCCAAACTATAGCCCAATGTCTGAGGTTGCGTGGACTGTTCTTGCATGTAACCTACGTAGGCGAATGATGGTCAGTTCTGGAGGTACAACAGAGCAAACGTTCGAGGACCTTGGCCCTTCGTGTGGAACCATTTCATACGAGCCAGCCCAGCTTTCTCAGCAGCTGTCAACCCTAACAGTGTCCGTAGGAAGGTGAGCGGACTCGACCTCAGTTTTGGTGGCGCTCCACTACACGACGTTTTCAATGATATTAGAAAGATAGCGCATGGAAGAAATCTGAGCTTACACGGGCATGTTTGTGTGCCAAGCTTTTATATGTCTACCTCCGTAGAGAGTCGCCATTTTACGGGTAATCTGTGCATTCACGCTAGTCAGTCGCTTGAACGGGTATGTACGAGCCAGCTCCTGTGATTCCGAGACGCCCTACTTACCAAATAGCCCCAGTCACCACCTTGCGTCACTGCGCGCAATCAGCCTCGTAGGGTACGAGAGGGAAGATCCTCGCTTACCGTACTCCGTGTAACCGAGTGCAAGCATAAGTTTATGCCCGACCTGACTCACATCATGAGCAACGAGATGATGCAGGTCAATGACACGACATACCTCGGCATACTGCGCTAGTCCGAACCCCTTCTTCTTCGGCGCTTCCGACCAACCATATCCAGGCAAACTGAACGCCACGACGTTGAAACTTGGTTGACCTTTCGATACGAGCAACGGCAGGATCTTCCGGACTTCGAGAAAATGCCCCGGCCCTGTCCACCACAACCGTCAGTAGAGTCGCTCGCCATTGGGGCAGAAGGAGCGTGCTCACATCCGTGGACGAAGAGGAGCGGAACGGCGCTGGCTGTTTCGCTCTTCTGATGCACGTAGTGAATGTTCAAAGCGCCGAACCCGTCGACGTCGATGTCCCTCGTGAACATGGGGAGCTGGTTAATCTCAGCCTCAAAGCGCCGCCAGTCCCACCCATTCCTCCATCGGTCGACAAGCCGCTTCACATCCGCAAGAGGTGCGCCGTAATCCCAGCCAGCCTCATCCAGCTCGTCGGGTAGCCGAGCGAAGTCGAGCTTCTGGATCAAGTGGTCGAGCTGGACGTCCGGGACGGCAACCGTGAAAGGGCGTTCAGTCATAGCCTACGGGGATGTTAGCAAGGACGGGGAAAAGTCGCGGCGGACATGTTCCCAACCCTTTATATGCCGTTCATATGTTCGTTTCTCATGAGAAGTCCGTCCTCCTGCGAAGCAGAGTTGTGAGCTCAAAGAGGATTAGGTGGACAGAGCACAACATCTCGTCACATACATAGCGAGCGGCAGAAGCGCGGCATGTTACGTCCTTGTATTACATCCGTGCAGCAGGTCCGGCGATTTCAGCGTGTAAACTGAGCAAAGGCTGTGTACGCATATAGCGGTGGACCGACACCTCCAACCTGTCGGTAGATTGACATCCATCGACAGCTGGCTTCTGGCCACATGTTGTACTTTCGACTTTCGGCTCGTTGCTATCGCGAGTTTGCCGACGGACGCGCGCATTCCCAGTCTAACTTCCAGTTATGAACAAAAGGATTCATATGGCGGTCCGCGAGTCGCAGTCAGCTGCTAGAATCGCATGTGGTTGGACAGAAGGGGGTTGACGTCGTGCCGAACGTGGTTCAGACGACTTGTGCAGTAAGGGTGAGAGAGGATCACGAACAGGGTCTCCTTCTAGCCCGCCAGGGGCGCACGCACGCGAGCAACTGTGATACATCCGCGACATATCGACGAAGTACGTCAGGATCAACATTCCAGAGACAGATCGGACACCGTCTCACAATGACAGGCATCTCGATCAGTATGTTCAACATCACGCTGTCACGCTCGAGCAAGTGCGAGGGCAAGCTTGTGCCATATCGAATTTCATGACTACGAGATCTAGGGAAACATTCTGATGCATGCGAGGTGGTGGTGAGAAGAATTACTGCTTGGGAGAGTTTTGATGATGATGGGGAGGAAGGGTGGATGTGAGTATGAAAACACAAAAATGCGAATGAGGTTGGTCGATTGATGCTGGAGATGTGAAGACAGTGGACGATGCGATGCTTGATTTTGGCATGAGATGAGATGGGGAAGAGAAGAGGCGTCTATACGAAACGAAAGGGACATCTGCCCGCAAGAAAGCGAATATATGCGAGGTCGAAGGTCGAAGGGGGGTTCAAACGTCCATGAGCGACATGTGCGAGAATGCGAATGCGAGAGGTGTTGATGAATATGCAACAGGAATGCTCCTCGAGAGCTTTTCGCGACGGCCGGACGTCGATGAGTGCTTTGGAAAGATGAAGGCGACATGGGATTTGATTAGAGTTGAATAGGTTAGGATGATCCAGGGGAAAAGGCATGAGACGTGATGGAAGAATCTGAAGATGAGTTGTTGCGACCGAAGAATGTCGTGATGCCGCAGGTCATGAGAAGACAGAGTCAATGGATGCACTTGAACGTCCGTGGGGAGATTATATGCGTGGCGAAACGTGTATCTGTTGACTTTAGCGTCTAAGAAAGGGATGTCAGCTAATGAGAACTGTAACAAGGTGCTGAGGATCTGACCTTTTTTTCAACGAGCCGGGGTTCTCTCCCTGCGCCTGCCCCGTTCGGGCGAATCGGCCTTGCTGAAGGCAGTCATGGTGAACAGGTACTTCTGCAGATCGCTCTGAACACGCTTGAGACTCGACTGCGGCTCTTGATCGGACAGGTCATGGGCATCCTTCTCCGGAGCGTCTTCCACCAGAGTAGTGTCCATGAGGTCCGAGTCCAAAAGCACCGACGACGGCCAGGCTGTGAGCGGCGGAGTCACGAGGGATCCGGACACCGCATTGGTCGAGAGTTGAGCGCCCGCTCCGCTGGCAGCGATGAACCGCGCGAGCTGCGGCGTCGTCTTCCAGCGCAGGGTCGGCGGAGGGCGAGGGCGGTGCTTGTTCCCCCGCCTCTCGGAAGACGTAGACCGTTCGTGCTTCTCATCAATGGTGCACGTGAGGCCGAAGGCAGGGACAACAGGCGATGCGGCTGGCGAAGCCGACATCTCTTCGGGGGAGAAGTCTGCAGAGCCGACGGACGATGCGGGTGAGGGTAGCTGTGGGTTCGTGGACAGCTGCGTGAACGCCCGAGGACGCGCCGCAGGTTTCTTCGCGGCTGCAGAGGCTCGGTACTCTGCTGCAAGCTTTTGCGCCGGAGTGAGGGGAGGTTGCGCCGGACGCGCTGGAGTGTATTCCACGGGCTTGTTCTCCGTCCCGGTGATGTTCCAGTCGAACGCATGGGCTCGGCTGCTCATGTGGGATGTTGCGGTGTCCTTCCTGGCCCGGATGTACCGGTTGGGAAGGGCAGGCGAAGTGCAGTCGGGCGACATGGCAAACACGAGTTGATCATCCATAGCAGAGTTACAGCGGATAGGTGACAGGGGCTGCTCTACGATGCGTCGGTGGGAGTTGGGGATAGCGATGGGAGCGGTGGGGGTGAGGAGGAAGGGATGTGCGCGGCGACGCCGAGTTGCAGACAGTTGAGGCACCATAGCTACCACCGAACAGAGGATGTTACTCGGAGAGATGATGTCTTGAGGGTACCAGCGATACCCTGTTTTGATGAAGGTCTGAGCTGGGACCAGGGTCGGGTTTTAAGTAAGGATGTTACGAGTCAAGAGAGGATGACTCGAGCTCACAGTGAAGCAGCTTGCAGCAGGCCGTCTCTTTAAGAGCGACGGCGCACGTTTCGCACGTTGCGATAGCCTCGTGTGTCGGAGCTTGGGGAGAAAGTTTTCCGCCACGAGAAAAGGCTTTATATGTGTAGCGCTGAAACGAGCGCCGGAGGTTCGGTGATCTTGAAGCGCCCGAGCTGTGCAAGCTATCAGATCTCCGCGACGAGCGGGGACGGGGCGGGGGACAAGGCCTGTGCTTGGCGCCGACGAAAGAGGAGGGCTTTATAGGATGGACTGTGATGGGATGTGAAGCGCGTGAAGGGGGGCAGGACAATGGGGACGTGTGTTCGCGCCCAAAAAATTCGCCTTCTCGTCTTCGGTAGAGCGTGTGACATCTCAACCGGGCGGACGTGACTCGTCGCGTCGTCGGGCGGGGACTGCGTCGGTGGCGTCGCTGTCCCGTTCGGGCAATCCCGCCGTCCTCATCGGCTCCGTCGATGTGACATCCCGCCGCACATCCTCAGCGCCGCGCTGCACGCCCGTTCCTTCAGACATTCCGCAGTAGACGGTTCTCCTGCAGCCTGAGCTCTGACCGATTTTTTCATGCAACAACACAGGTCACACATTCCGGAATTAGCCTCCGCGCTTCACCCCCATACAGCCATTTGAAATCCCGGCGATTGCCCCAGAGCTTCTGAAACCTTCTTGTACCTGCTTCGCGACAGTGGCGATCAAAGTCACGGCTTTGCCTCTTGTTTCTGCAGGGCGCTTTGACGACGACTTGCCGCAGTGGTGCTTTTTGCCACAAAAGCCACACAATAGTGAGCCACTATCCTGGGCCCTCGGTCCGCAGTTGCAACGGTACGCAGAGATTTACACTCGACTGGCTGATGATGTATCGGCGACAGGGACGTGACTGGACAGGTCCCATGTTCTTCATCGAACGACCGATGCTCAGTACTCCGTCCCATTTTTTCGGTGTCCTTCGTATGTAATTGCATCAAATCGCAAGCGGCGTGCGTCAGTTTCTCCGACTGTGTCGACACGATGTTCTGAGCCACCTTCAATGAACTAGGGTTCGCTGTATATGTGGATGGGTATGAAGGTCTTCTCGTTGCCAGGCTGCGCTTCATGTGACTGTTTACTCCCATTGACACGACGACCAACCGTCGGCGACCGCCATCGCGAGCAATAAGACAATTTTGGCATCTCATCTGGACTTGCCTGATCGGAAGGTATGTAATCCGGCAGATGGGCGTCCCAATCGCGCACGCACAATGGGCTGCTAATCCCAGAAGTTGTGAATCCTGCTTAACGTTGACCTAGAGAAGAATCGTTGTGCCAACGGGGCCGACTGCCATCGCACAGCTCAATACATATCTGCGACTTCGCCGCACGTTCGTGAACATGCCATACCATGGCAAATGTCAAGCCGGGCCGCCGGCGACTTTCCTCAGTCACTTCAAGTTGCCGGGAGCTACCCACGATCACGTGGCTTTCAAAACCCCTCTGTTATTACCCTGAATCCTGACGCAACGGTGAGTCAGACGCAGTATATGTTTGACTCTTCGCTACAGCGTCGACGTCCCCACACTTTTCACCTCAGTTACTTCTGTGAGATAGGGAAAAGTATGCATGAATGTCGGCGCTGTTGGCCGCTGATAACCGGTAGCATATTGGTAAGAGCTCTCATTCCGGATTCGTTTGACTCCTCTCACCCCATCCCGAATGCTTACTTCAGCGGTAGCTTGAACGTAGGAGCAGCGGATTGTCCCGATAGCTATCTAAAGATGAACTCAATGAACTGTCTTTCCGACAGCAAGACCGGCACCGTATCGCGACTGTGCTGGTCCCTGACCGGTAGCAACTACCCCACACCGGTCCATCCTGTACGAGCCTTTGCTCCAATCTCTCAGCCTGGCCGAGCGGGTATCAGTCGTCCTGCACAAGCGTTGATTTGAGCGTGTATGAGCGGTCTCACGACACCCCCGTCGACAGCCGAGTCACATTGAATGCAGAAGAACGGATGCACAAGGCCATTGGCGTGGCGTCTTTGGGCTGCCATGGAAGCAAACCAACCCGTGCCCCTCTCGTCAGCGTTTTCACTGTCTTCAATCCCCTTGCACATCTAGGGTCGGATATTCTCAATGCCCCCATAAGCATGGCCGACGATCGCGCATCGATTTGGAAACTCTTTCGCAGGCCTTCCGAAGGATGCGGCGCGCTTCCTGTCCTACTCCGGCCAAAACAAGGTTGACATAGGGCCCAAAGCGTAAGATTTTCTCCAAAGACCTGATCACCGGGGCGCAAATTGATCATATCATTCCAGATAGCGGGTTGTTCACGCACGGCTCTGATCATTGCTGAACAAGACGGGCACGCTTCCGGTCATCGATGCATGCTACGATTAAGAGATGACCATCCGCGCCTCACAACCTCGTCGTCATTCTAGAGTCCGGTGAACCGAAAGTGCGCGTATAATCTCATGGCGGGTTGGTCGGTTATCGAGTCGTCATTCTAGAGTCCGGTGAACCGAAAGTGCGCGTATAATCTCATGGCGGGTTGGTCGGTTATCGAGAATCAGCCCTCTTGGAAAAAGGGCTCTGATATTCCACTGTCTGGGCGCTTCCCACGACTGTGCTCGTCTTATGTCTCTGACGTCGCCGGTGAGCTATTTAAACCAGCGTATATAGTCGTGGTACTGACCAGAGAACTCCCCACTTGCTCAGATACGCACACGCAATGTCGACGATACTTCTGCGCAACGGCCTGCTGACGACGTTCGTCAACTCCGACGGGCCTCTCGCAACGCCGACTCCGCGCCGTGCGGACGTCCTGATCAAGGGAGACACCATCGCCGCTGTGGAAGCTCCCGGAAGTATCAAGGTCGAGGACGGCGACGGCACGCTCGTCATCGACTGTCAAGACAAATGGATTGCGCCTGGCTTCGTGGATACCCATCGGTGAGTTATGCCGCTTAGAAGGCGACAGGGAAGCTCACTGTTCTCTCAGCCACCTTTGGATGTCTGTTGTTGACAACCAGGAAGATTGGACTTTGGTTGAGTAGTACGTTCAGATCCCGCCGAAGTGTAGTGTATCATTGGCTAATAGACATCATGCTAGTCTTGCCAAGTTAACCTGGACTACCACAGCCCTCGTTACTGCTGAGGACGTGTACGCTGGGCAGCTCGCCGGAAGCTTGCAAGGTACTGAATCGGCAGCAATCCTCTCACGACTTTGGCTCAGCGGTCATTCCCAGCTATTCACGGTGGTACCACTACTGTATTGGACCACTTCCACTCGGCCAACTCACCAGCTCATGTCGAGTCAGCCGTCCAGGCTTCAGCAGAGTCTGGTCTTCGGATCTTGCTGTGCGTTTCTCGGCAGGTGAGTCAGCCTCTGCTGCCCGTCGGTGATACTCGCATGCTGATGACGATCTCGTAGTCCACACAAACCAACATTGATCCTCTCGAGTTCGCGGACGACGCCGCTGTCGCCGAATGGCAGGTCTCTTTGATTGAGCAGCTTGCCGACAAGGACAATGGCAACCTCACTCCCGATAAGCGAGTCACCCTCGGCCTCGCTTACGACGTACAAGGCTACGACCCTGACGCGGACTCGCGCATTTTTGCTCTTGCACGCGCGAAGAACATCAAGCCTATCACCGCCCATTACCCTGGCGGCCCGCACACGCCGCGCCACGACAAGGTCGTGAAGAGGTGGAATGAAGCTGGCCTACTGAGTGACGACATTGTCATGAGTCATTGCACGGGTTTGAAGCACCTCGGTGGCAGCGACGAGGAACTCGAGTGGACCCTCATGAAGGAGAAAGGCGTTGGTGTCTCGGTTACTCCGGTTGGTGAACGTTTCCTCGGTCATGAGACCACTTCTCTCATCGCGCATACGTGTAGGAAGATGAGCTCGGCATGGGTCACGGTGACCCGGTGGCGTACGAGGCGATTCGCAGAGGTGTTAAAGTTGGCTTGGGCATTGTAAGTCATCCTTCCCGCTGCTTGCTGCGGAATGTATGTGCTCAGGTGAGGGACATAGGACTGCGCATCTATCCTGAGCACGGAAATGTTCCCTGCCATGCACTTCGCCCTTCAGTGGGAACGAGGTGACATTTCCTTTATGGCGTATGTTTGGCGAAGCACTCATTGAAGGCCCGAATTAGGTCAAATGCACGCTAAAACCGCGTACAACACGCCGACGCCCAAAGCGAACAAGCACAACACCTATTCCTGTGCTTCCGCGTTCCGCCTCGCCACCCTTGGCGGCGCCGAGTGCGTGAACATGGCGGACCGTATTGGAACGATTGAGCCGGGGAAGCTAGCGGATATTGTTCTCTATGACGCGCTTTCGCCCAATCTCGCGGGATGCTCGGACCCTTTCCGCGGCATCGCCATTCACGCCACCGGCCAGGATGTCGAGTGGGTCATTGTGAACGGCAAGGTTGTGAAGAAGGCAGGACGCTTAGCTCCAGTGACGACCGCTTCCGGGATTGAAGACTGGTTGGCAGTGGCGAAGAGGCTGAGGGAGCGCCAGGAGGTGCTGCGCGGGAAGCTGTCCCAGTATGATCTGGAGGATCGCTATTCTCGTGTTGTTAAGTCCCTTGGTACCACGTTTGCGTAGGCATATCTCGATATGACGCTGCCATATGTTCTGGTTCGCATAGACGCACTGTATACCACGTTATAACCTTATCGACAGGATGGAAACCTATGATCTGGGTTAGGGGTTGAACTTGGCGTGTTTTATCTTATCCGCCCGCTCTCGGCTGCTCTTTACGCCAGCATCCACAACAAAGCGATGAGCATTCCTTTCATCAACAGCATTTCGGGTTCCGGTACCGCACCTCCCCATACTCACTCGCACGAAGCGGGAGGGCCTACTCATTCCCATTCACATGACGGAGTTGGTGATCATGGCCATACTCATGAACAGATGGATAATCCAGGTGCGTGCGATCCAATGTGTGCATTCAGGCAGCTCGCTGACAACTATACAGGCAAGTTCTCGGAGCGGGATATGCCCGACTACTCTTCTCGAAACTTCGAAGAACGCGGGTTCACTATTGGTATTGGGGGGTAAGCGCGTTGGGTTCATGGCAGTGATCCAGCAGTCACATTCGTACCGCCAGGCCGGTCGGATCTGGGAAAACCGCGCTTACGCTCGCTCTCTGTCAAGAACTCCGGGCGAAGTACAACATCGCGACGGTGACTAACGATATATTCACGCGGGAGGATCAAGAATTCTTGATTCGCAACAAGGCGCTGCCCACGGAGGTTAGCATTTCAGGTTACAGATACTTGGTCTTTCATATAGTAATCTCGTCACGCGTATATGCGCGTTTTTTGGTCGTCAGCGCATCCTCGCAATCGAGACCGGAGGATGCCCCCATGCTGCCATTCGTGAGGATATCAGTGCGAACATGGTTAGCTTTTCGATAAAGCGCCGAGTATGAAACTTGAACGCTCATTCAAGATCACGCATCTAGGGAGCTCTGGAAATACTGCAGGCGAAATTCGGTTGTCAGTTACTTCTGGTAGAGTCGGGTGGAGATAATCTCGCGGCCAATTATTCCCGCGAGCTCGCAGACTATATCATCTATGTCATCGATGTGGCGGTAAGTAGTCGCCCATGGTCAGCCCTTCGGAGTTCAAAGCCGCTGATTCCGAGTGATTAGGGTGGAGATAAAATTCCGCGAAAGGGTGGTCCAGGCATTTCGCAATCAGACCTGCTGGTCATCAACAAGGTATTGGCCTTGTGGTATTACAGAACACTGGATGCTCATGACGAAATGATAGATCGATTTGGCACCCCATGTTGGTGCCTCGCTCGAGGTGATGGATCGAGATGCGAAATTGATGAGGGGAGACGGTCCCACCATCTTCACTAGGTAAGCGTGCGCTCGGTGCTGAGTGCGCACCAATCCGGCCATCCTCACATTCGTTCTTCAGTGTAAAACAAGGACAAGGGGTGTCAGATGTCGTTGAGCTCATCCTCGCAGCATGGCGCACGGCTGGTTCGCCTGGCACTCCCGGCCCAGTGACCGATGTATAAGCAACATGAACTGCGATGAAAGCAGGCAACTGGTTCAAGAATCAGATTATTTGCCTGATGTCGCGCCTGAAGTGCATATATTCAGGCAAGAAAGAAACATGTATGTATAATAAAGACAGTGAGGGTCCATGATTTACAAAGTTAATGCCGGGACATGCTGAACTGGACATGTCCCGGACAACAACAGCCGATGTACCCGTACATATCGGATTCCGCCAGAAAACTAAACTGAAAATCGTCCGTACGCAACAGCCGCCGTCTATCATTTGGCATCCGCGCGCCGCGCTTTTCTCAGCCGCCTTCGCTGAGATTGCTGCCTGTTGCACGCCGATGATGCGTCTGATTGACTCGCCGTGGCCCGCGACGAGATCGACTCATCAAGGAGGCTTCGCGCCGCCCAAGATAGCCGTTTGTGGAGCAAGATCCATTCTTGCGAGCGGCGCGCTGGCTCAGTGTTTGACTGAAGGCCAGACTGATCCACAGGACAGTCATGTAACGGTGGGGGGATAGGGACAGTTGTAAAGGAGTGTATGGTTGGTGAACCAAGGCATGAGTTTGAATCGCTGTTTTCGACGCAGCCAGAGTGACCAGGGCTAGTCTCTATAGATCTCATGCCTGACGAGACGGAGGCGGTCACACAACATGTCAGAAATTGAAAGGTCATAAGCTTGTCATGAGGACCTACCAGGGCTACCTTCCAGATCGCCTTCCATGCGCTGGACGACGGTCAGCCAGTCCTCCATTTCCTTCTTAAGGCTGGTCTCGACGTCTCCCCTAGCGTTCTCCTTGCGCCGCAACGTACGCGTGGTACGCGAGCGGGCATGCCTATGGACTGGCGCACGGATCTCGAAACTGCGATGCGCAGCGAACGGGTCATCTGGTATGCGCCAGTCGGAGCCTGCGGCGTCCTCGTTGAGCGATCTGCCGTCGTTGCGGAACACTCTGGACAGATGAAGGAGATGCATTGGTGATGCGTTCAGGCCGGGTGCGCTGGGACGTGCAGATGGGCTAGCCGCTGTATCATGGAATGGCGACGCGGACGGATCGTAAGTAGGGGGTGGAGTGGGTGGACCCTCGCGCCAGCGGAATGCCGGAGAAGAAGTACTGAGATAGACCGAGCACACCGCGATGCGTTCGTTAATAACGGTCTCCTTCCCACCTTCCTCAAACGGAGATTATGCGCTTCGCACAAGCACGGCGACGCGGGAACGATCGGAACGCGCCACCGCCCAACCTGTGAGTGTATTGCGCCGGGGGCTGGGGAAGATATACACGGCCCAGAAGGTTCCAAGAGCGGAGATGCTTAGACACGAGGGGTATTTGGAAGTCATATTACGACTGTTACGCAACGGACTGCTCTCCGGATGAGCTGTGCCGCGATTCTTCGCAATCAAGGCCGTCAATCGCTTGTAAGCCCCCAACATAAAATGCGCATGAAAGGATCAGTGTATACGAAATGAGCCATCCAGGAATGGACTAACATCGATATTTCCGGCAGTGGCGGTCGGCGAGCATCAGATCGTATTAAAAACAGACGAAGTCCCATGTTACGGTAGCAAGAGCGGGCGGCCTCGTGTACGAAGACTTCGCATCTACCCAAGACTTGCGGAAACCTTCGTCGCTATAGTTCTTCCTTACACCTGTTGTTTCGTGAGCAACCGGATCAGAGTTGGTTGGCCTTTTGATCACGCACAATCTTCACACTCCCCACACCATAAATCGGCATTGTCAGGGTCGATCGTGAATTTTCCCGTGTCTTGGCAACATATAGTCAGGTTGACTGCGGTCAAGTTCCGCAGGGGAGCTAAGAAAAGACCGTATAATTTCTGTGAAAGCAGAGACATCGCTCAGTCGTGCGCATCTTCCGCGTTGCGAGTTACAAGTACCGGCAATCCAGTTCCGCCTGTATATGTCAGAGACGAGGGTATCCCCAAGAATGTCGGCTCGTTTTCAAGGTTGCATAGTGAGCACCATATGTCAAACTGCAGTACGCCGAGGACGCGCAACGATGGAACTTTCGAGGCTATGTCCTTGAATAAGCTCGGATGGGCTGAAAATACCAGTAATTCCAGTTCACGGACAGAATGGGGGATGTTGACAAGCGGTAGCACCAGCGAGGTTTCTCGGTCGTGAATTATGACTGTGTTGAGAAAGCCTGATTGAAAAGCACGGAGATCGGTGGATTTGACCGGGAATGGCTCTCCATGATCAGCTTCGTGGCGGAATCCAATCTCAAGTTGCCTAAAAGGCTGGTGTCAATCGCGCTCGACTTCGGGTCGCCAAGTTGAAAAAAAAAAGCTGACTTGACCCAGTTTACGAGTTCGGGGAATGGACTTTCCGTCACGACTCGCGAAAGCTCATTGCCGTCTTCGATGTAAAGTCTATAGAACCAGGCCTGCAGGGCGATTGCTCGGATGCTTTTGGACGCTAGCGTGGCACCCCCGATAACTGCCCAACTGGGCTTACGACGAGGCCTCCACCAGGACGTGTACAACTGTCCTGGTCGATGGCCTTGCGGGTCAATTGTAATGAAAAGGATTTCTCTGATCAGTTCGACAGGGAGCCGCCAGAGATGAGACATTTGTAGACGGGGTAGCAGAAAGCAGTGGGCGACAGCAGACTCGTGGCGCGTGCGACTGTCTCCCTTGGTCGTGAGACCTACAGAGGTCCATTGCTGATATACACAATACGATACAACAAGAAGTCACGCGTAGGCAGAGACACATATAACAGGTATCATATCTCTGAAGGATGGGGTACAATCATGCGCCTTATAGAGGGGTATAGACCAGTAATCTTGGTAGGGGATATGGGGCGATAGTCTACCTCCTGCGGGAAAAAAAAATCCTGGTCAGAAGTCACGGATGGGACTGGAGAACATGGCGTACTGTACCTGTCCTTCGGCAAGTCCTACCTGCACAGTAACTTGCGAGTCGTCTTCCGTGCGGCCTACAGGGGCGGAAACGAGCACGCCATCTTCGGTGGTGTCTACGCCCCCCACAAAGGATGAGCTTGTCGATTTCCGGCGGTTGCGAGCGAACCACGAGAAGCGATTGAGGGCGGTCAGCCGGCTGACTTCCCGCCTGATGAGTTGGCTGGCGGCTGGCGGTAGGGTAGTTGAGCGGCGGTGGTGACGGGCAGCGTCGATGAAGGTCGGCGAGGACGGCTCGGTCCCGGAGCTATGTGAGAGCTGAGCAAAGGTATCTTCGGATTGTCCCTGAAGTTCACGGGGATCGAAGTCATCCAATGTCGTTTCCGGAGGCAAAGGAGGATCCAGAAGGGCCGTCACTGCGGCAGCGAGAGATCAGGATCTGATTTCCCGGTAGGTTGGTGTACGTACCTTCTCCGTCGGAAGCGTTCTCGATAAACTCCATCGCCTGCAGCCAGTCCTTGAGCTCCACTCTCAATCTCATGTCCTCTTCCGACAACGTCTCCTCTTTCGTCGCCGGGACCGACTCGGCTTGAAGGAGCATCGACCTGCCATCCAGGGATAGCAGACATATGGAGTGCGACACGTTGCGAGTGTGGTACATAAAGCTCTGCGCCTCTTGAGGTTCGGCTGTCGCGGAAACAGGGTGGGAGAAGCGCCAACTGGTCTCGACCTGGTCCCCGCGTCCACTGCCTGGCCTGAACACCCTGAGTAAACTGAGCAGCTGCATGGTGGCGATCGCGAGTAAGGCCCCGGAGTAAAGATGGGATGCTGGGGGCGTACGCCCGATGCTGAGTGTGTATGTTTCCGGAATATTAACCTCTGACAACACGAGGCAATGTTCGGACAGCGTGCAGGAGGGTGGTGCCCGAGGCGTCCGTGCGGAGAACACGAGGACGGCGCGCGAACGTGAGGCCGTTGGGCCAGGCGGAAGTCGAGCGGCGGTCGCAGCAACGACGGTCTTCGACAATATATGGCGCAGTCCTGAGATGCGTGGGTGTAGATTCAATAAACACAACGACGTTGCCGTGGAGGTAATGTGTGAACCTTAAGCTGGTCTTGGAAGATGTCGACGCGATTGCATAGCAACGTGCCTTAGCACGGAACGTCGTCCATGACATACATTCCGGACCGCCGCCTCTACTGCGAGAACGTCGCAGGTCCGATGGTGCCACAGGGCGCTGCAAACGGTTCAATGCAAAGGAATGCGACGCGTTGAAGGGTTCCGGTTAGCAAGGACCGGCGGTTGCGCGGCGCAGTGCATACGCTCTCGGGCATTGCCGAGCCAGTGAGTTGCTCCTGCCTGGATGTGATGTGTACGTAAAAGACCAATCCTATATGAATGCATCCCATGTTCTGACAGAACTAGAAGCGCAATCTGGCGCTCGGACATGGAAGCAACGCGACAACGTATGGATCGGCAGTTCTGCGCGACGAACGGTACCTCATCCTCACACCCCGAACGACATGTTCCGCGACTTGTTGTTGGTCGCTGACAGGAATAAATCTCCGAAGCCCTCGTAGATGCTGCACATAACGGCATCTCTCTTTTTCATTCTCGTGCGGCATTGAATCGACCGTGGTTTGGGCGGAGGTCCTGTCAAGGCACCTTTGACCTCAGCAGTGGTGTATTTAGATCTTCCATCGTCCGGTCAGACACCGTTTCCGTTGCATCAGGCTGTCTTCCTTCGCTTGCCCGACCTCCCCATTGAGCATCCCTATAGTGGCTGGTCAATGTGCAGTTTTTTGGCAGTTAGCAATCCCCCAGGGACCACCATGGCCACACACGTTAGTCTTCGACGCGCGTTTACGTCCGTCAACGGCTTCAGCGGCCAAAACGCCACACGCCGCCTGTGGTAGCTTTTACGTTTCAGAAAGATGCCTGAGGGAGACATCGTTGTTAACGTGAAATCCCGATGGCGAAGGCTGATGGAACGGTTCGCGAAAGGAGTTTTGGGCGTGAAAACACCGGGATCCATCCTCTTAGTCTGAGATGAAGCAGGGTTTCCAGAGACTGCGCAATGACCAAAATGACCAAATAGCTTAGCTCGGGAACGAACCGGGAGGAGCTCGAGCATACGAGAACTGCATAGCCTCGGCCGCCTGCGCCAGATGGCGCCACGCGGGGGATCCCGACGTGATGACGTCGATAGCATTGGTAGCCTTATAACTGCGCGACCAGATGGCGATGGATTCACACCAAATCGCATATCTCTACACGCCAACATGTCTTACAGCGTTCACGTATGTTCGCCCAACTAGTACCTGACTCCCCGATGTTGACCAACTTCCTTCCAGGTATCCAACATCGCCCCCGAGACCACGGAGAAGAGCCTCCAGGACTTCTTCACGTACGTGGTGCCTTTGATGATCGTGTGCTCCATAGACTCACCCCGATCTTTCTTCAGGTTCTGTGGCAAGTGAGTTGGAATCTACTTGGCGATGCTTCGGACAAACGTACTCATCGTCATCACAGGATCAGCTCCATCGATTTCAATGGCAGCGCAACCCCAAAGACAGCGGTCATCCACTTCGAGAAACCTTCCGCCGTAAAAACAGCGCTTATGGTACGTTGACCCGATCTCAGCGGGCGTCCGTCCGAAGTTTTCATTCAGTCCTCTGTAGCTCAACGGTGGCACTTTGGATGGCTCGCATTTGACTGTCACCTCTGACACCGAACATCCGGAGACCACGGAGGAGGCCGATCATGCGCACGATCATCCTCACATTGATCAGACAGACAAGCCGAAGTCAGCAAGTCAGTATTCTGTCCCCTCAATAACCATACCTTTTACTGACGCGGTTTAGTTGTCGCGGAATACCTCGCCAAGGGTTATACCCTCTCCGATTCCATCCTCCAGCGGGCTATCGAGACAGATCGTACGTTTGTTCTCATACAAGGCTTTGAAACCTGTGCTCATCTCGGTGCAGAGAAGAATGGTATCTCTTCAAGGTTCCTCTCGTATATCAAGCACATCGACTCGACGCTCGGTGCCAAGGCCCTAGGCCCTGACCAGACCATCTCTGGCAAGGTTTCCACGCATGTCAACGCCGGTGTACAACAGGCGAAGGCATTCGACGAGCAGAAGGGCATCACAGCGAAAGCATCTGACGTGAGTACCGTTCTCTCTTCAGCGCGCAAGCGTTATACCAGTCTGCGGGCTACAGCTTTTTGTCAATTCGCGGGCATTTGATTCGAACGCTGATTCAGATCTGGAGACAGTACTACAGTAAAGCCTTCTCGTCGCCTTACGGCCAGAAAGTGCGGGAGTTCTATACAACCACCAGCAAGCAAGTGCTCGACATCCATGAGGAGGCGCTCCGCATCAAGGCTCAACACGCCGCAACTGCTGAGCCCGGCCCCGTCGTTCCCACTTCTACTGGCGTTCCTCCCGTAGAGGCACCCGCGGCATCTGCCCCGGCGCCAACGACGGCGGCGCCAACGACTAATGCACCGACTGTTGTCTGATCTGCCCAAGCCACCACGGTACCCGGAAATGGATATGATATCTGTTCTATGTTATATTCTGTATCATTCACCAATGTATACCAATGAAATGTAACCTAGCTACTCGGAATGCCTACTGCTTTATATTCAGATATATTGTTCGTGCGCCTAAAAGTATCGTCGGTGCGTTCGCGCCGTCCCATTCCGCCAGCTGAGCTGGTCACAGCCACCCCAGGTTATGGTCTCACCTCCACCAGGATGTCGCTAGTCGCTTTACTCCCCTCGACAGGCTATCTCCTGGCATATACCCTTCCCCTATTAATTATATCTGTAATATCGACATTTGCAGGCCCATTCCTCACGTTTGATCGGACACGAGCGTTTCGCCCTCGGCCCGATGCGGGATACACGGAAGATATGCCTGGGTCCTTCGGGTACAGCAGCAAGCATAAGAGGTTCAGGTTGAAGCTGGAAGGGGGGATTGGAGGGCTCATGGTCGGATACCTGTTTGGCTGTATGTCAAGCGAAATTCCCGACGGCAATAGTTACTGATTTGCTCTCGTAGTGCACGCAGCGACGTTCCTTGCGCTTCTCATACCGGCGACAAGCTCATCTGCGTCTCTATCCCACAAATCATTCGTCGCCGTATGGCTTCTGTCCGTGATCCCTACCACCTTCATTGCGGGCCGTTGGCGAATAGCTGCCATCCTATTCGGTGCTATCTCTGGGGGGTACGTGATAAGATGTCTGGAGGCGGCAGGATAAGCATTGACCACTCTTACTTTAGCGCGACGTTTGCCCTCTCTGTTTGCGTCATTATTCATCCGACCCTGCTCACACGCATCGTCTTCACCTCCGTCGTATTGCCCATTCTCACTGTCTTCTGCTTGCTCCCGATCCCGAAAACTCAGCGCTGCGTTATCCGGGTTGCGTACGCGTCCGTGGGAGCCTTTGGAACCGTACTTTCTGTCGCGCTCCTCGCCAATGTACCCGCTTGGGCGAACGTTTGGGAACGTTTATGGGTCAAGAATGATGTGGAGTGGGGCACGATACATGAGAAGGGGCTGAGTGCCGCCTGGTGCTTCTTGGTAGTGCTTGGCTTCGCCTGCGATTGCGTTTTACACCGCAAGTTCGGCGAGAATCCCGATCAGGTGCGCTGGCATTTAACCGCGTGCATCGCTCATGTTGACGATGGTTTGCAGACTTGGGACAGCTATCTGGCTGGATACGCCGCAAGCTTACCGAACGCGGCCGATCGAGCTGGGACGTTCAAGCCTCTTTCTTCGTACTGGAATAATTTCCTGCACAAAAACAATCCCATGGTCAAGGAGCCGAACGCGGAGGCGGTCGCTATGTACGCCGACACCAAGGCATTGCTCTCGACGCCACAAACTCCTATAAAGCTGTCGAAGCAGAAGTCCATGTCCCAACCGCCGCAGTTTCAAGCCACCCGACCCGGGTTTTTGCGGAAGAAGAGTACTCAGGCAGCGATGGAACGTCTTGTCACCCGCGCCAACGACGGGCGGCGACGCAAGGACCGCGGTGTCAAGTTCGGAGCGGATTACTCCAGTGAAAGCGACGACGACAGCGATCACGACTCTCCGAAAGTCCAGCGCCCGTGGCTGGGCACAAACGTCAGCGCGGTTGACTCTACAGCATCGGTCACGACGCTGGTTGAGGATGACGAGGATCTTTCTGTACCGAAACTGAACGTCGGCAAGGAAAAGGCGCGGATCAAGCGTAACCTTGGCAAGCCCGACGATCCCGCTCCCGAGTATTCCGATTTCGAGGAAGACATCGTTGAAGACAAGAACGCCGATCGAAAATCTCCGGAGTGGGAACCTGAATTTCTACGCAAGCATCGCGCCTCGATCGGCAAAGCACCTGTCCCGCGAGGCTTCACCCCCTCGGCGCCGTCTCATGAACCGACATCCTCCCAAGCCAACTCATCGTCTTCCCAATCCACGTCCACGCCTCTTCGCCCAGTCCCCGCGACACCATCGCTTATCAAGGCTATCGACCGTGTTGCCAAAGCGCAGGAGGCGGCCTACGGGCTTTCTATGTCCGATCATGCGCTGTCGTCTACGAATGTGTCGTCGGAGTTTAGCGGAATCATGATGCCCACCGCGAAACCTGGCACTGTTCGTCCTGGACTGCCCGCGCACAAGAGTTCTGATGCGCCGTTGGAGGCAGGCATGCCACGACCGGCGGCTATCCCTGACTCTGACACGAACAAAGGGCACCGGTGGCAAAATTTCTGGAGGGAGGTGAAGGAGAAAGCTGCGGAGCACTGATGTGGCGCCCGACCGTACGGACTTGCTTTACGACTTTATGACTCACGAGTTGACACGATGTACGCGATTTCATGATGCTATTTATCTCACCTATTATTCTTGCCTTCCATTGTGACACTAGTGTTCTCCATAGTGCCAACATTTGTACGCTGAACGAATTCTATATCGATATGTTTCACTATCATGACGCATGGAGCACATGAAGCACGACTTTTTGGGCGTTACACTGAATTACAGCCTCGGTCGACTTCTGTTGTGTCAAACTGGTCTTCGACAGATTAATCCCCCCAGCTTCCAAACGCTATAGGTAGTCGCGTCGCGTCGCGCGCGAACATCCGACGTTCTCCTTTACACCCATCTCAACGTACGTGCATTATGCATAGTCTTCCTCGACGGCTGCTAGAACCGGAAGTGTCCAGTACCTCGTTCAACCTCATTTAACTACCCCTTGGTCTATCAGCCTCCGCTCCGTATGGGATATACACCCTAACCCATAACCCTTGGACCCACTCCGAGATCATTGTTACTCCCGACCATGATACCCAGGGTCAAGGGTCCTCTTAAGTGGCATCACTCCGCACATTCTCTACCATCGTTCTCCATATGACCAATTGATCCGATGGGCAAACCCCATATAATATGAGCACTAAACAGGGGGAACATTTGTCCAGTGCGTTATATCTGGTCCTCCCCGGAGCATCCATGTCGTCCAGAGCGCCGTCAGAGCAGACTCCCCTGCTCTCAGAGGTAGCCAGCTCTGCTGCTACCTCACTTGAGGATGCCGATGGTCCCCCGGCGACTACACCGTTGCCGAAAGGCCAAGTCGCTTTGCTCACATTCACGAGACTGGCCGACCCCCTGGCGTTTGCTATTCTATTTCCATTCATCAATTCCATGGTATTGAGGACGGGACAAATAGCGGTGGAGGAAGTCGGATATTATGTGGGCGCGATCGAGAGTCTCTTCGCGTTAGTCCAGATGATCTTCCGTGAGCGTCACTTTGATTTCATCTGGCTGCATGCTAACGATGAGATAGTCATGCCATGGGGCTGGGCGTCAGACAGATATGGTCGCAAGCCCGTTTTATTGGTCTCTTTACTCGGCACAGTTCTGTCCACAATTCTGTTTGGCTTTTCGACGCACCTATGGCAGATGTTCGCTGCACGAGCAATCAGCGGTCTCTTCGGTGGGAATGCCGTGGTAGTCCGGACTGTAAGCTCCGTGAATGATCATTTACGACACCTAACACTCACCCTCGATTGCTACTAGCTTTTCGCCGAAATGTCTGATAGTACAAACCAAGCGCGCGCCTTCGGTTTCTTCGCATTCGCTTCGAACATTGGTCTCATGCTCGGTAAGATTACCAGCAGTGCCGTGCAACTGTCCGCTCACTCGTGTTCGGTTACAGGCCCTCTGATCGGGGGTACATTTGCTGAACCGGAGACACAGTTTCCTCGTACATTCGGCCGGATTCCTCTCCTACGGAAGTATCCATACGCGCTGCCCTGCATTATCACCGGTGCATATGCGTTGCTCGCTTTCGCACTCAATGTAATCTTCCTTCGCGAGCCTGGACGTCGAGAGAACGAGGGTGTGCCGAAGGAGCAGCGCAAACCCTCGGTCCGCGCCGTGCTCACCCCGCCTGTGTTGAAGGCCCTCCTCGTCTTCAGTGCAACCACGATCCTTGGAATAGCGTATAGTGAGTTTTCCCTCTCGTTTGTTTCCGTCCCGCTGACCGTCAATGATCGTACAAAGTGGCGCTTTTGCCTCTTTGGCTTTTCACACCCGTCGACCTAGGCGGGCTGTCCTTCTCACCATCAGGGATCTCTGTCATTTTTGCCTCTATCGGCTTTTCACAGTCGGTCTGGTTGCTTGTTGTGATGCCGCCGCTGGAGAGGTCCCTCGGCACTTATCGTCTTCTCCGATCGTGCTTTACGGTACGTATCCCTATGCATGATACGTAGAGCCAGCAGCTTACGGCCTTGATATCAGTACTGGCCATTAGGCTTCCTCATGCCCATACTTGCCAATCAATTCGCGAAAAGGAATAACTCGGCCGGTGTATACCTCATTACCAGCGTTATGTCCACACTCGGCGTTGGGACCGCGATGGCATTTAGTAAGTGCCCGTGCTGAATCCATCTCGTAATCGCTCACTGATGTACGATACTCTCAGCATGCCTGCAGCTGATCATTAACAACGTTTCGCCGCGAGCTCACTTGGGCACGATCAACGGCATCGCTTTGACCGTCAATAGTGCCTGGCGCACTGTAGGACCCACAGCTATCACATCCACGTTTGCTTTTAGTGTGGAACATAACGTCCTTGGCCGGTAAGCCCAACAACGTCACTACTGATCGGCACGGCGGCGCTAATCCGTAGTGCCTCAGGTACTTGGCTTGGACGATCCTCGCTATCTGGGCGGTCGTGGTGTATTTTTTGAGTGCCCTTGCGCCTAAACAGGATGTACGCATGGCGGACGTCGTCGCACCCCCCACCACAGACGAAGAAGCGGCGGGTACTACGGGAACAGTCACAACCCAAGATGACCAACAGTAACGTGGAATCTCATGACGTACATACAAAAAATCGTCTACACTTACATACAAAACATCGTTCGACTGCATAACATATCCGTATATATTATCTATGTTGAAGGAGCGTGAGGCTGCAGCAGGTGTTCCCGCTCACCACTCTTCGCTCCGACCCAGCCCTCCACGATCTCTCGAGGGACCATTGGCAAATTTTCCCTTGGCTTTGCTCTTCCTCCCGCCAAGCTCCTTGTACATTTCCCGCATCTCGACCTTGCTCGGCCGTGACTCGTCCTCTTGTTGCCATCGTTCTTGGTTACGTTCACTGGGTGTTTGATAGCCAGAGCGCGCTCCAGAGCCAGATGGGGTGTAGTAGCCAGGTGTTGGGGGTTCACGAGTGGAAGTTGTCTTTATGTACGTTGTGCGCTAGAGGGGGCATATAAGGACGCGCGATTGTGGCAAGGACACTGCAACCTACCCAGTTCTGCTTAGATTCCCGCTTCGTCCACTTACCCGGGGGTAAGCTTTCGTCATGGAAGTTTTCCTTGCGATAATGCTGAAACCACACTGTAGTATATCCCGCTTAGCAGCGGTGGTGCATATGATGGCGATGACGCTTACCGTAGTTAAGCGTCTGGCTCTTGTTCCAACGCTTGCAAACCCTGGAGCAACGTGCGAGGTCACCTATGTTTAGGCGACCAAATATGCGCTGAGATATCTCAGTCGGAAAAGCGCGGAGGGGGTCGCTTGAACGCGGGGCCAGTCGCGGTGATGTAGGGAGCTGGGAAGCTCTTGTGGGTGATTGTGCCCTAGACGGAGCTCGAGAACCTGTCCTGGGTGTTCCAGGTGCAGTTTGCTGCAGTTTTAACGTAGTTAGTGGATGATCGACAAGCGCATGGGGAGTATCGCTTACTACGTTGACCCATTCATCGTCGTCAGAATCATGTGCGCGGTCTTCGACGTTGGATCGAAGGACGCCCTGCAGGAGACTCATGTTGTGGTGGTAAGGAGGTTGCAAAATAATTGAATTTAATCCTCGGTGAAGTATATATGAGCGGCAGGGAAAGAGTCAGGTAGTTCACAGTTGAGGAGTCAGAGTGGATCTCTCCGGGCCTGCCAGGCGCTACGAGATCCGGTGATGTCATCAGAGCTTATAAGTAGGCGTGAGAATGCGCACGTGGTAAACCCCTAAACTCAGCGCGAAACGCGACGCGACGACCAGGATTTTAGCTGCGCGTTTTCAAGGTCCCATATCGCGACCGACCATGTCTCTCCAACTATTGACACCGGATCAGTTTGAAGCGTTTCCATACCAGCCACCGTATCCGAATCAGCAAGAGCTAATGAAGCATCTCTACTCAGTGCTTGAACACCGGCGACACACGATTGTCGAGAGCCGTACGTCGACTGTGTACTTCGCTCTCAACTGTACTAACTCATGGGGCTACCTAGCAACGGGTACCGTGAGTATTTTCATGCACCAGGATGATCCACGAAGTAACGAACACCGTCAGGGGAAAACACTCGTTCTTCTATGCGCCACGTTATCTTGGCTCCTGGACGATCGCGATCGGGCGCGTCAAGGGCAGCTTGAATCTCTCAAAATTTGCAACAGCCAAGGTAATACCTCCGGAACACTTCCTTCAAACGCTAAACAGTGATTGTGTAGACCCGGACTGGATCGTGGAGCAAACAATCGAGAGACGCCGAAAAGAGCTCGAAGCCGATGACGAAGCATACGAGGCTCGTCTCGCCGAGCTGCGCCAGAATGAGGCTGCTCGTACATCTGCCTTGAACAGTCTACGTGCCCGGAAGCGGCTTGTAAGTCGGTGGTAGTCGTTCACCTTGCTACTGCCATTGACCAACCAGTAGAAAGCATCCGAGTCTTCTGATAACGTTGTGGACGTTGATGAACAGGACTTCTTGCCAGAAGACGACGAGGAGTCCTCACCCGACGGTCTGAATATCAGTCCCGCCGTGAGAGCGTTGATGAACAAGTGAGCAAGGGCCGCACGACCCGGACTTCATCGACTGATGCTGCAACGAAAGACTTTCCGGTGGAACAGCTTCAGCGATTCCAGAAGCTCCACCGACGTGCACGAAGGTCTACTACGCATCTCGGACTCATTCCCAGCTTTCCCAGATCATCCCTGAACTACGCAAACTCAAGCTTCGACCGGCTTCGAATCAGCGAAACGATCGTCCAAGATCTCATCACCCAATATCTACCACCGACGCTACAAGCAAAAGAAAGTCGAGCGAAGACGAACCCGAAAACGAGGAGCTTGTCACTCACGTCAGATCACTATCCTTGGGATCCAGAAAACAGCTATGTATATATGACGAACTGCGTTCCAAAACAACAGACATAGATGAAGCTTGTCGAACCTTGTTGTCCGGTAATACGAGTTGTGCTGCGGTAGACCTTGGCTGATGCAGACATATAGAGAAAGGAGATAAGCGTTGTCCGTACCTGCCGGCTATAGACGACAATACACGTATACCCAAGCTGCGGGACATTATACTGGTACAGACAGCATTTCGGTTGCCCTGGGAGAGTGTCGCTTACGGTTTGTGATATCACCATAGTCATCGCCCATGGACATCGAAGATCTAGCAAACGCCGGACGAAGACATGAAACATGCCCATATTTTGGCTCACGTTCGGCCATTCCTCAGTCGCAGGTAACCGCTTTCGCAGAAGACTCGATGCGAAGGAACTCACCATTCAGTTGGTTCTGCTTCCCTACAACCTCCTGCTTCACCGATCGGCACGCGAAGCCCTTGGAATCGACCTGAAAGACCAAGTTGTTGTCATTGACGAGGCCCACAGTGAGCATCTTGATATGTCGCCACGTGCCCTGACGGACAGCTAATGATCATCAGATCTTATTCCGACGCTATTGTCGCTCTCATCTGTACAAGTGGCTGAGCATACGATCCGTTTGTCTCTGAGCCAGCTTGCTGCATATGTCTCTCGCTTTCGCTCTCGATTAGCCTCAAAGCACCTTGTCTGCCTAAAGCGTCTTGTCTCATTCCTCAAAGCGATGTATGGGGTGGTCAACGAATTTGCTACCACAGGAGCGAAGGAGCCGCAGGGCCCTCTTTCTAAACCAGAGGTCATGACGGTTCATGAATTCGTTTCACGATTAGGGCGGAAAGTTGATGGTCGGTGTCGCGATGAATGACAATTCCAGTGGCTCATTAGCTCTGGTAGGAATCAATCTCCTAGAAGTGGAAGAATATCTTCGAAGGAGCAAGGTACACTGCAGCCTGATACATGGAATTCACATCCTAACGGAAGCCCCCTCCCCCAGATCGCTAGGAAGATCAGCAGTTACTCTGATGCCGTTGTGGAGAAGCAAGGACGTCAGTCGCCCTCGTTTTTCACTCCCATGGATTTGCTGAATCCCCGTCGATATGAACAGCGAAGCGATCAAACGCGGGTGCTCCCACCCCGTTACATGTGGTAGAGTCACTGATAGTCGCTTTAACGTCTCCTAACGAAGGTAAAGTCCTTCAATCTGTTGTTAGAATGCAGCTCACAGCGCCTGCTCGAAGACGGCCGCGTTTCGTTGTCGAGGGTCCACGAAGCGGGACACGATACGGTGGTGGTTCGCTACCAACAACTCAACCCTTCCACGCATTTTAAAGAAGTCGTTGATACTGCTCGCACCGTGATCTTAGCGGGAGGCACCATGTCTCCGGTACGAAAGATATCCTATTCGATCTGCTTCAGCATAATGATCAATCCTTCCTTACTTAGATGTCGGACTACGTAACGCAGCTGTTCCCCCAGATTAAATCCGATAATTTGATGCTTCGAACGTACGGCCATATTGTACCGGCGTCAGTGAGTCGCGATTCGAACTCACCATGGAGATCCGTACTGATAAGTCCTAGAACATCCAGACAGTGGTCGTGAGCAAGGGTCCTCGCGGAAATGACTTTGAATTCAAGTTCGCGAGCCGGCGCGACCCCTTGGCTGTGAGATGAACATCATTCTATGCTCGTCCTTTTCTCAGTCGTCAGCGCGTGTCCAGATCGCTGAGCTAGGCCAAGCACTTTCGAATCTCATTAACATTACTCCTGGCGGAATGGTGATTTTCTTCCCGTCATATGCCTTTCTGGACTCTGCCAAAGCAAGCTGGCGTGAAAGCGGTTTGTTGGCAAAGTGGACGACGAAGAAGAAGGTGCAGACCGACGTGTTTTCTCAAGTGTGCAATCACTGAAGTAGCCTTATAGGTGCACTACGAGCCGCAGTCTGCGTCTGAGGTTGAGACTGTCCTGCGCGACTATGCTTCCGATATTTCTCGCATTGTAGGTGTTGTCCCACCCAAACCGAGAATGAGCCTCACACTCAGAAAGGATCCGTCGACATCGAAGAAACAGGGAGCTATACTGCTCGCTGTGGTCGGCGCTAAGCTCAGTGAAGGGTACGTCATCAATATGCAGCACACGACTTGCTATAGTTACACCACCATGCAGACTCAATTTTGCTGATGATCTCGCGCGATGCGTTGTGATTGTTGGATTGCCCTTCGCCAACCTCGACTCGCCGGAGCTGAAAGAGCGCATGAAGTACGTCAACTCACTAGAGACCGCCAATGGAGGGAAAGCCTCTGGAGCCAAAGATGCGGCCCATGAGTTGTATGAAAACATGTGCATGAACGCAGTGAACCAGAGCATTGGTGCGGTAGTCACTCTCATCGAAGCGAAGTCGGGCTGACTTCCTCATTCTTGCTGACCGCAGGTCGGGCAATCCGCCATCGGGCTGACTGGGCCTCCATCGTCCTTCTAGACAGGAGATACAGCTCGCCCAGGATTCGAAGCAAGCTTCCCAAGTGGCTCGGAGACAGCACTGTCGTCCCGCAAACGTTCGGCCAGGTCATCAAGGAGATGTCGTTGTTCTACCGAAACAAGCGTAACGATTGAAGTTGAGAGGAAGAGTGATCCTTCCTTTCGTAGTTGACACATTTCCTAGTCGAAAAGAGTTCCTACATATGATCATTTCCACGCAAGCGCAACTACATATACGTGACGGAATAATGTACAGAGTGAACATAACATACATGTGAAACGCAGCGACGAATAAACCTATTGATAGCTGGCCCGGGAAGTGGATGAAATGAAACGATTTCACGAAATGCTCCCAGCTCCGCTGTCTTTGTACCATTTCCGTAGCCATTGCTCTGCAGTTGCATACTCCTCCCGAACCCTCACTAATAGAGGCTGGATGAACTTCAGCGCTGTTTCGGGAGAGATAACCGCCTGAGTCTCATCATCCCTCAACTGCCCATAGTGCTGTATCTTTGCACATGTCGCACTGACACGCGCTACCCCAAGCGCTGCGGAAGATCCTTTCAGGAAGTGTCCCAGCGACGACAGCCGCTTTAGGTCTTTCTTCGCGCTGAGCAACCATATGAGCCGCAATGATGGATCACGAATGGCATACAACGGACAAAGCTTGGTCCATATCGCCGAATGTCAGGGCGGCCTGGGTGAAGAACGCCGAGACCATCCCTTTGGAAAACTCATGATCATCCTCATCGTCCAGTTCAAGGACTTGCTGGAATACTTCGAGGTCGACAGGGCCTGCCACAGGCACTGGCTTGAGACGCGATGCAGGTAGCAGATGCGTATATATGAACAGCTCGTATCAGGAACGTATGATCATATCGTGCATACCTGACTCGGCACCCTATGGACACTCCTTACGGAGGCGGTGCTCGCGGTCCGCGAGGGTGGGGCAGGTCGCACATTGCTCGCCTTGCTGGCTGAGGGCACAGCCTTCTCTGCAGCAGGAGCGACGGAGCGGCCTGGCATCAGCGCTGCGTTCGGGCAGATTATAGCGATCCGCGGGCGACCCGCGAGTTTAAGTATCATATCGGGAATCGCGGACCGCGCGTGACGTGCTCTCTGTCCTAGAATAGCAAAAGTTCGAACTTCGGAGAAAACAAGGGGGCGATCTAGACCATACATAGCCTTTAGGCGCGCGACCAAGATGATGAGGGGATACCCACACACACCTCGGGAGAAGTCGACGAGCGTGGGCGCAGAGCTGCATTGGCTGTTTGCACTCACGCTCTCACCGACGTTCACCCCCGCCATCTCGGCAAGCTTTCAAGATCGAATACGGCACGGGCTTAAGGTGTAAACGCCGTTGTTACATCCCACATGGTCACTTGTCTGAACCGTTTGCCGGACCCGCAGGGTGCCTGGCTTAATTACACGATCTTGTCTGCCCGGAACTGTGTGATATCATCAGGTGTGTATCCCAGCTCAGTGAGAACCTGCATCAGACGGGCGCGATCACTTAGTCGGAGTTTGGTGGTGGCATGGGTAACACGTTCTCACCTCTTCAGTGTGCTCGGAGAGCCAAGGAGGCGGTCTGCGCACGTCCATGCGTTTCCCGTTGTACATGACAGGAGGAGCAACCAATTTAATCTTGCCTGTAGTAGGTAATTGACGCGATTAGCGAAGATGGTGGTATCACGGCGCGGTAAGCTTACCGGCTCGAGGATGCTATCGATAGTCACGATGAAGGTCAGCTCGCGTTCGACTGCAGACAGAAATCGAATACCTCGACCTCCACAACGATGTCGCGAGCTTTAGCCTGTGGATGAGCGAAGGTTTCGGCGATGTCATTGATGGGTCCAAATGGGACACCCCCTCCCTCGAAGCGCTTGAGCCAGTAATCACTGCGCATGAAAGATGTTCAGACGAGCTATAGCTTGGAATTGGGGTATCTCTCACCGGTCGTGTTCCATGAGCGCTTCTGTAACGGCCTGAATGACTTCGGCGCGATGATCCACTCGTTTCGCGTTTGTGGTAAACCGAGGATCCGAAGCTAGGTCGGGTCGACCGATCATATTGGCAAGCAGGGCGAACTGGAAGGTTATTAGCGCGTGGTATAAGTATTGGACACCTGAGACAAGGCTCGACTGGCCTGTTTGTCGTTGGCAGCGCCAATCATGATGAAGCCATCTTTGCAAGGAAGGACTTGGTAAGGTACGATGCTCGGATGGGAAGTGCCGTTCCTTTTATGCACGAGCCCGCCGATGAGATAATTGGAAGCGATGTTCACCAACCCGGCTATCTACGGAGCAACGTCAGGAAAAGTCCAGTCCTCCAGGTACAGTGCGTCAGCTTACCTGCGACTCGAAAAGATTGCAATCTATGTGGACTCCTTGGCCAGTCTGTTGACGAGATATGAGGGCGGCCATGATGGCGCCGTGCGCGTAAAGACCAGTGGCGATATCGGTTGCCGCGACACCGACTTTGCATGGAGGACCATCGGGCTCTCCTGTGCTACAGGTGCGTAGGCAAGGGAATGCCGGTCATCATGCACGACAGGAAACATACATGTGCATCAACCCGGCTTCGGCCTCAATGATAACGTCGTATCCAGGGGCTAACTACTCAGCATGCCTCACTCACACTCGAACGAGCGTATTTACCGGTCGCATACGGTCCGGTCTGCCCGTAGCCTGTTGAAGATTCATTATCTAGTCATATCAACCGAAGGCTTTGAAGTTGGCACACCGGTCACGCTGGCGTAGATCAGCCTAGGATTGATCTTTTTGCACTGGTCCCAGCCAAGACCCATTTTTTTCAGTCGACCAGTGACAAAGTTCTCCACCAAGACGTCTGCGCTTGCGATGAGCTTATGCATGATCTCAAGGCCCTGGGGGGTCTTGAAGTTGCACGTCATGGACCGCTTGTTCCTGTTCACCGACAGGAAGTAGGCAGATTCGGCAGGCAAGTGCGCTGATTCGGGTGGTGCATTCGGGGCTATTGGGGCCGAGGCGGGAACCCAGGAACCTATTGAAGGATGAGAGTAGTGGATGGGGATAGATCGACATACGGACGTGTATCATCTCCCCGGGACACTTCTTCAACCTTGATCACGTCGGCACCGAGGTCTGCTAGGAGCATCGTCGCCGTTGGGGCGGCCAGAACGCGTGTCATGTCGACGATCTTGATTCCTCGTAGGGGTGGAGGCATGGAGCCGTCGCCGGGAGAGTCATCAAACGCTGCCTGGCGCTGGTAGGGCGCGGATTGCAAGCAGCCCCATGCTGACCTGGCCTTTGGACGACCGAGTGTTCGAGGCAGCAAACGCGTTCTAGCGAGCATTCCGATGACCGATATAAGTCCTGGTCAGCCGGGTCAGCACGCGAGCACCATCGTAGACATACTCAGCAACACCGTCCCAACCTTGGCTTCAATCCGACCAATGGGCCAGTTGCTCTAACTCGACCCTCGGACGATTGGACGGAGCCGGGGCCAGAATTTACACCGGCTCAGCCATTCGGCGGTCCGGCGATCGGGTGCTGCCGGTGGTTGCGGACGACGCGCCTTCCCGCATGAACGCCGTCATCATCCTCTCTCTTACTTAACCTCCAGCGTCGTTCACGACCTCCTCGTCGCAGTCGACGCCCACCATGCTTCGTCAATCTCTTCGACGCCTGCCTGGCGCAGCGAAGAGCGCCGAGCACATCGCCCGTGTCGTACCGTCCAGCGTTCGCCACCTGGCGACTCCATCAGCCGAGCCGCCCTCCCCGAACGACCCGTTTGCGAATGGAACGAATACGTACTACGTTGAAGAGATGTACAAGCACTGGAAACAGGATCCGAAGTCCGTTCACGCATCATGGGATGTATATTTTTCCGGCATGGACAAGGGCCTTCCAAGCTACCAGGCTTTCCAGCCTCCTCCGATCATCTCCAATGCCCCTGTGGGCACCCCGAGCCTCCAACCTTTGGGTGGTGCCGAACTAGATGATCATCTGAAGGTAAGCAAGGCGTATCGGCTCTCTGTTTCAGTCTCTAAATTCTCCATCAGGTTCAACTCCTCGTTCGGGCATATCAAGTTCGTGGCCACCATGTCGCAGACCTCGACCCTCTCGGCATTCTCGACGCTGATCTTGCCAACGTCAAACCGCCGGAACTCGAACTTAGCCGGTACGGCTTCACCGACCGCGATCTCGACAAGCAGATCACGCTCGGCCCTGGCATTCTCCCCAACTTCGCGACTGATGACCGCAAGACGATGACCATTCGTGAAATTATCCAAACACTCAAGCGTCTTTACTGTAAGTACCAGCTCAACCCCGCGTCACCCGACCGTCCGACTAATGCCTTCTTAGGCGGTGCTGTGGGTTGGCAGTACATTCACATCCCGGACAAGGAAGAGTGCGATTGGATACGTGAACGCGTGGAAATCCCGAAGCCATGGAATTACACCGTCGACGAGAAGCGCATGATCTTAGACCGTCTCATCTGGTCCGAGTCTTTCGAGAAGTTCGTCGCCAGCAAGTTCCCGAACGAGAAACGTTTCGGACTCGAGGGTTGCGAGGCTCTTTGCCCGGGTATGAAGGCGCTCATTGATCGCTCCGTCGAACACGGCGTAAAGCACATCACCATCGGCATGCCGCATCGTGGTCGTCTCAACGTCCTCGCCAACGTCATTCGGAAACCCATCGAGGCCATCCTCAACGAGTTCACCGGTACCGCCGACCCTGACGACTGGCCAGCTGGTGATGTCAAATACCATCTGGGCGCCAACTACGTGCGGCCAACGCCATCAGGAAAGCAGGTCTCGCTCTCCCTCGTCGCCAATCCGTCGCACTTGGAAGCGGAGGATCCTCTTGTCCTCGGCAAGACCCGCGCGCTGCAGCACTTCGAGAACGACGAGTCCACTCACACAACAGCCATGGGCGTTCTCTTGCACGGTGATGCCGCTTTCGCTGGCCAGGGTATCGTATATGAGACCATGGGCTTCCACAATCTTCCCCACTACGGCACGGGAGGAACAATCCACCTCATCGTCAACAACCAGATCGGGTTCACCACCGATCCTCGCTTTGCCCGCTCGACGCCTTACCCTTCCGATATCGCGAAGAGCATCGACGCCCCCATTTTCCACGTCAACGGTGACAACGTCGAGGCTGTCAACTTCGTCTGCCAGCTCGCCGCGGACTACCGCGCGAAATGGAAGAAGGATGTCGTCGTCGACATCGTGTGCTACCGTCGCTACGGTCACAACGAGACGGATCAACCCTCATTCACCCAGCCCCGGATGTACAAGGCGATTCAAAAGCAGCCGACCCCTCTCACCAAGTACACCAAGTTCCTCATTGAACGAGGCACCTTCACGGAGAAGGATATCGCTGACCACAAGAACTGGGTGTGGGGCATGCTCGAGAACGCTGCCAAAGCGGCTAAGGACTACGTCCCGACCAGCAAGGAGTGGCTATCCACCTCTTGGCAGGGATTCCCGTCACCGAAGCAGCTTGCGGAGGAAGTGCTGCCGCAACGACCCACTGGTACAGACGAGAGCACTCTGAAGCGCGTAGGCTCTGCCTTGGGCTCATTCCCCGAGGGCTTCACTGTCCACAAAAACCTTGCTCGTATCCTCTCCGGCCGTGCCAAGGCTGTCGAGCAAGGCGAGGGTATCGATTGGTCGACCGCTGAGGCGTTGGCCTTCGGTTCGCTTGTTTTGCAAAATGTCCACGTGCGCGTCTCCGGCCAAGATGTCGAACGTGGAACGTTCTCCCAGCGCCATGCCGTTATCCACGACCAGGAGAATGAGCAGCAATATGTCCCCTTGAACAACTTGGGCTCCAACCAGGCTCGCTTCGTCATTTGCAACTCGTCCCTCTCCGAGTACGGGTGCCTCGGCTTCGAGCTCGGGTACTCCCTGGTTAACCCCAGCTCACTGACCATTTGGGAAGCGCAGTTTGGTGACTTCGCCAATAACGCGCAGTGCATCATCGACCAGTTCATCGCCTCTGGAGAACGGAAGTGGCTGCAGCGCACTGGCCTCGTAATGAGCCTGCCGCACGGCTACGACGGCCAAGGTCCCGAGCACTCGAGTGGAAGGATCGAGCGTTTCCTCCAGCTCTGCGACGACCATCCCCATATCTTCCCCTCTCCCGAGAAGCTCGAACGCCAACACCAGGATTGCAACATGCAGGTTGTCTACCCCACGTAAGCCTCTCCGGTTCATCCGTCAAATCACCTGCTGATGCCGTCATGTCCAGAACACCGGCGAACTACGTGAGTATTCCGGAGAGTGCGCGCGTGTTTCGATACTGATATGATTCACCAGTTCCACGTCCTTCGTCGCCAAGTGAATCGCGACTTCCGCAAACCCGTAAGTGCAACCGCGTGTGCGCTGTAGCAAGGAAGTTCACTGCTCCTCTCAGCTCATCGTGTTCTTCTCGAAATCGTTGCTGCGTCACCCGCTCGTCAAATCCAACCTCTCCGAGCTTTCGGGTGAAACGCACTTCGAACGGTACCTCCCAGAGCCCCACCCTGAGGCTTTGGCACCACCAGAGGAAATCCGTCGCCATATCTTGTGCACTGGTATGCTGATCGTATACCGGAATGAATTGTTCGCCGCTCACGCCCTATCTTAGGCCAGGTCTACTATCATTTGCTGAAGGAACGCGATGAACGTGGCATCAAGGACATTGCTATCAGCAGGGTGGAGCAAATTTCGCCGTTCCCTTACGATCTCGTACGTCCTTTGGGTCAAAGGCGGTTAGGCGGTTGCTAATCCATGTTTGGGCAGTTAACTCCCCACCTGGACAAGTACCCGAACGCTGAACTGCTCTGGTGCCAGGTATGTGATTGCATTTTCATTATGAGGCCCCTTGCTGACCTCGCGTGCAGGAGGAACCATTAAACAACGGCGCTTGGACATACGTAGGGCCTCGCATCCAGACCGCAGCGAACGAGACCGAGCACCACAAGGGCAAGTACCCCTCGTACGCCGGACGTCCTCCTACCAGCTCCGTCGCCACCGGTAGCAAGGTTCGTTTGATCTTTTGCAGTATACGATGGCAATGAAATGACTGACGTGCTTTGCCAGGCCCAGCACAAGAAGGAGATCGAGGATTTCACCAATGCGGCGTTGAATTGACCTTTCCGAGGCTTGCATATGGGTTGAAGGGTTCGATGTCGCTGTTTAAACGTACAATACAACACCAGTAACCGAGCTGCGCCGTATGACATTCAAATCTGTGGTATAATGACTTCAACCTCTATGATGTCCTTGCAGAGCTTGTATGTGCACAATAATGTTTGCGGAGTCCCCAGAAACATACAAGGTAGATGGATAGGTACGGATCAGTTCGATTACGCAACGATACTAGGATATGGTAGAATGTTTCTTGAGTGCCTCACGACGTGGTGGTGGCGAAGACGTTCGAGGGGGCTGCAATGGTTCCAAGACGGATTTGTCCTGAAACCGTAGTAAACCGTATAATGACGCAATTTGGTCACCCTTCTGCTCAAGGATATCGATGACTTCGCGGAGATGCTGGGCAAGCATATTTCGCTTGGCTGAATTGGAGGCAGCGTCCATGATGGCGTATTGCTCCGCTAATTCGATGTAGATGCTGCATGCGGGTCTTCAGTACGAGAGGAGGATGTAAAAAATCAGTGGACTGACCCTTTATAATGCGTGAAGTCATCTTCCAGCTCCCTGAGGACACGCGCAAGCACTGTCTGAGGAGGATGCGCTGAGGAAGGCTCGGAGCTGGCGGCATGATAGCGGCTGCCTTGATAATCAAACTTCCTACTTTTGAGCCAGATAGGCAGATCGCCATCCGTGGTCTGCGCTTTGTTAGGGCGATTACACACGGTGCAGGTCTTTGCGTCGTGCTCTGGGGCGGACAAGAACATCTGCTCGACTCGTGAACCTCGAATTTCTGGGTAAGCTGCCGATGATTGGGGTTCCACGCCCTGGCACTGGCTTGGCCGAGACAATCCAGCTTGCCTAGACGCATGCGCAGGGGTCGGAGCAGCAGGACGGGGGACAGGAGACGGCGAACCGATACGAGGAGACGCAGCAGGCGATCTACGGGTGGTTGTGTCCCGATGGCTTGACACGGATGTATTTGGGCTGCCCCTTCGGGATGTGCAGGCGGATCCACCCCTAGACACTGAACGTTCGGCACGTTCGGAGCGTCTTGAACTGATTTCTCCGGAGATCTGCTCAAGCTCTTCCGAGTTGAGGTAAGGACGGCTGACAACTGGATTTGACTCTGATGCCATAGTGGCCGCATCAGTCCGTGACGTCTTGTCCGCGATGTGAGGCAGCTGTATTGACGGCGACGGCGAGGGAGTGGCGATTGACATGGACATGGAGGCTGTGTCCTCCTCCTCCTCCTCCTTGTTGGAAACATCATGTTCCGGTCGATACGACGTGTCGACCTCGACCACGCCAGGGTCCTCGCTTTTTGCATCAAGCGCATCAAAGCCCTCGGATATATCACCGTCATCGGAGCCGCTCTCGCTGTCGATCCCGTCGCGTCGCCGCTCTCTCAGACCCTCCTCGACAACGTTTCTCAGCACCTCGACTTCACCACTCAGTCGTTCGACCTCCATCTTGAGCAACTCTACGTCACCCAGCTGCATCTTCATGGCCCGTCGGTCGCGAATGTCTGCTTCTTGTGCAAGCCGTAGCTCGGTAAGAAGATGCTGATGAGACGCCAGCTCGGAAGTCAACCGAGCGAGGTGGGTTCGGAGCGTTGAGGTTAAGGCTTCCAACGCTGAGGAAACGTGTCAAATGCTGTGTGTGGACCTTCCATGGCGAAGAGATTCACCTTTTTTCTCCTCGACTACCTCTCGATATCTAGCATCCCCAAAGGCATCTTCGTCCATCGCCATTCTAACATGCTTACCCTTTTGCTGGCCGGGCTCTGGCCTGATTGGGTCCATCTCCCTCGCGGTGCGTCGTTGCCTGTGCTGCTCATGGTCCATGCCCTGATCCGCTTTCTCCCTTTCAAGCACCCTCGTGCGTTCCTTTGCCACCTCACCTTTACAACGATCCAGCTCCAGCTCCAGCTCTCTAACGCGGCGTCTTGATATGCCATTCTCCTGTTCGAGTCGGGAGAGTTTAGCTTGTACATGATTAAGACTCGCGATGAGTCGCGCTAGAAGGAAGAAATCTGTCAGCCGAGCCATCGGTGTCAGATCGTAAATCTACCTTGTTCCTCATTTGGCTTGTCATGAGGATACGGCTTGTAGGTATGGGTGGGCCTGGCAGGTGTGGCAACCGCGCTCGTTAGACCAGTCACATCGGGCAACTGGATCGGCCGCGACTGAAACCCGGATGCCTCTGCGGAGGCGTTGGGAATGTGCAGCTTCGTTCTCTCGTGCGTACGGCCATCCTTTAAGCGAGGGAGTTGATTTTCCTGGAGCTCATCAAGAGTGTCAGGTTGCAACAGCGCCCGCTTATCCTCTGGAGAGTCCCTGCGTGGCTTCTTCCTACTGGGGCGACGTTCGGCGGTGCTCTGCACCGGAGCTGCAGTGCTCGATGCATCTCCTATATCCCGCGCAAGCCCGCGGGCCATGCTCGTGAACAGTGATCGTCCTGCTGACGATCCTGGCGTAGGAGGTTGTACCTGCACTTCCGGGGCTCGCCAGTCGTGAGACGGTACGTCGGAAGCGACAGATTGCTTGCCATGCCCATGAGAGCTTTTTGCCGCGCCGAGTTTCTCTTTCGGCTTGGAAGTAGGATCAGGTTCAAGGTAGGATAGGGAGGGCGGGGATGGCGGATGTATCGACGATTGGAGATGCGGCATTGATGGGATAGGGGCGTGGGTTTTGTGCTGGTCTGGCGGTACTTCAGAGTGTTTACTAGTATGCGTGGCCTCATGCCTCAATCGCGAGGGAACCCTCGCCTCCAGCTTGGGAGAGTACATTCCCGGATTGTTCCGCGGTCGCTTGGGCGAGAAATCAACACGCTTTAGGGCATCGGACAACTTCGGTCTAGGGCTATTTCGCCCAGACGAGGATGAGGATGAGGACTCGCCGGAGGATAATGGTGATCGGACAGGGGATATGTTGGCGACGGCGGGAATGAACATAGCAGATTGTTCTTCGGAAAATTTGGGTGACCGCAGTGCAGCAAGGGAGGGAGGTGTCGCAAGACCAGCGCGACCTGAAGCAAGCACCTGGTCAAGTTCCGCGGTGTCGTCTACTACCAGTGGGTCGAACGTGATGGTAGAGGGGTGCTGGAGAGCTACGCGTCAAGCATATGGCGTGCGACGATGGAAAGATCAACGCACCGGGTATTTACGCGATGAAACATCTTCCAAAACACTGAACCTGGTGTTCGTCCCGGCGATGATCCCGTCAAGCGGTCGCTCGGGGTCATATTCTGCACCACTCATGCTGATATCTCTGCGACGAGCCCCTGGTCCATTTAGGCCCGCAGTAAGGGTGACCACGCTGGCGTGGTGGGCCGCCGTGGACATTGTTTCGCCGCCAGTGTAAACCCGGACAGCGGGATCATCATCCAGCGAACGATAGCTCCAGCGGTGAGCTAGGCTCGGACCGTCAGAGTCTTCCGCTCGATACTCTATGCTGGTGAATTGGTCCGCGATGCCCCTGGAATGGTCAAGGTGCCTGGGATACTCGACGTCGGATGCATCGGAGAGGTGAAGGTCGCTAAGGGCTACGCTTTGGAGATTATGCTCGAGCAGGATCCGGTGTTTCTCTTGCTCGTCGCCATGAATGCTGAGCTCGAGTGAGTGACTGGTGCGGTGCCGTCCCATCACGGCTAGTCGAAAATGCAAGGGAGAGAGGTGTCGCGGGGAGAAGTGATAGACTAAGGACGGCTACGACCGGTCACGCAAAGACAAACCAGGTCACATTTCAACGTCGCGTCCCGTCACGTGAATCGTCCGAATGCGACGCTCGCTGCGACAACGATGCGTCACATATTATTGCGAAATACGCCTATATAAATGGAGAACAACCCCTCAGAGATAACGGAGTAAACAACTGTCCTCTACTAGCGGATCATCTACGCCTTGTGTCGCTTTCTACTCCCTGCACCATCCTCGTCCGCTCGCTTGCTTTTCAGGCCCAACGTGCGCATGTGCTCCTTCCTCTTCTCCTTCTCCTTCTCCTCCCTTTTGGCCTCCTCCTTCGCCTCCTTCCTCTTGTGCTCAGCCTTCCGTTCGTCCTGCTTCTGTCTCCGCCGTGCTACTTGGTCTTTGCGCAGCGCGCGAACCTGTTGCAGTAGCGCAATGGCCTTTTTCTCCTCCGGCTCGAGGACAACTGCACGCTTTTGCAGATATGTCTGCTTGCCTTGCGGCTTTTGGATCTTGGGTTTGGACGCATACGGAAGAGCAGCCTGAAGCTTCTTGGGAACTTTCAAGGTGTTGAAACGGCGCTCCGGACGCAGAACTGGCTTGTAGGTGGAGTTCAGGTTGGCAGGCGTCTTGAGGCCTTCCTCGCGTCGAATCTGTCCGGTAAGGCGCATGCCTGTCCATTGGCTCTTATCCGCAAGCAGGAGTGACGTCACGGGGTTGTAGAATTTTCGTGGCTGAATCGAATACCATGCCCGGAGAAATATCAAATCTGTGAACCATCAGCGAGAGTTGGGCTACCGGATAGCTAGACTCACCGCTCATGAGCACCTTGTCCTCGAAAGTCGCTCTGAAGCATCCTTCCGGCTTAGGCAACGCCTTCTTGATCTGACCTCGAATGCCGGAGACTGTTCGAATGTTCGCACCCTCGAATTTGGCAACCTCCAGTGCGCTGTTGAACATATCTTTCACGAAGGCGGTATTTTTGAAAATCTTATAAGGGACGCCCGTAAGCTTCACTTTCTTGACAATCTTGACGGAACGGTCTATATCAAGCACGACGCCGGTCGCCGCAACTCGGAAGGCGGCGGTGTCGTTACTCAAGGTATTGAATGCGCAGAAGCCAGTGTTGGGTAGAGCGACCGGTCCATAGAACGTTGCGTAACAATGCATATGCTCCGGCGTATACTTGAGCATCCGCATGCGAATGGAGTGGTCGTCCAAAGCGTAGATGGGCACGGTTTGGAACCTGCGCCAACCTAGCGAGAGGATGATGGGATCGTTTGTCTTGAGGGTCTTCGCGTGCCATCGATGCCTCTTGATCCTGACCTGCACAAAGCCGAATCGTTCCTCGGCAGGGAGTAGCCCACCGACGATGACGGGAACCAAGGGGTCGAAGTTCTCGACCAATTCGCAGGGTACATCCCGGATCTCGAGACGCACGTAGCTTCCGGGCCTGTAGCCTTCGACCATCGCACGCGATTGCGCATCGAGACCTCTGAACTCGTCGATGTTGAGGCGCTGCTGCTGGGCCATCTCCTCCTTAGCCTCGTCGTAGAAATCCATCTTCGACGCTTCCGGGTCATCGTACTGCTCGTCGAACTTGCGCTTGAGTGCCTCCTTCTTCGCGGCCAAAGCCTGGACGCGATCGGTAGTAGCTGGGGAGGCCAGAGGTGGCCGACCGTCCCCGTTCACAGCCTCGAGATCCTCAAAATCGCCAGCCTCCAGGTCCTCGTAGTTCTCCTTGCCTGTGTTGACATCCCCGTCTGCAGTCCCGCTTCCACCGGTGATAAACAGATGTCGTATGGAATCCAATACACCCTCGTCCTCCCATGCCTGTAGTCGGTCCTCATCCGGTTGTTCCTTTGTCATATCCGCGCCTTCATCGTGTTCGACGTCCTTTGGGACGGTGAAGAAATCATCCTCGTCCTCCGGTGAGCCGGCCTCCGCGGCTAGGCGGTCTCGATGGAGAATTTGCACAGGCGTGAGGGTGGTACTGTAGATAAGTTTGGTCCAGTCCTTGGCCGCCTTCCGGGATTGCTCCTCAAATGCCTCCTGGGCCTTCTTGGCAAGGTTCGACTTCCACTGAGGAATCGTCTCTTCACGTTGAAGGTCACCATCGACTTCTATCCCAGATGACAACGATGGTCGTTGCGCGTTGTAGTCGTCCGCAGACACGCCGATGACACGATCGGCGCTACCGTCATCGTCGTCCAGCTCCGAATCCGTATCGGCAAAGATGGCGCCAGGTTTTTCGGAATATGCCTTGGGGTCCACTGGTACTCGCCGACCTGATCTCTGCAGGGTGCGCCCGGGAGCTTGGATCTTTTCCTCGTCCTCATCCTCGTCGACATGTACGTCCATTTTCAAGTCATCCTCATAACCCATTTCATCTTCGCTATCCGGATGATCATCGTCAAAGGCTTGGTCATCCGAACTCGCCACGGACCCATCTTCGTACACTTCGCTCTCGGTCTCTTCAGCTCCCTCGTCACTGGTCCGCCCTAGTCCCAGGTGGATGGGTTTTGACGAAGACCCAAGCAGCCTGACCCTCTGACTGGCAACCGCATCCTCCAAGGTTGCGCTCATATCCTGCAAGTCCATCACCATCTGCTCACCCTCTCCTCTCATCTCACCCTGCTGGCCCGCCTCCCTGCTCCGCGTAAAGTTCCCCGGAACGTTGATCCACACGGCGTCCTTATCGTACAGCATGCCTCCAACGTCGCTCATCGGTGCGTGTACAATCAACTTTTTCTTCTCGCTCAGCTTCCGCCTCTTCTCCTGATCGGGGTCCATGCTAGGCAAGGGGCAGGGATCACCAAGAATGGACGCCGAATATACGGATAAATCTCCAGCTCCCGGGATGTGAACCATCTGCCCACCCTTGAGGTTCGTGCCACGCAGGTAGCCGTAAAGCGTGATCCGCCTGTCGCACTTGCCGCCACTAGACCTGATTTCTTCTCTGGGCGTCAGGTCCTCCATGCGGTCGACGAGGAGATAAGGATGTTGGTTGCGGAAGACTAGAGGACGGAATTTCATCACACTGATGAACCGGGACAGATTAAGGATTTCGGCGTCGGGGTAACGCCCATTGAGGACACCCGAGAGGTAGAATAGCTTTGCCCCTTGGTAAATCTCCGTCCAAAACCGTTTCTTCAATGCCTTCTTGGTGGCTTTTAGGATGGCGGATTTCTTGATGAGATCAAGGTGGGTGAGAATGCCGATGACTTTCGGAAAACCGTGTGATTGAAGGATGTTTAGAAATTCGAACGTTTCCTGAAAACGTACTCGGCAGGAATTCCTGACCCAATGAGAAGCAGACGTACCATCTCAAAGCCGAATGAACCGTCTATCATCAAGAGAACCAAGTCTGCAACCTTTCCAATATCAATCATTGAGTTCAGGTCGTTGTTGCACTCGATGAAGGTGAGCCTGCGTTTCTTGCCGCTGACGACTGTGATTGGACCTTTGATCTCATTCAATGTTTGCTTCGTATACCGCCGTACGAGAGATTTCACTAGGGTCGATTTGCCTACGCCAGGGGGTCCCACTACAGCGACAATAACAGGGGGAGGTTGATCCTGAGGGGTACGATCGACAAGTGGTACATGCAGGCGACTTTGGTCACGCTCAGCGTTCCGTCTTCCTTGTTTTTCGGCTCTTCTACCAGACCTAGGAGCGAACGCCTACGGAGGCTAAGAAGCTAGAAGAAGTTGTTTTTTTAGGACTCACCTTCTCGTTGAAACCCTGGTTCTTCTCTTTCTTTGCCTTTTTCTCGGCCTTGGAACCCGACTGGGCTGGCCTATGGGCCTTGTGTGATTGATCCATGGCTTGGGCGACGATGGCTTGCGAGCCGATCCCTAGGCTTAGGCTATGCCTGCGGAGAATTTGACTTGATCGCGTTTCTGAGGCAAAGCGAGGTACGAGCGGTGGCGTGAGAAAACAGTCTATGGCGGGGCGGACGACGCCGAGCGCGAGGTTTAGGCGCTACGGTACACGGCCTGACTCAGCAGAATCACCCGCCTTTGCGACTCTGGCCGGATCATGCGCGTGGGAGAATCAGGTGGGGCTGTCTCGGGGATGACTCCGGTGGCTCCCCAGTACCGCGCAATCGTGATCGTGCAGCCATCTCCACCATACTCTTTCTTGCCGCACTGTATATAATCAACATGGCTCGCAATAACATACAGACCGCCAAGTATAAGGCCATCGCACGAAAGAAGTCATTCATCATCCGGCTCACAGCAGCCTGTGCATCGGCTGCTCTGTTGTACGCCCGGCATCGGCTTGTTTGTGAGCCTTGGCACAATTCAATCCTCACCGGACAGAAGTGGGTAGAGGAACTCCTAGATGGTCATTATGCTCGGATGCATGCGGTGCTCGGGATGCACAAGCATGTGTTCCTCAAACTTGGTACCGAGTTGGAGGAACATGTTGGGTTCACCCGATCCAAGCATGTCTCTTCTCAAGAATCACTTGCAATATTTCTCTATCAGGCCGTAACAAATGATACTACTCGTGTTACTGCAGAGAGGTTTTAGAGAAGTGGAGATACGATATCACGGTACGCCTCTAATTGTGAACCAGTGATCCACAGCTGATACCATCCCGGCAGGCATTTTCACCGTGTCCTCCGTACCATCACATCTCCACGTTTCCTTCAGGCATACATGCGTCCTCCATCCAGAGGCACCCCTGTTTCTCGCAAGGTACTCGACAATCCCAAGTTCAATCCTTGGTTTCGTGATGCACTTGGTGCAATTGATGGAGGCCATATAGAAGAGCTACCATCGGCGGAGGAGAAACCGCGATACCGGGACAAAAATGGACAGATTTCGCAGAGTATCCTTGCCTGCTGTGATTTCGAGGGGTTATACCAGTATATACTTGCAGGCTGGGAAGGAAGTGCCTCCAACGGTCAAGTTTTCAACTCTGCGCGTGCTACGTCCCTTGCAATTCCTCCAGGCCGCTACTATATTGGTGATGCGGGCTATGCAGCATGCAATTCAGTATTAGTACCATATCGTGGCTCACGATACCATTTGAGGGAGTGGGGAATAGCTGGAGAAAGGTCAGCAGGCATCGTACAATTTCATGTCTACAAATATTTATGCCATAGAATAGACCAAAGAACAAGAAGGAGCTATTTAACCTACGCCATGCGCAGCTTTGGAACATCATAGAACGTACATTTGGTGTCACCAAACGGAAGTTCAAGATATTCCGACAAGCAACTGGCTACGGTCCTGCCGTCCATAGCCGGATCATTGTTGCAATTGCGGTACTACATAACTTCATCCGAGTCCATGACCCCGATAATGCCCTCGAGCTCAACGAAGGATTCTCGGAGGAGAACCAAGCAGATGATGACTCTTTGCAACCCAATGTAGCTCATCTTGCATACCAGATTACTCGGGAGGAAACAAGGAGGGCAGAAGCGTTCCGAGATCACATTGCACAAGAAATGTGGGAGGCATATTGTATTGAGACAGAGAGGAGGCGCCAACGTAGACGCTGATTGATGTTATTTATCTATGACAAACATGCTATCTCTAATTCCAACCAAATCTTCCGCGCACCGAGTCGATCTGAAGGAAACCGAGGGTACTCGTCAGCAAGGTCTGTCCTGCTAAAAATCTTCGTTGCCATGGCATAGTCACGTTCCGATAACTCCTTTCTCTCTGCCTCCACAAACACGGACCATGCTTGCTTCCTACGCATTGGCGACACGGCGAGGGTACTGGCAGAGTTGCAATTGTCACGTCCAATAACGGTAACAAGATCGCGGATTGAGTTCGACATGTCCTGAAGCGCAGCTGCCCCTGAGACACGTCCCCTGTGTTTACCGTTGTTCGATTCGTGTGTCCTCGCCATAGATCTCGCCCACTTCGGAGTATGCTAGTGATTGTTGTTGTTAGCGTAGATCTAGGAATAGGTAGACAACATACCTGAGCTTCCGCAGACACGTCATCATGGTTGCTATCCTTGTCGTTGTCCTTTGTAGCCGTAGTTGATGTTGAGTAATGCCGCACTCGTTTGTGTCGTGGATGAACCGCGCTCTCTTGGGACGGAGAGCGTTCGCAATCCAGAGAACTGGGTGACTCCGATATGCCAACGGTGGTTGTCCAACTACTCACATCAAGCTGGGACAGGCCTTCTTCCATCGTGCTTGCAGATTCGCCATCAAATTGTGACTGCGTTGACACAGATTCCACATTGTGATCAACGGACATGTTCAAAAATGCATGTTCGCCCGTTGCGGTGACTGAGTCGACGAGCATGGCCATCTCGTTGAATAACGGGAAGGGCTTTTCCCGGAATTTACGTGCCCAATCACGAGTCTAGGGTAAAATAAGTATGAAAACCTTCCGGAGATGTAACATACGTACCTCTATGATCGTGTCCCAGACCTGATCTTCCGCAACTACCCTCTTGCGTACTGAGTCCCAACCCATCCCTGTGAGTGACAATAGCTCTCGAACATGCCTATAGTCCATTTTCAACTGTTGCATATCAGTCATAGTTCATCCCAATGAGACAAAATACGTACACGGCGGAAACGGCTTTGACACTGCTCCGGTGACTTGGGCTTGCCGCCAGCGTCAGCGATGGTCTTACTGGCTGCTTTCCAAGCCTCAGCCTTCCAGCCGGAGTCTGCCTGCCATCCTTGTCGCTGAGACTCGAGGAGGGAATTAACTAGTTCAGCATCATTGGAGGAAGTCCACTGGCATTGTCAGCCTTGCAGCTTTGTCCCTCCTCCGCTCTCAGATTCACATTCTGCGCTGTTCTTGGGCATAAACTAGCCTGGTTGTTTCCAGAAGTAGGTATGTCCTGAGTTGAAGGGAAAACAGCAGTATCCAGAGATTGAAGAGACGTGGCGTGCAGCGCACACCGCGTCGACGTGCACTGAACAGATTACCTGATCTTGTGTTTTGGCCGGATCATGCTCTTACTAAAGAAGGAAATTTGAGTCGCAAAGGCAGGTGATTTTGCTGAGTCACCCCTGTACCGTACAGCACCTTAGAGTTCTCCCCCACGCTCCAAGCTGCCGAGCCCCTTCGGTCCCTGAATTTTCTGTTCATCAATCTGGAATCCAATATTGCGTCCCCTTTCCTCTGTGTTCAGCCCAGAGCAAGCTGACCGTCAGAAGAAAGAATGCCACGTATCGTAGTAAATCCATATGAGATAGCCCCTCCGGACTTCACACTCGCAAGGACAGCCATAGCGCAAGCCAACGGGGGAACCAAAGAGGAGGCCAGGCAGGCCTTAGCGGACCAGTGGACCGAGCAGAACAATCACAAGAAGCAAGCGTGGGACGTGCAGGCGGCGGAGGATCTTGTCAGGGTAAGCGCTGGACCTCCTAGGAGCAGCGCAGATCCCTTGGGACGGTGGCAGAGACACTGTTGCACAAGGCAGGGAGGCAACTGAGTATATATACAAAGGTACGAGGGAGAATACACATACCTGTCGCACAAGGCAGGGAGGCAACTGAGAGAACAAGTCAGGGTTGCTCCCTGGTGCGATAGGCAACTATATAGTAGCTGAATAATCCATCAGCGCAACGAGAGATGGTCCAATGAGAGAAGAGGAGGGTCCTCGGGCACCTGACACGTGACCAATGGAGCGGTCTAGGAAGGCCGCGTGGTGTGCGGAGGTCCTAGGAGCACCGACCGACAGAACGAAATAGGGAAGATGCCAAAAGGAGCGCACGGGAAGCCTAGGAAGGCACGGGAGAGCATGACTGAATAGGGAAGTGGAAGCATTAGGGGAAACAAATGAAATGAGACAGAAGCGGGACCAAAATGGGAACAATGGGACATGAGGCAAGTGTGGGAAGCGTGCCCTGACAGATCTAGAAGCGGTGAATCTAGCTGATCAAGAACAGGCAGAGAGAGAGGCAGCCAAAAGGGCAGAGGAGGAGAAAGAGGACACTAAGAATCGTCCCAAAGTCCTATCTTACCACCAGGACTGGACCATCAGCGATGAACAAGACCTGCACACCGACCACGATGTACTTGTCAAGCTCCAAAATTACAAGTACACCGAGCTTTGGTATCACGGAGCCGACGGCAGAAGAATGGCCATGGCGCTCACCATCTCACAATCTGAGGACACCATGCTATTGGCCAAGAACGGTGAGGGCCTATCACTCAAGCACACATCCTCCACCTGGCTGTCCAGGCACTGCATCCCAGACCGGGATCTCTCCTGGGATCAGTTCACGATCGCAAAAGGCGGGCTGCTCGAAGACATGGTGCAGGTTGGATGGGAGCCCAGCATCATCCGTGATTTTGCCCTCCTTTTCTACAAGATGGACGGCCATGGCATTCAGTATCAGCCATACGGCAACACCTGCCTGCTCATCTACCTCAACGAGATCCGCAAGAGCTGGCACATCATGTACAAGCTTGACATCAGAAACAAGCCCAAGCAGGGCAAGGGCCAGTTGGTCAACCCCGAGAACTTCAACGAGACACACTTCGCAAGAAGCGTGAACACCTATCTGCAGTCGCAGACGTACAACACTCTCACCAGTCAGTATTGCACATCTATATTCCAACATGCCCCCGCTCACAAACCTGTTTGTACCCGCACCCTAACCCCCCCATCCCCCCAACTCCCCCATCCTGACCAGTCCCCCGCGATCATGATCGCCTACAACGTCATGCCATCATCATGGCTGACATCCCTGCCCCCGTGCCTGCATGCCTATGGCTGGAACACCGATCCTTGCCACCGCACGGCAGACACACCTCACCCGGTTTCACATCGCCACCGCGTCGTCCCAATCCTTACACAATGCTCCTCAATGCAGGCCTCTGAGGAGCCATGCAGAGCCCGTCCCTATCACCGGTGTGCACCGAGAGAACGCACGCAGCCTGGGCAAATGGGCCATACGCACTCCCCAACGGAAATCGGGCAGATCAGTGCCAGAATTTTTGGCAAGGCGCTGGCGCAAATGCCCACTCACCGTGCGCCTTATGCCTTGGGCGGTCTGCTCACAACGTGCGTGCCTGCAACTCCAAAACATTGTGGAATGGAAAGCCTGCACTCTGCTCCTGCAACAACAAAGGTGCACTTGTCGGTCCTGACAGAGTCACGCTCTGCAGCGATTTCCAAAACGCCAGGGGTTGCCGTCGCCCTCACACCCACCTGTACCAGCATGTCTGCTCGGGATGCGGAGATGGCGGCCATGGAGCTTGCAAGTGCCCGCTTGCACAGAGCCTCTAAGGCCCTCACTCCGCTGCATGCTGCGGCTTGGAAGCGGCAGCTCAAACGCCACACCCTGTTCAACAAGTACCCCCTCTTGGTTCAAAGCATACAGTTGGGGTTTGACACTGGCACCATTCCCCCACCCTCCTCCTATACACCTGGTAATCACGCACATCACAGCACGCATCTTGCAAAGAACACAGCAAATGAGTTCCAGCAGGGCTGTTATCTCGGCCTGTATTCGCAGCAGGTCATCGAGCAAGTCCTTGGTCATTTCCAAACGTCGCCCCTCTCTATCATCCCAAAACCGCACAACCCTTCAAAGTATTGTCTTATCCAAAACCTCTCCTTCTCGTACCAGTCCCACAATGGTGTCTGCTCCATCAACTTCGCAATCGACGCCCGCATGTATCCGTGCACTTGGGGAACTTTCACAGTGGTCGCACTCACCATCGCAAGGCTTCCTCTGGGTTCGCAAGTGACATGTCGCGATGTTGGAGAAGCATACTGGACCATCCCGATACGGCCAGAGCAATGGCCGGGCCTTGTTGTGCAGCTTGACGAAGGAGATTCATTCACAGTCAACACCTGCGATTATTTCGGATTGCACCCACGGACATGTTCGCTGACATTGCCCAAGCCAACGGGATTGGCCCCCTCTCCAAATGGGTGGATGATTTTGTGTTCTTCAGAATCCCACATGCAGCGCTGGACAAATACAATGCACAACGTGTTGCCTGGCGAGACTCAATCCACAAAACAGGCAGCAAGCATCAAGATTATAGTTGATTGTGGTACGGAGGTGGCGAGCTCCCCGATGGACGGTGCAAGGAGTTCGACGAGGACATGGTGTTCCCCATGCGTGACCTTGCGCTTCAGTCCCCACACTCTGGAGAAGACACGTACTTCCGCTACGCCATGGCAGACATCAACAGCCTTTTGATCAAGCTGGGTTGGATGCGGGGGCAGGACAAGGACATCAACTTCGCCAACGTTGTGCCCTTCACGGGCCTTGAGTGGGACTTGCGGAGGCAGACAGTCACGCTGGGCGCAAAGAAGACGAAGAAGTATCTTGAGGCCATTCGGGACTGGCACGTGTTGCAAGCGCACATGCTTCAGGAGGTCCAGAAGTTGTATGGTAAGCTTCTCCATGCCTCGCTCATGGTACCAGCCAGATGTGCGTACTTGGTCGGGCTGGAATCCATGCTCGCAATCTTCCACAACAGTCCTTTCAAGCCGCAGACCCCTCCCGCCAGCACTCCTAGCAACCTCGATTGGTGGGCAGACACTCTCCGGAGGCCCCAACTATTCCAAGCAATCCTGGGGCCAGTCGAACTCCTTGATGTCCAGGCCTTCTCCAAAGCTAGCTCTAGTACAGGGCTTGCAGTGGTCATTGGGGGTTGGTGGTGCACTTGGTGGCTTCTCCCAGGATGGAACCAAGACGGGCGTGGCATTGCATGGGCCGAAGCCATCGGTTTCGAGCTCCTCGCCGGGGCAGTCATTGCCCGGCGCCTGTCCAGCCATCGGCTCAAAATCTATGGCGACAATAGGGGAGTCGTTGAAGGGTATTGGAACGGTTGCAGCAGAGATCGTTGGGTCAATAAGGTCTTCAAGCGAGTCCATGCAGAGGCCGAACTTCACGGTGTTGAATTTCATTCTCGATATGTCACGAGTGCTTCAAACCCAGCAGATGCACCATCGCGAGGAGTCTATCCGCCGGTGGCTTCATCGCTCCCTCCCAATCCCTTACCTGCAGGTCTCAAAGAGTACATCATCGACAGCACCGAGCCCCCCTCAGCCAGGGAGATTGCCACTGCCGCCGCAGGCTACGCCCCACGCCCAAAACCAAAGGAGTGACAATCATCCCTCTGGGGTTTGGTCTTGCAGGCCGACCTTGACCAGCACAACAAACACTTTGCTGCCGTCAACTTCAAGGACTGGGAGTGCGCCTAACGTGAATGCAAGACCGGGCTTGGCGCAGAACACTGAGGCACGCCCGGCCTGTCTCGCAAAGCACCATCTTCTCCAATGGTGGCCCCCCGCAGGGCACATGGTCTTCAACACCAACAGGGAACCCTTAGGGCTCAAAGAGGACAACTTACAGCGTGTACGCGACATAATGGCACGCGCCCTCGCGGACTTCACTGCCAAGACCTACAGCGCCCGGTTGCTGGCCTTTCATGCTTTCTGTGATGAATGACAATTGTCCAAAATTCAGTGCGCGCCAGCATCCTCAGGCATCATCCAGGCCTTCCTGGCATTGCTAGCAGGTCTGTACGCCGGCACCACTCTAACAAACTACTTCTACGGTGTTCAGGCCTGGCACCTCATTCATGGCCTCAACTGGGACATGGTCGAGGCCACCACCCAGACCATGCTGCGCGCCACCAAAAGGCTGACCCTGCACTCTTTGCAGCGAAAGAAGAGGGCACCCGTAACTGAAGACATCATACGGAAGGTATGGCAGCGCTTGGAGCTCGAACAGGGCATGCACACCGCAATTTTCGTGTGTCTAACCGTAGCTTTCTATGCTTGCACACGGCTGGGTGAGCTCACAGTCCCGGCACTCAATCGTTTCAACCCAGCGCTGCACGTCCAGGTGTCAAACCTCAGGGAGGCAACAGATCAGAATGGACTCATGCAACAGATGCTGCACGTCCCTCGCACCAAAACCACCCCAAACGGAGAATAAATCTACTGGGCTATACAAGATGAGACCGTAGACCCAGTTGCGGCCCTTGCGCAGCACCTTCACATCAACAAGCCTGTGCAGGGCAAACACCTTTTCACATACTCGCACAAGAACAGCAGGAGGCCGCTGACAAAATCGGCATTCCTACACGTTGTTCGGCAGGCCATGCGAGACGCGGGCCTTGAGCCGTTACAAGGGCACAGCATATGTGTCAGGTCGACGCTGGAGTACCTCCTACGCGGGGTACCTTTCAACGTAGTTTGAACAAAGGGACGATTGGTGAGTGACGTGTTCCTGTTATACCTGCACAAGCATGCCCAGGTGCTAGCACCATACATGCAGGCGCAGCCCAAGCTCCAAGCACACTTCTTTCGCTACACCATGCCGCCAGCTCGCTAAACGGGTAAGTGCATCTCCTACCTCTGTGGGTGATAGCAGGCGCAACGTGTTGCTGCACTCCTAGTCAATGGGATTTGTGGCTCACTATCACTTACAGATATCTGGGTCGGGAAGCCCCTTCGTGGCTTTCGCCCGTTCCTTTTCTCCCGGATTCTCTTACGATATCTACTTCATGTAATTGCGGCCCCCTCTCTTGAATTATGAGGCGTGACCTTTTCATCGCACACTGGCATCACTTCAAGAAACATGGAATCAGCAGCTACGAAAACAAAGTACATAGACACTAATCACCCGATAGTTTGTCATTGTATTTCAAACTCTGCCTGCTCCGCCTCAAATGGACTTGCTACATCGCGAGGCAGTGTTGTTACTGACCCGGATTCGGGTTATTTACGGGTCATTTGACTTTGAAATGACCCATAATCACCTTGGGTCAGAGGGGTCAATACAGTGATTTCACGAAAGCACAGTAGTAGGCACGTATAGTTGTTCTAGTAGCCAAGATACCTGCTGCTACATGTCAGAGGGCCCGGCAGCGTGTTGCAAATGTGAATCATCGTCTGCCTCAGAGGCCTGCCAGGTCAGAAGCTCGTCAAACACAAGTTCTTCACAGTAATTCTTGACACCATCGAACCAGATTGTGTCCCATCCCATCTGGACGTCGAAATTGAACACATCCAAGAGTGCAAAGAGCCGTTTCTGGCCAAAGTATACGCAGACCTGCCATACTCACATCAGCTGGCAGTGATTTGGGGCCTGGGGAACATCAGCATGAATTGACTCACCTTTCGGACTACTAGAACGCCGCGCAGGCTGGTGATTGTTGCATTGACCATTTTTCTGATCTCCAAATCTGCATCTCCATCCGAGTCGAGTTCTGCATCATGTTGCAGGTGCTTCGCGAACTGGGAGAATGATGGCGCATTGGCACGCTGGCAACACAAGAAAGTTGCCGGTAGTGGGCGATCGGCAGCACCTGGATCATTGTCATCATTGCTGGAGTCATGAAATGGAGAGACATCATCCTCAGCATTTGAGGAGTCCACATTGCTGTCTGACGTAGTGTCAAGAACAGATACAGAAGGGGAGCAGGGTTGGAGGACCGAAGTCCAAAAGGTAGATACAAAGAATAAGGTGAAGGGAAAGAAGGAACTCAAAGATAAAGTCGAGGGGAGTCAGAGATGCATCGGAGACACATCGGTCTTGGATTGGTAAGTCGGAAGAGTTGTGAAGTTGAGTACAGATGCGGACCAAGCCTAAGCTTGTGCACTACGCTGCTACGCACTCTGAGTCCACAGGAGAGAGAGAGAGAAGCTTAGTCAATATTCGAACTGACTATCTACGGTACAGTTCAACAGTTTAAATACATAAAGTAGAACAATGGCAGAGTGGGAGATGCAGAGTTCGGAGGCGCCATTTGGTGCACAGAAGAAAACATACGGAGATGAACGGTAACACATGGAACACAAAGGGAACATATCTAGAGAAGAGATGGAAAGAATGATCTGAAGGATCCATTGCAAGCAACGGGAAACTAAAGTCTACAAAGGGAAACTATGATGTCAGACAAAGGGAACAGCATCTGAAAAAATCTAGATCACTATATGGCACTACATAGTCCCATATAGCCTCCATAGGTCCATAGGGATGTCCTTTGCTACCCATGCTAAATATCCACCAGCCAATGCTATCATAGTGCTATAGGTGCTATAGAGGGTACTGTCATGGCTATAGTAGCTATGTAGGTCATACCTCAGTGCTATATAGCCCACACCTTAGTGCTACTGAAACTATATATCCTATGTAAACTCTACAGCAATCATATGCTCGATAGATATTGTAGTCATCTGAATAAAATTACTTTTATTTATTTATTATATATCACTGATAATCATTCAAATTCTAGTAAAGAGTTATTATTTTTCATTATATTTATACATAGATGATAAGATTCTATCGAGTACTACTAGTGAATGTATTGATTACGTAAGCAACATAGATATGCCACCCGTAGCCATACGGAGTGGGGAAGGGTGCTGGCGCTGAGCGAGGGGTGGTAGGCGACGGGCAGGTAGCGGGAGGGGCGCGACCGCATTAGCTGCTTGCGCTGGGCAGAGGTGGCGTGAAGGAGGGAGGCGACACCGAGCGCGACCGCGTTGGCGGCTCGGGCTCGGGGCCGGGCGAAGCGCGGGGGCGGGGAGGAGAAGCGACTCCAAGCAAGACCGCGTTGGCGGCTCGGGCTCGGGGCTGGGAGTGAGGCGGGAGAGAGGCGGGGAGGCGGGAGCGAGGCGTTGAACGGAGGGGGCGAGAAGGCGAGGATACGGGCGAGAGGCCGGCGAGAAGGCGACGAGGCGGGCGAGAGGCGGACGAGAAGGCGGGGAGGCGGGCAAGAGGCCGGAGAGAGGCGGGGAGGCGGACGAGAAGGCGGGCGAGAGGCCGGAGAGGGGCGGGGAGGCAGGCGAGAAGGCGGCGAGAGGCGGGGAGGCGGGCGAGAGGCCGGAGAGAGGCGGGGAGACCGGCGAGAAGGCGGCGAGAGGTGGGGAGGCGGAAAGGCGGGCGAGAGGCGGGGAGGGAGAGGCGGGGAGGCAGGCGAGAGGCGGGGAGGCGGGCGAG